CATCTTTGTGATCAGTCTCGACCGCCCTCCGTCATCACAACATCCCACTGCAGAATAAGTGCACTGCAGATTACAGAACAGTACTCAATTGTGATTACATACAACAGCAGCAGCAGTACAAACACTTCCCTACTGCGAAAACCCGGAAAGACCCTCCTGAAAACAAGCCTTGAGACTCAGTGAGGCTCTCCTTGATAACACAAGCGTAGAATTAAGTAGTAATAACGACGATGATTCCTCCTCGCGAGACGTACTGCCCAAGTCGACAGAGACCATGTCACTAACCTGCTCACTGGTCGTGGATAATAATATCATTATTGGATATATTATTCTAGATTTGAAGCTTTCGTGACTGCAAGAATTCATACTCTTTGTTTTTTTCGGTAAAGTCACGTAGGTACAACAATCAATAAAATGAAATAAATTAAATCAACTAAATTAAATGAAGGAAGCTTGTGTTGCCTCCAAAACGTCGTGATTTAATTTAGTTGTTTTCATTTATTTTATTTTATTGATTGTTTTACCTACGTGACTTTACCGAAAAATCCAAAGAGTATGGATATAATATGTTGGTCTGGAATGTCGATAATCTGATGGACTAAGACATTACACTTTTTGTTTGGAGAGATAACAGCATTGTGTTTTTATTTATTTATCTGAGGGCAGCGCAACAATTGTTGTACCATACTCCTATGCTGCCGCGTCTATGCTCTCTGCCGTCACGAAGCCCCCCGCAATGACCGGCTTGGTGAAATATGGTGAAGAGCCCTAATCCACTAATACATTGACGGCAAAGATGATTTCTTACGCGTGTGTACACAATATTGGTCTGGGAAGCCGATATTTGGGTAAGAGTAAAAAAAAACACAGGTGTTTAAAAAAGATATACTCGTGGTGACAAGGGATGGAGGCGATTTATTTATTTATGGACTCCACAACTGCCTCTGGTTTCCACAACGTGGGGTCTCCATGGCAACAGAGACGCCAACGTTCGTATATAAATACACTCACACATACATCCCCCGAGCTTAGCGATTTCCAACGCGTATGCTTTGATTCCGTACATGTGCACGCCGTTTTACATAATGCTGTTATGTATTAAGCAACAGTCATCATCATCAGCATCAACAGCATCAGCACTTTCAGTATAATCAGCATCATGTAGGTCATTGTGTCAGTCCGCTGTTGGACGAGAGCCTCCCTACGCCTGTGCGGGTCGTGGGAGGGTTGTTTGACCATACTTCACCACGATGGCCAGTGTGGTGAAGTATGCCGTGTGGGGTGGGGGTTGTGAGTGGGGGTGCAGATTACAACTCGACACGGACGTTAGGCGTTGTTAGGATTTGTCCGGGTTCGTCAGGAAGGGAATGAACCAGAGAGGAGATCGACTGGGGAGACGGAGCGATGGAATCATCCCGAGTGCTGCTATAGATGGATTATTTCATTCAATGGCATTTTAAACGCGGACGTCCAGAATAAGCACCTCCTCTTTCGAGACCCAAACACCGTCGCACCTCCTCCTGGCTTTGACATTCCTCGCACACTGATGGTGTAACCATCAGCCGCATCAGAACATCGACAGGCTGATGCACAACATCTCCTGCACGAATGACAATTCAAGCCACGAGCAACATTAGCACGGTTGGCTACGTACCGTGCGAAAGGTCAACTTACAAAGATAGTGGTGTCATTGTGGCCACGCACCCCAAACCATGGACCATATATTAAACCCATAGAGACCTCCATAATACAGGGTTTTTTTGGGCGGGTCATAGACACCTATTTAGAGACATCAATGACAAGCCACGGCCATGTGCCTGTGGACATGCAACCCAAACTACATGCCACCTTTAAAACCACTCTAGTCTGCGCTGCTTCAGAGGATCAGGAATTGAAAAACGGTACAAACGCGAGCTAACTGAAGCCCTCTCGTCGTGGCCAACAGGCCTCGACATTGGCATTCAGCCCTCGACCATAATTGCTGCTGCCAGAATGCGCATTAACACACAGAGAATACAGAATGTGTATGGCAGAGAAAACAGAAAGTGTATGGCGGCATCGTGGTAAGTGGCGGTATCAGTGGGTTTTGACCATGGCTATGGTTGCTTCTGCTGCTGCCGCCGACGACGACGATGATGATGATCGCTGGTGACACGAGCCGTTATTCAGTGGAAACAAGCCCTGGGCACAGAGTGCAGCTTCAGTGGCAGCGGAACGAGACGAGACAAAGGCAGAGATCCACACGCTCGCCCTGAGGTCACTTCTGTCTAGGGCCTCACGTGCACCGACCACCTCTATCTCGCGATGTGGCTTTGTGCTCTGCTGCTGCTCCTCCTCGAAATATAAAGAACAGCTAATGCTCTCTATCTCTCGCTCTGCAAGCACATTGTGTTCTATTGTGTCTGCCCTCTTTAGAATTACAAGAAATCTCTTTTTTAATCCGCAGTGTCCCGCTACATTTGGATGTTTCTGGGATTGCCACCTTTCCGAGTTTAACCCCGGACACATGCCAATTTCGGGATTGTCTGAATTTTCATTTTTTTTTGGGGGGGGGGGGGGACCCTCTAAGAGAGATAAACCCTTCATCCTGACATCACACCAAGAGAGAAAAACCCACCATCCGGGCATCACACTAAGAGAGATAAACCCTCCATCCTGGCATCACTAAGAGAGATAAACCCTCCATCCTGGCATCACACAAGAGAGAAAAACCCTCCATCCTGGCATCACACCAAGAGAGATAAACCCTCCATCCTGGCATCACACTTACAGAGATAAACCCTCCATCCTGGCATCACACCAAGAGGGATAAACCCTCCATCCTGGCATCACACCAAGAGAGATAAACCCTCCATTCTGGCATCACACCAAGAGAGATAAACCCTCCACCCTGGCATCACACCAAGAGAGATAAACCCTCCATCCTGGCATCACACCAAGAGAGATAAACCCTCCATCCTGGCATCACACCAAGAGAGATAAACCCTCCATTCTGGCATCACACCAAGAGAGATAAACCCTCCATCCTGGCATCACACCAAGAGAGATAAACCCTCCATCCTGGCATCACACCAAGAGAGATAAACCCTCCATCCTGGCATCACACCAAGAGAGATAAACCCTCCATCCTGACATCACACCAAGAGAGATAAACCCTCCATCCTGGCACCACACCAAGAGAGATAAACCCTCCATCCTGACATCACACTAAGAGAGATAAACCCTCCATCCTGACATCACACCAATAGAGATAAACCCTCCATCCTGACATCACACCAATAGAGATAAACCCTCCATCCTGACATCACACCAAGAGAGATAAACCCTCCATCCTGGCATCACACAAGAGAGATAAACCCTCCATCCTGGCATCACTAAGAGAGATAAACCCTCCATCCTGGCATCACACAAGAGAGATAAACCCTCCATCCTGGCATCACACCAAGAGAGATAAACCCTCCATCCTGGCATCACACTAAGAGAGATAAACCCTCCATCCTGGCATCACACTTACAGAGATAAACCCTCCATCCTGGCATCACACCAAGAGGGATAAACCCTCCATCCTGGCATCACACCAAGAGAGATAAACCCTCCACCCTGGCATCACACCAAGAGAGATAAACCCTCCACCCTGGCATCACACCAAGAGAGATAAACCCTCCATCCTGGCATCACACCAAGAGAGATAAACCCTCCATCCTGGCATCACACCAAGAGAGATAAACCCTCCATCCTGGCATCACACCAAGAGAGATAAACCCTCTATCCTGGCATCACACCAAGAGAGATAAACCCTCCATCCTGGCATCACACCAAGAGAGATAAACCCTCCATCCTGGCATCACACCAAGAGAGATAAACCCTCCATCCTGGCATCACACCAAGATAGATAAACCCTCCATCCTGACATCACACCAAGAGAGATAAACCCTCCATCCTGGCACCACACCAAGAGAGATAAACCCTCCATCCTGACATCACACTTAGAGAGATAAACCCTCCATCCTGACATCACACCAATAGAGATAAACCCTCCATCCTGACATCACACCAAGAGAGATAAACCCTCCATCCTGGCATCACACAAGAGAGAGAAACCCTCCATCCTGGCATCACACCAAGAGAGATAAACCCTCCATCCTGACATCACACCAAGAGAGATAAACCCTCCATCCTGGCATCACACCAAGAGAGATAAACCCTCCATCCTGACATCACACCAAGAGAGATAAACCCTCCATCCTGGCATCACACCAATAGAGATACACCCTCCATCCTGGCATCACACTGACAGAGATAAACCCTCCATCCTGGCATCACACCGAGAGAGATAAACCCTCCATCCTGACATCACATCAATAGAGATAAACCCTCCATCCTGGCATCACACCAAGAGAGATAAACCCTCCATCCTGGCATCACACCGAGAGAGATAAACCCTCCATCCTGGCATCACACCAAGAGAGATAAACCCTCCATCCTGGCATCACACCAAGAGAGATAAACCCTCCATCCTGGCATCACACAAGAGAGATAAACCCTCCATCCTGACATCACATGCCCGGAGAAACATCATACAACCTGGCATATAACATCTGGAAGTAAAACCCTCAAGCCTTAAACCTCAACATACTCATCAACAACGCTACCTTTTAAAAGAAACGTATATGTATATTACATTATATAACTGACGACAATTAGGTCATCCATTCTAGGCCATCATCTGCAACATTTTACATTGTTGGAGGTAAACCCTCCAAGCTGACAACGCACAACGAGAGGTACAACCCCAGGCCATAAAGCGATTCGTCGAATCGTAATACAAATCGAATCCCACTCTCTCGATTTTCTACATAAAAGTAAGTACCTAAGCAATCGATCGTTTTTCGACTCACGAAAATTACACGATAAAATAGGGTTAAAACGGTTGTATTAACCAGAGCGCAACGAACGGAGATGTCATCAACAATATAAAAGATAATAAATATAACGTTGAGAAAGGGTTTCGAATCGTGAGCGTTTGGATCGATACAAAGGAATCGGTTCGCTGGCCCCGTTGGGAGCGGCCCGGAATGAGCGGCGCCTTCTCTGCCGCCAAAGACTTCGTCCCGTCTCCTCACAAGTAAGGTTTACGTTTGATTTCACACTTCTGTTTAAATTTTGTATAATGTGTATTATTTCCGCGGTCCGCTACGTAAGGTTTAATTTGTACGCGAAGTCGCGGTCGAAAACGACCACCTTTTCGACCTTCGTACGGACCACCCCCGCGGCCTACCTCCCCCGCCCGCTCGTCGCGCTCGTTTCCCGCAGCGGAACTAGGATAAACCGAGGCACGTCATCGAAGTCTGTCGCTCGCAGCATTACTCCGCTAGTTTTGGTTTATAAGTTGTGGCGTTATCAGTTAACCAGTTGTTCGTGGAGTCAAATGTCTAAACACTCCGTTCACTAACACTTCGGCGTGATACGCATACACGTCCACACGTTACGTACAGTATACGCAAACGCACATCGAACGCACACATAGACACAGACACGTTCATGTAGCACACAAACAAGATAACGCGTTCCCCGTGTCGCCTACATAGATTGTTGGGGCAAGTGCGGTTAGCGATCACCTAGTAATACCAACACAGCGCTTCGGGGGGGGGGGTAGTGTGGCTGGAACCACGACCGGCCGTCTTTGTATCCCCATCGCTGAGGTTAACGTACCGCGCCTGGTACCGGTGCAACTTTAAGATCGAGCCAACTTGGTGAAAGTCCAGAACTGGTACACGTATCACTCGCCTTTGATGTTGCCCGTGATCGGGAATCGAACTCGGGTGGTCCGGGTTCGGAGCGCAGTGCGCTAAGCATTGCGCCACCGCTCCCCGCATTTCTACACAAAGCTCAAAGATCTCCCGTTCAGCCACACGGACTGTTGGACTTGAGGCAAAGTGCTGTTTGCGAGAACATTTAAAGCCCTCGCGGCAGATAGCACCATGATCATGGGTGGGCAATGAAAATAGCAAGAAGTAAAACTAATTTCGAAATCGGTACAAAACCAAAAAGCCCCTCAACATTTTTCATGTGCCGCAAATGCTTGTTGGTGAACACGAGACGATAATGTTTACACATCACACCAAGCACAGTTACTCTGTTCATGCCGAGCCGACTGAAGGGAAACTTCAAGGACAGGGGAGGGATACCACCACTTGGCACTGTCGTTCACAGCGACAACCACCGCACCACCATTCAACGTGAGCTTATCAGATATGCTCTTGTGATTTTCACGTTAAGTTAACCACACGAACGCATTTAAAGTGTTGTTTGTTACACGGCAGAAGCTGGTTATAAACACAGCTGTACCTTGTGTCCAGAGGAAAACACGTGATTTGGCGATTCTGCGTTGGCAGTGATACGCAATTAACAAAACGACTCGACACGTTGGTCAATGACACTGCCTTAATAATAAAACATCGATGCTTCTTCTCTGGTCTCTGTGCTGCGAGCCCTGACCTAGAATCGCTTCTCTCACGTCTACACTGAACTGCGTGGCGTCGCGTTTGACAGTAACAAGCTCCGCTCTCACCCCGATTCCTACCAGAAACATTCCGCGTTTCCGTTGTTAAGGTTACAGCTTGGCTTTGAGGCTAACGGGTAAATAGCAAATGTGTTTGCGTTTAAGAATTAGGAGGGGCGTATTGGGTGGAGTGGTGGTGCTGTGTTTAGCGCACTGGCCATGGCTATAACATCAGTAGCGAGTGATATCTAAACTGGTCCTGGGTGACCCCGTTCCTTTTACCAAACTGCACTAAACCAGCATGGTAACGTTTGGTTAAACAATCCCGATAACCAACACTTCGCAGGGGAAGCCTTCCGAATTGGATTGTCAAAAGGGCTGTAAGGAAGTATGAGTATCAGTGTTGAAATCAAAGTGTGGGCTATGTTAAGTCCATATCTCGGGCTTGTCAGGAAGGGTATAAGGCCAATGTTTGTATCGGTGAGGTTAGGGCTTGTTTGCGAGTTATGTTTATGGCACGGGCGAAGCTTGTTATGGTTACGGCCGCTCAAACATCCCACGATCCGTGCGGCACGTACGCACCTTGTTCCAAACTACAACCTTTAATGAAACTGCGTTACACTTTCGTACGTATAAACAAAACAAAAATCGCCGATGAGGTTTTTTTGGGTCTGTTGTTTGGGCACGATGTCTGACGTTTCGCTCCACGTGCTGAGACCGTGAGCTGTGTTGAGCGGCTCGCGTTCTTCCTCGGTTGTACCGCGTTGCCGTCTGTTGCGCGTGTCTGGTGAATGTCCGTCAGCGTTGGTTTATTGGATTCGTCTGGGAGGAAATCAATTGCATGGAAAAGGTTCGTCACTTGGATATTTTCATTGCGATTGCGAAAAACCGGCGCTGTAGTACAGGTTGGCAATATCTCCGTTGGTGAACACAACAACCAATGCCGCCCACTGTGAAACTACTATGGACTAGAACTCAATCTAGCTGGACCCTCCTGAACTCGGTGATGCTTTTCTGGGTAAATTAGGGGCATCTTGTAATGGTACGCACAGTGTGTGTAACTCAATTCTGCAGGAGAGTTGTGCAACAACAACAACAACACATGCAGAGAAGGACAGGACATACAATTTGCTGTGCGTTGCAACTTTCTTGACCTAGGTCGAAGGGTCGTATGCCATACACCGTTAGTTCGATGGTTTCCTCCTGGTCAGGAAGAGTCATGGTTTGGCTCGGTACGACTACAACATTACACGAGCGAGTGCTGTGTGACTAATGCACTGACTCAGAGAGGCGCAAATGAAATTGCTTATTGCTACTGTACATGGATGGTGTCGGTGCGTAGGCCGTGGAACCATCATCATCGCTGCTGCTGCCTGACCGGGGCCCGTGTCGAGCAGTTGGTTTCCTGTTCTTGTTTTTTTTCCTCTTTTCGTCAAATGAGAGGCTTGAGGGGGTTAGACTCGGTGTGTTCGCTGCCTTCGTCATACCTTCACCCTTGCCTCCTTTGACGCTCCGATTTGCATGGAAGTTCCAGGTACGGGTGCAGCCCTGCAATATCTCGCTCACACCGCTCCTGGCGGAAGGGCGTCTGCTAGAGGGAGCTCCCAAAAGCCCCTTCCAGGCAGTATTTTGTGTCCCCCACTTCCATGCCGACAAGTCATCCTTGCCAGCATGGAAGGGTAGCAAGGTTGGCTACGTAGAGTGCAAAAGAAGTTCAACATACATATATACATACATCCTGGTGTACCAATTTTTATAATGCTAGGTGGACAGGCTGGCAGGATTTAGCAAACTTGCGCTATTGTTTTAAGTGCTGCCCCGGAAATCGAATCAAACTGGCGACGTGGATTGGAAGTCCATTGTGCTAACCACTACAACCACGACGTCATCCTTGTTTGCGTGCACCGTAAGTCAGCTCAGGCTATGTCTTGGTTGAGGAAGCAACCTCGGTGCTCCTACAGGAAGGCAGTTTCGTCCTCCCTCCTGTCGCAACTGCGATCTTTTTGCGAGGCGGGGGAAAGGCAGCGGAGCTTGTGCTGACTCGGCAGCTGGTCATAGGGACAGGACACAGTCCTCTACGGGACACGGACCGCCCAGCTCTGGTCTCGAGGAAACGCTGCCGCCACACTCATTCCCATCCATCTTCCTGGTGCCCCGTGCGTGTGTGTCTTTGTCTTTGGGGTGACGTATTCTGTGCAGTGGTGGCATAGTGGTTAGAGAGCAGTGCGACGAGCCCAGCAGCCGGTGTTTGATTTCCAGCCACAATTAACATCAGCGGCGATTATCACAGCCGGTCTTGTGCCTCACCTACGTCTCCTCAGCCTTGATTGACTAATTGGTGCAGTGTGTAAACATTGGCACTGGAGAACAAAGGTTGATGGGCAGGGTGCTGGCCACACCACCCCCTCGTATATGCTGTGCTGACATTCATAGGTGCTCGCTAATAGTACTTCCCCCCACAGTCTGTACGGCTATAGAGGTATTTTTTGTGTGTGTGGGGGGGTGTTTGGGGGTGTGTGTTAGCGTTATGAGCATTGTTGTAACTTCCGGATTGTGTAGAGGTCACTTGCTTTGGTGCAATGATGGAGGAGAGTGCGTGCACTCTGTGTTTTGCCTGCCTAGGAAAGTTTATCACTTCACTTTAAATGCCAGTGGGAGGAGCAGAAAATCAGGAAGTTCTGTAATTCCTCTACTTATAAAAGCTGCAATCAACAGAGTTGCTCCGTGCTTAGTGAGCAACTTTGTCACCACAGTGTTTTAAAGCCATTGTAAAGGCACAGCACAGTAAGCACATTGGTCAGTGGCCAGATCCATAATGGCAAAATCATTTACCACAAATGAATGATCAGGCAGTGGGGATGGGCAGGAGGTGGGGGAGAGGTGGCGGATACACTCTGTTATAAACTTACTCTCTCCCTCTCTTCACCAACCAGCACTAACAATGAATGGTCAAACAGGCCATATGATCCTTGTGGTGGTACCCCGGGGTACCAAATAATACAAAATGGCCGAGGCAATTAAATATTTTATTTCTGGGACACTGTTTTTTCCAGGGATGTACTTCACTCCGACTGGGGTACCAATCAATTCCAAATCAGTGCCACTCCGCGATGTCGAAACGCCGCGAGGACGATTGCGCTGAAACCCTGAACGCTTGTACGCACCATAGTGGTGCATCGTGTACAGCTCGTCGAGATGAGTCGATTGCCGCATCGCCGACCATCAACAGACTAAAAACGACTGCATCACGGACATTATGCAAAAGCTGGGGTACTGTGGTACCCATGGGTACCGCCATAAGGTTCATATAATAATAATTACTATCACGCCCTCACAATGCAAGCCATTGCGGCATGGAGTGGGAGATTCCCTTATGTAGAGAGCTGAAAATTTACTGTCATTAATGTCCTGAAAGCGTTAATTATAATTGCTTTTGAAGTGTTCCCATTATCTCTCATGCAAAAGTGGTTTCTCATCAGCCTTTCAACTATAAAAAAGGCAAAGGTGCAGCCCTGGAAACGCTTACTAAGTTCGCTGATGGCAGGAAGGGCCTCCACGAGATGGAGATCGAGAGATCCCGAACTTTTTGTTTTGGCCTCCTCTTCCACGCTGGCCAGACGTCTCACACTTTAACCAGCCACACGAGACCTGCCGATCAACTGACTGTGGTCAACCCGCTTCTATTTGTAGGTGGACGCAGGCGTGGCAGATTTAAGAAACATTCCCATTGTTTCACCTGCTGTGGTGAGAGATTGAATAGAACTGGCTACCACCATATTGTGATCGGAGTGTGTTAAACATTACACCATCACGGAAACCTCGACTTTCAATAAAGACTGCTAAACCAAAACAAATTCTTACTCTGTAAGTGAAAGGTGAGATTCCTTTGACACAATGTGCGTTTGGGAGTGTGAGCGCGGATGAAAGCGAGTTCGTTTTAGCTGCTTTTGTTGATTTGGGAGTCTTGCACGGGTGGGCAGGGTGGGAGGCGTGTCAAGCACAGAGGAGTACAGCCTTTTAAAAATGAAGTAACTGTTTTGGTGGTTTAAAAAAAAAACACATTCCTCATCGGCTCAACTCGCCATGAGCAGCAGTGCCGATCGGGGAATGTTTTCATGCACTTGGAGAGTTTAGCCGAGGGTGGAGTGGGATGGGGGGGGGTGCGAGGCGTGAAATGTGACCCACTAAGGGAGAGTCTAAAATGTCGTGCCCGCGTTCTGTATCACATGGACGCAGCAGCTGTGGGGGGCGCTTCTAAATTTATCTTTTTGCTGAAACACCCCCAACCCCCACCACACCCCACACCGCTTCTGCAGCACAATGTGAAGCTGCTGGAACGCGATTTACGTGTCCGAGTGTGCGCCGCACGTTCCAGTTATTATTGGTGGTTTATGCTGCTTAGAGTCGGACCGTCGGCACGCGCGAAATGTCCTGAGCGCACCGATGATTTTTTCCCCCCCCCACCCCCAACCCCTCTCGCGGCGTTGCAGGTGCTGGTGTTGATGGTGGTCGCGGTTAGCGATGCTGAAGAGGGAAGCGGAGTGGTTCGGCGAGCCGGCAGGAGGCGGTGGTGGTGGAGAAGGCTGCCCCATGTCTGTCACAGGTGAATCGTCCCCTCTTTTTTTTACTGTCGCCTTCTGGTGAACATGGTGATGAGAAATGCTCTGCATTTATTTCAAAATTAAATAGTTACCCGGCATGAGCACTTCAGTCAACTGTCAATTAAATGAACCGATAATCGCTGTTTTGGTACGCGACCTATTGTAACCATGCTTGTGTAGCTATGATCTGTACTGTACAACATGAGTACTTTTGCAGGATGCCCATGAAATAAAACCCGGCAGCTCGTTAGACTCTTGTTGCTAGAATAAATAAAATCCATCCATCTAAATGATGCCTTTACGAGGCTAACTGGCGAGCATTGGATAAAGCCTCTTTATGCCGCGTTTTCACGGTCATAAGAAACTAAATCCGAGGCGTGCCGAGCCGTTTTTGGTACGAGCATGGCATGGGGCCCGATTACAAAATCTTGCCGCTACACATCAGTTCCATAGCCTTTATCAGAGATACACAATCGTATGTAAACAAATGTGAACACATGCTTTGGTTAGCTTACTCAATCCAAAACTAGAGTGTTATTTTTCGTATCGTAATTTTTTGTTAAAAAAAAGATAAAAACATCTCCAGACAATTTACCTAAACTAAACTATTTTTCTTATTTTAGCTGGGAAGGTCCACTGAGCTAATTAGCTCAATTCGTGGGAAGTATCCGGCGTTTCCCGGGGGAAAAATATATTTAAAAACTTCTCAAAACTTAAGAACATAACATATACAAATGAAAATAAAACTTTGATCATTACCTCATTAATTAAAATGAAAATAAAACCCAACGCGCGGTGGAAATAAAAACTTGCGCTCGCGCGCCAAGATTCGATTCTTTAAATCGAGCAACGGAATCGAAGGTTGTAGATTTCTTTAGAATCGGCCTATTCCCGTTTAATCGATACCACAAACGCTCACCAGATATCGATTCTCGCCATTCCTGTATGCGGGTTGACGCCACACAATTCATGGTGATTCCCCCCCCCAAAATATAAAGTCTATTTTTAAACGTTTTACATTCTGTACAGTATGGGAGCTAGCCACATGGCAAATGTAAAGTTTGTAGCCTAGTATATTATACCCATTATTTCCCCCCCCCCCCGGCCGCGCATTTGTGCAGGATACAGGGCCTACACGGAGGGTTTGGGGGGGTGACGTCGGCAGGCACACTGCGTGACGCTGCCGCATGCGGGTGACATGACAGAGATGACGTTACAGCTCAATTGCCCCAAAAATATACAAAAGTCTATTTTTATAATTTGTGCATGGTGTACAGTCTGGAAAGTACCCACATGCCAAATTTCACGTTTGTTGCATGTCGGGAATTTCCCTTTTATATATATAGACTAGCTGTACTACCTGGCTTCGCCCGGGACTTGGATTTACCACGCCCAGCCGCCTTTGTCTCCCCAGTGGCGATGTTCACACACCACACACCAGTTACTCGTTTGAGGCTGAGTCGACCTAGGGGAGGCCCAGGACCGGTTCAATATAATCGTCCCCGGTTGGTGGCCATGAGCGTGAATCGAACTCGGGTTGCCGGGTTCGTAGCACGGCGCGCTAACCACTACACAACAATGCGTTACGCTACCACATGCGTGGGTCACGTGACAGATTTGACGTCACAGCTCACTTGCCGTGCAAAAAATAAATGCATTATTGAGCTCCCTCCCCCCCCAAAAAAACACAAGTGTAATTTTATAATTGTTGCATGGTGTACAGTCTGGAAAGTACCCACATGGCAAATTTCCAGTTTGTTGCATGTCGGGAAGTACGCTAAACATTTTGAACAGACACACATACTCACAACTTTGCCTTTTATATACTGTATATGGAGATTTCAGAAGCGACTTGGCCACAAATCATATCTCAACGAAGTGGCTTGTCACGTGTATAATTTATCGTATTCCAAATGCTCTACACGCATATTGATTCTAAATGTGGAGGGAAAAAAACAGAGGAGCTGGAGAATAATCCATGCGACCACACGGAGAGAGATACGCAAACTCCAATTATACAGGCATCAGGGTCAGGATAGAACCCACGGCCTCCTGCATACCAGGCGAAATAGTTAACATCTCGCCGCCATGGCGACCTAGTGAGCGACGCAATTTGACGGTGTTCGTCTCTCCCGCGTGGAGCCCGTGATGTAACTGCCGTGTCTGAGGACGGGCCCCGGTGAAATTGGGGCCGTGACCCCCTTGTCAAAGCAAACCACGCGGGCCGACACGGCCCGGTTGCAACGCGCTCGGCTAAGTATGGGTCCGGCCGCTGTTGTTGTCCGGGTCGAACCCACTTGCCCGATTTCACAAATCTGCCCGGCCCGGATTTAGGTGGCTGTGGGAACCCAGTATTAGTCTCTTCAGCTGACATTTCTCTAACAATGGCACTCGCCTACTCCCTGTTCAGATTTTGGTTCTCTTTGTCGGTGTCCAAAGCGGTAGGATTATAGCTCGTATCCAGATATTTGTGGCCGTTGGTTTAATTGTTCTCCTGTGCTTTTGTTGTTTTTAAACCGGTACGATCTTGTTTGAGGAGATCTCTGTTTGGTATAAATTGTTATCTTCGTGCCACGTATTCGTGGGTTGGCGATGTTGGCAGAGGTATCTTTGTGTCGGTTTGCGTGATGAGCCCTTGTCTGTGTACTGCTGCTTGTGTTGACTAGTGGTAGTCGCTGACCTTTGTCCACGAGCAGGTAAAAAACCCACTGAAACTGTGAGTGTGTGCTTTTCAATGGTGATGTGTGTTTCAATAATTATGAGGGCTTGCCCAAATTATTGTATTTTGTAGGGGGTTTGTTTGACCACACTTCACAACACTGGTTGGTGCAGATTGGAGAAAATGAGAATGTAAATATGGAAGCACGTGTTGTTTGTATGATGTTTCTTAATATTCTCTACGTGGAACTCTTCGGCAGATCTGTCCAAGGCATGGGAGAACATCCACAAAGCAAAGAGTGCCGTAAGTGAAGTTACCGATTGACACCGTGATCCACGATCTCCCCCAATTTTATTTCATTATAAAATGAAATAGTTCTTGTTGAGGCTCTGGGTTCACGTTGAGGATGTGGGTCCGTGTTGAGGCTCTGAGTCTGTTGAAGCAGTCGAATCACGTTCATGCTCTGGGTTTGCGTTTACGCTTTGGAATCACGTTGAGGCTCTGGGTTCACGTTGAGGATGTGGGTCCAAGATGAGACTGGGTCCACGTTGAGGCTGGTTTTCGCGTTGAGGCTGGCCAGACATTGGCTACTTACACAAATAAATGCTTCTGTTCAGCATTGGTCCAAGAGACCCATAGACCAATAAACTGATAAAATATTTTGCCTCTTTTTCATTGTGCTGCAATAATCCTCCACAGTGGTGCAAGTGGAGGATTATGAGTCATAATACAATATTGTTTTAGATTGCTTGTCCTTTTAATACAGGGTTCTTTAACTATAATTTCTGGCGGCGCACGTAAATTGGCATGTGCGCTGGCGGCGGGCAACGTGACATCATATGTCGAGGGTATATGTCTGACGTAAGATGTTGTCGTGACTTCATGATGGTTTGTATATGCGACTATTAATCCGTACAACTTGAGTTCTCCTATCCGTGCCTCGTTTATCTTGCTCTCATGTCGCTAATCTACGACTCAGCTCTCGCGTTTCCCTCTGCCATCTATCTCGGCAGCTTCACCCTCCCGGGCTGCACCTCTCTCCGTGTTTTAATGCCGAGTCGTATCTCTTGGCCGAACGCTGCAAGTAGCCTTGCAACAGCGTGGGCCCGCCAGCTGCGGAAAACCCCCTGCTTTTACGGCGTCGGTATCGTCTCTTCGTGACGTCGATGCCGCGGCGAAGGGGGAGGGGGACGAAGAGGTTGCGCGTCGTTGTGTTTCTCTTCCCCCCCCCGGCAGCTTCGTCACATCGAGAATCGTCTGGAGGCGGTGAACGCGAGCACCACCCTCCTGGATCTGCCTGTCCACCAGAAGCCACCGGCGAGGCAAAGCAGGAAAATCCCTCGCGGCGGTAATTGGCGTTGCCCCCCCACCCGGCCCCCCGTCCCCGCCCACTCCCCGCCCACTCCCCTACGACCCGTAGCTTAGCCGCCGTGCTGACGTGCGAGATAGCGAAAGAGGATTTGCGTCATGAATTTGCGGAATGCGCAGCGCGTTGTGGCGGGCAATTAAGTCGGAGGTTTGTTGCGAGCGGGACGAGCGAACTCCGCCTGCGTCTGGTTTGCGGTGTCTGCCGGTTTCATTCACCGAGGAGAAACGTTTTGGCGGACGATGGGAAAGTTAAACAAAAACCAAACGATGGCTCTGTCGCTGCCGGGATTTTTCATGGGAGGCAGTGGTGGGGGGGCGGTGTGAACTTGCGTGATTTAAGCAACGGCGGCGGTGTCGTAACTCGCATACTTCTGCCGGCAGTAATCAAATAAGGCTGTTGGTAGCGCAACAGGGGGCTAATGCTGATCAGCTCGTGGAGAGTTGCCTCGTCAAAGCTACACGTAATAACTCGCTCCTGCCTACATGCCCCCACTCCTCTGCGTGCGCGTGTTCATGCCTGCTGCCCCCGCCGCGTGTAATTAATTCCATACCCGCCCCCGCCCCGCGAAATCCCACGCCGTAAATATTTAAAGAGAAGTTGTCACAATACTCTGCGCGCACAATGCGCATTTACGGCCGTCTGTTTGTAGTAATTGCCGCGGCGTTTTTCGCGTCCATTATCGTAATAAGAGAAAGCACTGTGCCACCGCCGCCGTGCTCACCGTGCGGTGGTATTAATGGAGGGCGCGGCAAGTTGACTGGCCGGCTCGCTCGTCAGCCTGCACCATCGGTGATTACGTGCTAGAATGCTGTTGACTAAGAATAGGCGGCGCTAAGTTCAACCCCCCCCCTTTCCTTATTTCATCGAGGTATGAGAATGAGACTGATATGTAAACTGAACAAAAACTCACTCTTCCAGAATTGTGGTAGTGGCGTGAGATAAATGTCATGGAGTCATAAGAAAGGAATGCAAAAAGAGTGACCAAACCGGATTGGACATGTTCCTCCCGCCCTTCTACCTGTGCGTCGTGGGTTTGAAACGTGGCAATCGAATGTAGATACAATAGCTGCGTTGATGAGTCACCTGTTTTTCTCCCTCCTAGGCGTTTGAAATCGCACTGTGCTCCGCGTTTGCTCGAGAGATTAAACATTAATTGGGGAGGAGTTGAACTTGCGCAATTTGTGGAATGTTTGCGAGCTTTACCTGCCCGGTGTAACGCGGCGCTGCTGCCGCTAGCGAGTCGCCTGTCGGGTTTAACCCAGAGGCACACGGACTCCTCGCTGCCGCTTGCCGAACTTGCCGTCTCTTCGTCCCGAAACAACGCAGCGGGGGCCGAGCGGAAGATTACCGAGGGCTACACCGTCGACGTGCCGGCCCGTACTTCGCAAGCGTCGCCAGGGAGTGTGAAGGAGGCGCGGGCCGTGCCAGACCTGCGCTTGCGAGGGCCTCCTCTGGAAAATGGGGCCTCTCCTGCCAGCGTGGATTTAGTTAGGACATCACAGTTTCCAAGGTAACTTCTGCGTGTTGCAGATTTTTTTCTGAATACAATTCATTGCGCCTTGTTTTTTGGTTTGACGGACCGCATAATGCTGATGAGTTGGAGAAGTCGAAGCCTGTTAAGGATTTGTCTCAGCTTGAAAAGATTCTGGTGGAGAGTGTATAAGATATTCAGAGGGTCTACTGACCGATGTACCGATATGTCATTGTATGTTATAGAATAAAAAAAAATGGATTCTTACACTTGCGGCACATGTATCAAAGTGTGTGCCTGAGGACAATTATTCACGATTTTAACAAATTCTATTCAAGCGATGCGCCGATATTAGCATAAGGAAGCTAGTGTAACTTTACAAACGAGACGGCAAAAATGAGACGTTAAAGAATTGACACTCGGGTTGAATTGCCATTCTGAATCATGACAATTGATTTTCGAGGAGCGTGGAGCAGTTAAATTGTTCCCTGTCCAATATTTTATCCGTAAAACAGATTCTTCCGTTATTATTACAACTACATAAACCTATTATAACCTTGCATTTGTAAAACCATAACCAAGCAGCGAACCGCACTGGCGTTAATCGCCTGTGGTATGGCACCGCTGAGCGCTGCTGCTGGGTAGTAGTTGTGAGCAGAGTAGTAAAATGTGGCTTGCGTCGTTAATTACCCCCCCTCCGCCCCCGGGGCCACTTGCGACGGTGACGTGAGACCCGGGCGAGTCGGAGATCGCGGGGTTGAGGGTGTGGCTCCATTTCCACCGAACTACATTCTCTTCGGTTACCCCATTGCCACCACCGTGAGGGTCTTGGCGCGAGCGCTTCTGTTGCTGCGCTTGTGTTTTTCGCTGCTACCGACGCTGTTCGAAAGAAATTTCCGCTTCGACCGGCAGCAGACGAACGTGGATTGTTGTTTTTTCCGCCGCTTCGTGACGGACGCTGTAAGAATTTCGTTTTTCTGCGAGGTGAGATTGACAGCTTTCCTCGTTAGCTCGATGGCGAGGAAGGGAGGATACTTGCAATTCCATTTAGCCACTCGGTGGTTGAATGAGCAATAGCGCTTTACAGATTCTACAACATTCCGATTTCCGCGTCGTTTGAGAATGATAACGTCTGTCTGACCTAACGAAAACGTTGCCGACTCTTTAATCACCGACGACGTGTCCCAGGAGTTTTATCGTGAAGTTCATCTATGCTTTAACACGTCGGCAACTTCTGCTTTTAACTTTCTCCCGTTGTACCCCTGAAGGCCTCGGGAGCGGCACAGGCAACCGGGCTTGACTCGAAGCCAGCTGGAGGCTCGCTGGCTCCTCTCCGAGCAGACGCGTGCCGAAACGGAGGTGGCGAGCCCACGGAGCCGCGAGATTTACTCTGGTGACCGGCGCGATGTCCTTTCGACCGATTTTGCGAGCGTGAGCTCGTCGGTGGTCGACGGGACGGACGTGCGAATCTTGAATGACGCCGTTGCTCTCGATTTGCTGGAGGGGCAGCGGCGCGCGGGACGGGCACTGATGCTCAACGGATTTGCTCGCCACCACCACGGGGAGGAGGAGGAGGGGGAGCGAGAGGTTGCCGATCGCAGGAATACAGTGGCGGTGACCGACCGGAGAAAGCCGTCGACTAAAAACAAAGAGGAGGCGATTGCGCTGGCGCATGCGCCGCACGACTCCGAGCGCAGCCCTCCGCAGCGACTCGCTCGGAACTCGACACTCGCAGCTTTTCCGCAGAAAGAGCCGACCTGGATGGAGTGCAACGGTTATTCTCAGCACCGGCCGTCGGCGGCAGCGGAAGATTTCCATGCGAGGAATCAAACGGTTGTGCCGACCGGCCGAGATGGCGACGGGCTCTCCGGCTGCACTTCGCCGAAGCCCGGCGACAAGCTGCTGAGGTTGAAGGAGCGTTTGGGCAGACAGGCGCATCCGGAGCGTGGGAGACGCCCAAATGGGGAGGGGCCGAGGGTTGATGAGGACTTCTTGGCAGCTGTCGGTCATCATGTCCACGGCGACACGATGAAAAGTCGAAACCAGGCTGGCCGGTCGTGCGTCCTCAACAATGGTGAGTGTGCTTGGTCGCTGCCCTCGGAGCGTTACTCAAAGTTCAATGTATTTTCTCTTAGACGATAGAAAGATGAGTTATTGTATGGTGACCAAGTGGACTTGAGGTTAGACAACCTGAGCCAGTGCTGCTGAGATTCTGGGTAAGAATCCGAGTTTTAGGATTTCGTGATTCTCAGCTGTGCCAGCTCAGAGCTCTGAATTCTGAGCCACCCTCCCAGGAGAGGGGGAGAGACTTTAAGTTGACTTCAAGGAGAATGCTTTAGTGATATCACTTAAAAAAGTCAGGAAATCACAACTCTGATATCACTGGAGCTTCACTTACACCGTGAACCTAACGCATTCATAACAATCCTTTAAACACACTCTCAGGAATTGAACGCAGATTGGCGGATTTGTAGCTTTGTGCGCTTACCACTACACCACTGTTCGAGACCGCCTAGAACAATATCAATACATTAGGCTAAATGCTCTAGTTTGCCTGCTGCATTTGAGATAAGATTCGGGTTAGAGTTATGGTTATTTTCGACACTGAGTAATATATTATTTTTCGGGTGGTAAATTACCTTGAAGTCGCGAGTAATTTTCTTGAACGTCAATCTTTGACGCCAAGCCTGCGTGAACTGGGGGATTTTCACCACGATTTTTTCTTTGAACTGCTGTACACAGACATAGTCTCACAGTAAAACCAGACACCAGCTGAAAGGATGCAAGCAAAAAAAAAGATTCCCATTGAGAATCTTTCAAAACTCTCTTATTCCAAAAGAAACAAAAGCTACGCACTGTAATTCAGCGGGGTGCACATTACCGAACTCACTGGCCCCAAAGATTACGTGACAGCCCTTTTGTCAATCCACTGCTGGATGAGGGCCTAATCACACTGCGGGTCATGCGGGTCAATTTGACCATAGGTGGGGAGCATAGTACAGTACACGAAAATTATTTGCTGCACTGGCCTCTGCTGCTGACAACATATCCTGGCAGCAAGCAGCAGCCTACAGCACCTGCTATTCCTATGTCCAAATTACCGACAATTTGCCTGATCTTAGAAGCCTAAGCGGGCTTCAGCCTGGATAGTGCAAGGCACAAATACCTGTCACTAATGACACACACATTAACGATTGACCAAGCAGGCCTACGTCGACGCGGGGTCCTCCCCACAGCAGAAGCGACCCACACGGCATAAAATCTCAACACGGCCTCACCCGCGTAAAATCAAGGGCCGCCTGACCGCCTCACTCTGTCTCCATTGTCCCGCTGCTCGCAGGGTTAACCCAGGCGCTCGAGTCATCGCGAGCGACGACGGGGGCGACCGGGAAGCACGGGAAAAATCAGTTCTTGGCGGTCAAAGAAAATCACGGCAGGAGCGCAACAGGTACGTCCGCTGCCACCGCCGCTGCTGCGCTTTTAAAGGCTCGAAATTTATTTTCAGCCATTCCACAAATTAGTTAAGCACAAATCATCTGAGTAACAGGTATCGGGGTATCGTTACAGAGGTAATAATCGAAATGCATGTGTTCTTGTACACAAGCCCCCTTGTTCATGCACTGTCGGATGAGGGTTTGTCCGCGCCGTGCGTGTCGTGGAGAATAGGGCACAGGTCTGATTAGATTGTATTGGAACTGATCGTTCTGTTATTATCATTGTTACTTGTGCTCCGTGAATAAAATTTCGGGCTCTAGGATTGCCCAGCGGTAGCAGAAGTTCGTGGTTTGAATATGGCAGGCCACCCTGGTTAATACTGCAGGTGGATTAATCGTAAAATTGTACCCGTCGTCTGCTTCACAGTGGATTTTGGAGATATGAACCTTATGGTGGATCCCCGGGGTCCTGAATAAATGGAAGTCAAAATCGTAATAAATGTATTTCTTTTTGGCGACTCCGTCCCACCACGCACATAAACGCTGCGACCCACCTGGCGCGGATCATTCTGTTGTCATGTCATCCAAGCGCAGCGAGGACAAATGCGCAGAAGAAACAAAACTTTTAAACTTTGATTTGCGCATCGTGTAGAGCTCGTCGAGAGGAATAGATTACCGTATCGTTTGCCTTCAACAGACATAAAATGACGTCGCAACGCAGTTTATGTGAGAGCCGGGGGCTTATGGGACCCCGGGCTCCCGCCATAATGTTCATATCCTGACGTCCAAATTTTCCAAATTTGTTAAATCACTTCGTTGGGATTACACACAAACAGCAACAACATAGTCTCGTGACCTGTGAAACTGCTTGCAGACTACGTCTGTGAAAGACAGTGCCTCCCTTCCTGATGCCCTTGCACTATGAAAATGGCACGAATGCCAAATGTACACAATTCTAATTTTTTTCAATCTCACCACAGGCATGGGCCAGCCAGCCAGGGGGAACGTGGGTCAAGTGTCCACCAGAGGCCCTGTACCAACGCGAGATCTTAGCCTCATACAGGGCACCCAAGGTACGCGCACATCTCCTGTTCATCCCGATTGTACTCTATTGTGTGCTTTGTTGGCCGTACGACTGCCTTGTGGTCAGACGTTAAGGCAGTTTGTACGCTGGAAGCCTTTTAATTCTCCGAACAGCCCGTGGTCGTTGACAGTGCATTGTAATCGGTCAAGTATCTGTGAAATATTTTGGCGAAACAGTTGCAAGTAAGAGGCGGTTGTGTGTTCACGTAGATTGGAGGCGTGTGTTGGTCTGAATCGTTAATTCAGAGTGAGTGGCCTACATGTAGCTTCACTCCTTGATCTCCAATCCTGGTCGAGGACTCAGTCTACCAGACCGAATGTTTTGTCTCATCCACCACACTGGAGGTCACAACAACACACACTCATTCAGGCACTCACCCACTCATTCACCAACACTCACTCACATTCATTCACCACACTCACCCATGCACTCGCCACACTGCGGCACTTTGCAATCCCATTGTTTATTTTCCTAAGCCCTTTTAACATCCGTGCTCAAATCAAGAAACGCATTAACGCTTATTTATTGCGAGTGCTGTTTGTTGCTGGATGCTTGACATTTTGGTCCTGTGCTCAGCAACTGACTTGCAAAAAAATGATACCCCCCCGGCGGATTTACGTCAACTACCCACCCCAGCATTAGCAACAAGAGGTTGTGAACGTGAGCGCTTGCACCACGAAATAAACACAACATAAACATAGAACGCTCACGCACGGACGCAGACGGACTCGCATCGTTTCGTTAATCTTCATTAACCGCTCAGACTCGGCGGCGACCTTCGCCGGACGAATTGTTTGCAAAAAAAGTGTCCTTTTGGAGTCGCGCCAAGCGCGGTATCTACAGCCCCAGCTATAAATAGCAAATGGCTCTGCAGTGCACAGGCAGCTGGGCTCCTCAGCACCCCCCTCCACTCCAATCGCTCCTATCACAGTTTCCCTTCCACCGTAACTGTGGTGCGCTTGGGCACCGGCATCGTAGTTTTTTGCGGCGCTGTGCCTGCACTCCGGCGCCTGGCGCCAGCAACCTTTCTCGCCAGTCCCAAGTGATCGTCATCATCGTCGTTATCAGTCATGGTCCATCCACCGCTTGATGAGACCTCCACGCCGTCGCCACCCCTCACAGTCCACCGCTGCCACCGACCATTTCGCTCCTGCACAGGAAGTGATCTTATTGCTGCTATCCCGGCGATGGATATTGGCCCTCTTGAATGCGTGTTCGCTCCCTGCTTTTGACAAATGTGTGGTCATGTTACGCTTTGGATATCTGTAGGCACGTTACGCATAAAACTATGAATTCCACAACCCCCCCCCCCCTTTTAACTATTATATAATGCTTTTTCACAATATTCTTTAAAGGGCAGCGATTCGATGCATATTTTTGTTGATGAAAATTGATTGTTATCTGTGCGGGTATATGTATTGTGGAATAGCTCAACCGTTCCATCAGAATGTGGAATTTCCACCACCGGTGCGTGAGCGAAACGAGAGGGGAATTCCTTTGTGTTCCTTTGATCAGGACGCCACCTTTTTAGAACAATTTATTTCCCCATTTTCTCTCCACACAGACATTGATGCTCACATCTTTCTGGCCTTCATAAATTTGCATGTTTTTCTGGCCTTCAGCCAGAAAAACATGCAATTTGCTTGTATGCAAAAGGTGGTTTATCGACATAAAAAACCCACAGCAAGGAAGTCCTACAGCATGAGCACAATCGTAAGCATACATGTGAACCCCTTATGAGTGCTTACCTTATTACAGACCAATTCAGACGTTATTTTTCACCCCGTGCCCTTAAAAATCTCAAAGTTCATCCTACAAAGTCCCATCACAAGCGAGAAACGCCAATTTTTTTTAACTCAATTTATTTTGTACAAGAATACGGGTAACCCGTATGGGTGGACAGGTATGAGTAAGTCTCAGCATACTTTGCATGTCAAGATGACAGTACCGTTCCTACCTATATCATGCACATGAGTGTGATAGCTGATGAGTTCTAAGTACAAGGAAAATTGCCTGGTTGATGTTGTTCACACTTTCAGCTGACGCCTATTTAAGGCTATGTGCATAATGTATGAACGAATTATAGTGCTGTCATCTTGACATTAAAAGTACCTTGATGCTTACTGCTGTGCATATATTCATTATATATTCATTATCATCAACATCATTACCAGCCGTGGTCAATCCACTGCTGGATGGATGGAGGCCTCCCCAATTATCATCTGCAGGAAATACTGTTCGAGTAATGCCCTTGCAGAAGGTATAAATTAAAAAACAGCATTCTTGCGTACGCTTTTTTAAGAACTGGTTTTGTGTTTTGGCAACGCTTTCGTTACCGTTTCACTTTACGGCAACTCAATTTAAATGTTTTCCATCATCTGGCTGCGTTAATGCGACGGCGGCGGCGGCGGCGGCGATGGCAGCGACAATGATACCGCGCGCTCTTGCGCCTGTGACGTCGCTCCCGGGGCGCCAACTCTCCGTGCGCGCAGCACCTGTCGCAGCTGTGCACTTCTATTATCCCGGGGGCTCCTGTGTGAATGACGGCCGACTGCGTTGCACTCCCCCCCCCAACACCCTCCCTCCCCCTGCCCTGGGTTTCCTGTGGCTGAGAGTTTTGGTATTTTCGTAGTTGGTAAATCGCGCCCAGCGGACGTGGATCGAGACGCGGGCCGTTGCCGGCTTAATGTTTTAGCGTCACAACGGAAGTTTTGAGTCAACCGCACAGGTGCAGGGATTTTTGAGTGGCTCTTCCAGTTCAAGGAATTTTTTTTCCCCTCCCAAACAGTTGCTGAGCACAGGCCCAGTGGCCCACAATGTCCCAATCCTGGATATAAAAACAGCACTGTTAAAGTTGTAGTAGTTTTATTTGGGTTTCTTGAATTGAGCTGTGTTATAAGAGCTTGTAAATAGAGACGATGGCGAGGTAATTCCAAAGTTGAGCAGCACGAAGAAACAAGCAGAAAGAGAAGTGTTGTGACCTGCAGTGTGGTGGTTGAGTGGTTGAGTGAGCGATTGGGGTGAGTGTGTGTTGTTGTGGCTTGTGTTGTTGTGGTCGAACACCGTGTGGATGAGACTAAACGGTCAGTCTGGTAGACCCTAGTCCTCAACACAGGTGGCGGAATCAATTAATTAAATTCATTGGAAACAGTAGCCTTGGTAGGAGTGATAAAGAATGATCTGACCACTGGCTTAATTTCTCACTGAATATCGTGTAGCTGGTAGATCGGAGGTGGCACATGAGGTGTAGCCACAGGCATTGCGAGAGCTATACTGGATGTGGTGTTCCCGTTGCGGATACATTTTCCATATCCCTGACCTCGTACAGACCCAGCTGAAATTAGGCCCCTTGGCCCAGTGCGTTAAAAATACTACGACGAGATATTACTCGGGTGTTCTGCCTTCCAACGTTTCGATTAAAACATATGAGTCAATGTGGAAATGTTTTCAATCATTCAAGCTGTCAGGATGCTTTCTGTTTTTAGAAAATGATAATTAGAATAACCATTTACAAAAATGGGATGGCCACATTTAGATCATGTCAAGAAAGTAATGCAATAGATATAAGAAGGGGAGTCGGGCAAGGTGATCGACTTATGCCCGAGTTTCACACAGTGACACAATCCTCGACGAAGTGCCGTGCTCCACATTTCTCTGCTTGTGTGACCCGCTCTCTCCCGCACCCGACGTTCCTGACTCGGACCAGGACCCCGTCCGGCGTGGGCAGCGACCGACCGTACACGCGAGGTCGGCGGGGTCGGCCACCCCGCCGACGCCGGTGACCCCATCAGGGCTGCGGAGCTGAGTGTGCAGCTCCTCTCGGAGGAGGTGCAGGGCATCCTCGACGATCTGCAGCTGGACGCTTGCATCGGGGCATTCGAAAAGCATCCTGTCGCTGCCATCCCCGCCACAGCCCCCACCACCAGGCGGATGGTAACTGCCGCTCAGTTGTTTAATTTTTTCCAAAGCAATATTTTGTTCAACGTTAGAATGCACGGCACGCTCCAAGGGCACAGTCGGAGAAAGATGCAAACAAATATAACAATATACATTCAAACACATTGTGTCGTCTGTAAACGTAAGGTAAGAGTGGAGAGATGGTGAGTACATGAGTGGGTGGTAAGAGGTTCGTTGTTGGTTGCTCTATTTTTTTTGTGTTACCACTCCTGAGCAGGGTTGGGGGTGGCCATAGTGGTTGGCACACTGTACTGTAAATTTGGTGACCCAGTGTTTGATTTACAGCCACGGATGACATTGGTGGCGAGTTGGTATCAGCACCGGTCCTGGCCTTCCACCCCATTCGCCAGCTCGCACTGCGCCGTGTGGTGAACTCTGATCAAACAAGCCCCATGACTGACACGGCATGCTGAGCAGCATGCCATCATTGAGTAGTTTGGTCACACTTGATGTTGTAGAACAGAAGATAATATCAGCGTGTGTGTGTGTGTGTGAGTGCTTGTTAACAACACTTGCGGCTATACGGGGGATATTTGTCTTTGTCTATGTTTATAAGTGTGGATTTGTCTGTGTACGAGGACATCCGTGTGCGTCCAAGCATGTCCGTGTGCCTGTGTAGTGCATGCTTACACCGGTGTGTGTGTGTACATGCCTGTTGTATCACATTACATTGAGTTCTTCATGCAAATTGAAAGAACATTCGGAGAGAACTGTGGGGCTCGGTGCCAAGAGCCTGGGCATTATCACGAGATTGAGCGGCGTGCTTTTTTCACGGGGGTCGTACAACCGCGTTAATCGCGATGAGGATTTTTTGTGTGCAAAACAATATAAAATTCAAAACGTTCCTCTCTTCCCGAAAACCGCTGCGAGAGATCACAAGGGGTGTTTTTCCGCGCGTGTTGTCACGTGCGTCATGATGACTGCATGTTCTCCGTTAAGTTTGGAATATAATCGTTGTTTTTCCTCTTCGCTGTAATTACTGCGGGGTCAAAGGGGCTGTGCTGAGCCACACTGCCATGAACCCGTTGTGACTTGAGTTTGAATCACTGCCAAGGCTAACATCAGTGATGAGTGATATCTGATGCGGTCCCGGTGCGATTACTTTATTTCCTTCACCGAACCATGCTGGCCAGCGTGTCCAACCGTTATAACCTCCGATAAGCACGGTTGGCTATGTACGGTGTGAAAGAAAATCAACATACATCCATACAACACCCATGACTGATATTGGTGTTGGGGGGCCTTAATCCAGCAGTGGATTGGATTACCAAAAGACGTGTGAATTACTATTGTGTTGATATTATATATTGTACAGAAAAGAGGTGGCCGGATGTCTCAGGAGAAGTGAGAGCATTTAGCCTACGCCTCCTTAAGATTCTGGGTTTGAATTCTCGTTTCATCCACCGGTGATTAAACTGGTTTCTCAAGTTTAGCAAGTTGATTGTTTCCCCTCCTGTTGTCAATTACAAAAAACAAGCATCCATTCAATTAGGCAAACACAAAATATAACACATTCCTGCGGAGAGAGCTGGTAGGAACGTTGGGTTGCTCGGTCAATGGCCAGGGTCAACGGCGGCAGTGGTGTATTCCGCAAATTTGCCCGATCTGTGAGGGCGGGCACAAGCCGGCGTGAGTAGGTTAAACGTTGAGTTTTATAAGGGCACCACGGGGTGACCAGCCCCTCCCCACCCAGCCCCACGCCTCCCGCCCCCCACCCAGCCCCACCCAGCCCCACCCAGCCCCTCTCCACCCAGCCCCACCCCTCCCATTTTTGGATGCAGGACAGACGGACACAATAATCCCCTGTGGGCTGGTGTAACCAGGAGGTTCCTACCAGTATTAATACAGAAATATTTCCAGGGTCATTTGACCGGCACTGATCTGAGCGCTGATGTGGCTTATTACAGCGGACAACCAAGGGCACGCCGTCGAGACGGCTCGATCAGGACGGCGCACAGGAGGCTCGCGACGCCGGGTGGACCCCTACTGCCGGTTACACCGATGCCACGGTGCCACGGAGTGCCGACGGTCGGCAGCTGCCGGACCGGCATAAGCGGCGCGCGGAGGAGAGGCGTGTGTTGCGGCGGGCGCCGGAACAGCGAGGGGAGCCGGCACATCTGCACGCGCCGCACCACCACCACGCCTCCTCGGGGCAGCAGTGGGGGGTGGACGGTGGTGGCGGCGGTGGCGGTTTCTGGGACGAGGATCGTCACCGCCTCGAGATGCTGGGACGGACAGGGGTCACGCAGGTGACTTATTTGGCCTTGTCGGAATGGCCGTTGTGGTAGCATTGGCAGCAGCGGAAGCAAGAGCATCATCAGCAGTATCATGATGATCATCAGCAGCCCTTTAGTATGGCGAATGTCCTCTTGGACGAACTCTTGGCTGCCACTCCTTCGTTAGTCTCCATTGGCAGCCATCATCCCTTCTTCTGCCCTGTCCCACTTTTCAACATTGTCCCTCTTGGTTACGTATGTTCTCTGTGCACAATTGGCTTGGCCACCTCCTAACCCTCACGTTTTGTCCGTTTGTCTTCTACCCTAGACCCAGTACCGCAAGTTGGCTCAACCGCCTGGTGAGTCTAACAAGGAGAACTGGGGATTCCGCTTCCCCGGCTCAGCGAATGCTGTCAACTTCCTGAACAATGGCCAGGTAATGGGTATCACCACCACGAGCGCCCTCGCCTCGTCGCCGGACTACCGCGACCAGGAACTCCCCCCTCAGCCGTACGGCTGGAGGCCATCCGATCCGGCGGAGCATCCTTCCTGCAGCTGCGGATCGAGACTGGACAACCCGTCCCCGCCCAGCCTCGTGGGGGCGTCGAGCCCCGACTCGGATTTCTTCCTGGGCCTTCCGTCCCGCGGACGGCGCGCATTCGACTCGACGGCACGCCACCCCGTCGCGCACGACGACGACGACGCCGCTCGAAGGAGGAGGAAGGTGGATCGCATCGAAGCGCTCAAGGTGACGGCGGCCCGACTGGCGAGCCGGCTCGAGGAGGAGGCCCAGACGCTGGCACGGACCGTGGTGGCCGGCGGTGGCGGAGGCAGGAGCGGCGAGAGCGGCGGCGGCAGCCACCGGCGTGGCGACGCCGAGGCACCCGACGAGTTTTGCCACGGCGCCGGTCGGCGCGACGGGCACTCCTACCGCCCGCCGAAGAATTACGACCCCAGAACGAACTACGATCCCGGGCCCGAGTACGAGACCTCGCAGGGAGAAAACGAGTTGATGCGGAAGCTGGAGAGGATCCTCGGCAAAGGTTCGGGCTCGCGGAAATCGGCGTGGGAGGAGCGGGTGTCGCCGGCGCCGCCGCGGGGCTCGGGAAGGAACGAGGCGGACGCCGCCGAGCGTTCCCCGCGGGAAGACTCGTACCTGCATGCCCTCGACGCCGTCGGCAGGTCCGTCGAGAAGCTGCGGTCGCAGAAGCGGAAGCTCTCGCCGCAAAGTCTCTCACCGCACAAGTTTTCGCCGAGCGAGTCGACATCGCCGGCGCCCGCAGAGGAGCCGCCGGCCGGCGGCATCGGCGCAGTCGTCCTCCGCTGGCGCGATGCGGCGGGACGAGGAGGCGGCGGTGGCAGCGGCCCGACACGCGACGCCAGCGCCGAAAAAAACGGACCGGCTCGTGGGCCAGATGCACAGCGCAGAAGGCGGAGCTCCCAAGTGAGTGGCTTCCTTTTAGTGCGCCGTGCGTACGTTGAGCCGCGGACCCTTTCCGACGGTTTGTGTCGGAGGGAGAGCACCCTTCCCTTTGCCGTCCGTTTTGTTTTACGCGTTGGCTCGCGAGTCTGTCGTGAGGGCCGCTTTGGGGGCGGCTGCGGCGGTTGTTTGATTTGTTGATTGCGATCGGATCGTCTGCTCGTGTTCCATGCATCCAAATAAATAGGACGGAACATAGCTGGACGGTACAGAGGAGGCGGAACATAGACAGACAGTACCAATGAGAATGTCGAAAAAGGACAAAACGTACGAGATGGAGAGTACACTCGAGACAGAAAAAATAATTGATTTTTTTATCAAATCATCCTGATCCTATCACATTTAATTTACTTTGGTGGGATGGGGAATCGTTTACTGCCTATTTCTTGCATTTATATTTATCACCCAGAAAAGTCTCATCGAGTCTCAAGAATACATTTGGATGTTTGGCTGGATTTCATTTTTTTTTCACATGGGAGGAAACCGGAGAAAAGCCATCACGCCGACCCGGTGGGGCGACACTCAACTCCCTGCAGCACTGAAGCTTGCAACGTGTGTCAAGCCCTGGTGTAGGGTCACCCATCCAAGCACTAACCTGGCTAAACCCCACTTAGCTTCTGACATCCGCCGAGATGGGGGGGGGGGGGCAGGCGCATTAAGGGTGATTTAGTCGTCATTTATTTTAACACGGCATTTGACCTCGCTGCCCGATTGCTCACTCGCTCGATCGCTCGTGTGTGCCGTCGTTTGGGAGGCCACTAGAGGGCACGGTTAGCTTGCAGGAAGGCAACACCCAGCTCACAATAATCCATTTCCTGCACCGCTTCGGCCAGATATGACCTCCGCGCTTCCTGCCCCTCGCAAGGCAGAATAATGCGACGCTCAGCAGAGTTGAAGCCAGACGCGAAACTGTTCGCCCTCTACGCAGAAATTCGCTTGAATTGTCACGCTTCTGAGTCGCGCGACATTACATTCCAATGTGGATTTTACATGGCGGCATCTAAATGTGACCGTGTCTCAAGACACGGTACAAAAACAGTGGGTCAATTTATTTTATGGAGAGAAGCGGTCAGCCATAGATCCATATGCGAGTCTGTGGGTCTCTCAATGGGAACCTGTAAATTTCTGGATCTCTGTGAGAGGCCTTGCAAAGAAAGGGGAGTTTTATAATGGCATTTCAATTGAACTTCATCTCGCAGTGGCCATATTTATTTCAGAAGGAGAATGATGCGGCCAGTCACAGGGAGAGGAAAACAAACAGAGGACGTTGTGTTGTGGCCCGTTTTCACAGTCTCATATTGTTTCTCATATTTTCTATTGACACAGCTTTGCCCATTACGCTACCGTAGATGTCAGTGTAATAGCCCTTGAATGAAAATAACAAGTCGGGGAAAGATCATGCTGCGTTGTCATGCATTGTGACGCTTTCCAGCGTGCGTTTGTCCTCTGCAAGTGCTGAATGAGAAGTATGGATGCTGTTTACAGCTGGGCAATGGCTGTTGATGGAATGTCAGCGTTTTATATTCTTATAATAATCTATAATTGCCTCTGACCAAATCACCCTGACTGCATGCCCCGATGTCATTGTAAACTAAGCAGGATGGAGACAAGTCCATACTTAGATGCGAGACTGCAAAGTGGGTTCTTGAATCCATCTGTGAGGAGCTTTCTGAGTGTCACCGCCTCGTATGTGTGCCTGGTGCGTGTTCTAGGGGATCCGGTTTCCTCCCACAACGGGAAGCCACATTCCCACGAATGATATTGCGCAAACATCCAAATGTAGCAGGAGCTTCCTGAGAAGCAGTCTTGAGGTTCGGTGACGCTTTCCTGCATAAATGCCATTGTTTTTCCATAAGGCAAGGGAAATGACAGGCACTTAATATTAATTCTTATAATTTCATTTTATATGAAGTCATTTATGCAATTGCATATCAATTATCCATTTCCATACTTAGATGAAACATAACCCAATTACTTAGCAAATAAAAAAATGAATATGTAAATAACGAGCAAAAATATAACATAACCAGAAAGAAATAATCGCAGAGAAAATAAATTAAAATTAAAAAATCAGTTCGGTCTCCATACCCAAGACCACAATCACAACAGTTTATCTAGATTTCTCCAGGTGGCTCAGCGGCTTGCAATCGTATCTTGGTTGGGAGTTGACACAGCCCATCATTCCTCCAGGGTTCATAAAACAAGTACCTCTTTGTGGTTGGAAGTCAACTGTGGTTGCCCTGTGGAAAGACTCACCTCTGCCATCAGAATGCATAATTTATACCACTGGCTTAGGGCTGTAAATGGAAGATGGCTCAACACTCACTTGAGCAGGAAATCACTTTTGACTCTTTGTGTTTGATGCCGATTTCATTGGCCTTCCGGCACGCGGCGATCTTGACGGCGTGTTTTTTTTCTGCCGCTAAACGGTCGGATTGGTCGCAGGGTTAGGCTGAGAGCAGAACACTGCGAGGGGTGATGGCGGATAGAGAGACGTTTAAAAGGGGGGCCTCTGATTTGATGCGAAGTGCCGGGACAATAAATAATAGCAACAAATGGTGGCCCTCTGCGAATAAACGACTGCATTTAATCAGAAACTAAGGCACGACAGCTTGAAAAGGAAGTTGAAGCGATCGCCGTGCCCTCTCCACACCCCCCCACCTCCCCCCGTTAGTGTTTACAATCTGGCGATGGCTCTTTTTAGAATTGCTCGGCCAGTTTTAAGTGGTTTCTGGAGGCATGGACGTAGCAAACAAGGAAGAGAAATCGTGCGATTGCATGCATTCTCGAACGCTGCGCAGCGTGCGGAGGTATTTAATTCATGATAGCGATACTTTCAAGCTGTGCAACGAGATGTATGCCTGTTGAACCTCTTTCGCAACGTACGATGATTGTCACGCGGCGTGCGATGGGCACTGTTGCGAGATGACGTTGCGCATAATGACTTCATCGCCTTGGCCGCCAAGGCTATTGCTTTTAGTCCTAGGTTTTACCATCGAGTGTTTACATTGGATCACCTTTACGAGAGTTATCGTGACGCCACGTCACAGACAGACGCGCTAATGGAGCTTAGTGCATTCAAGCTTTCAACCTTAGATGGAATGCGTGTGAAAAAAATCTTTGCCTTTTTGTTTTGTTGTCGTGTGGAATGGGCAGAGATTTTCAGAGCGGAGAGCTAATTTCTTCTTATTTGTACCGGCAAACACGTCGTCGTGCCGCCGAGATTCTTCTCCGAAAATCATACGCCGGCGAAAATTCCTCGTGTTGTTGGGTCCGTTTTATTGTCGTCCCCCGACCCCCCCCCCCATCAACCCCCCACCCCCCCGCCACCCGCCGGCAAAGGGAGGTGGTTGGTGTAGCGTCGGTCGGCCTCGCTATTTTTCAAAACGAACTGAGCAGGTCCATCTTCGTGAGTGCCACCGAGACGTTTCAAAAGGGGCAGAGCAGAAAAAATAGATGGGTCATCGTCCCCGTCAATGAAAACTGTAGCTCTTTCGAGCAGCGCGCCGGCTTTTAGCTCCCGTTTTTTTCCTTCCCCAACCCAGTAATGGATCCGTCACTGGGTGTACAGTGCCTCCTGGTGTTTAAAAGCCCCTGTCCTTTGTGGCTGCGTCTGATTTAGCCTCACTATTAAATCATGTCTCGCAACGGCGACAACGCCACTGCGCAACCCCCCCCACCCCCCTCCCGCTTTAACTTAAACTTAAAAAAAAAATTGCAATGTTCATGGTTCAAAGGGCGTGCGTGCGCGTTCCCTTTTTGCGCGCAAAATCAGGGGCCGCCTTTTATGGACGGTGATTGCCGAAGCTTTCTCATCCCCCTACCCACCCCCCCACCTCCCACATCGTCGTTTGTAAAGGGCAGAGTTGACTTCTTCCAGTGTGTGACGTCTTGAACTTCCTCTTCATCTGAGAGACGGTCTGACTTCCTGCGTGATGTGAAATTATTCGCTCTGAATAAAATCCACCGTGTTTTTATATATATTTTCTATCAGTGAGTTACCATCTCCAGAATCTCGCTATTCAACGTAGCTATGTGTCCCCATCACGTTAACTTTTTCACAACCTTGTGACCGGCGTGGGGCAGAGGTCGCATGTCAGGATCTCGCTCACCGTGTCGCGACGGCGTTTTTAATGACGACGACCAACAACCAGCGATGAGACGCTTTCTCATCCCCCACTACCTCCTAATCCCCTAATTTTCCACGCAGGAAAGAGCACCGGCTACGACCCACCGACCTCGCGACCCCCGGCGAGCGGAGGTCGCGCGATATTGAGGCCGGCGTGAGTCTGGCATCTCCGACGTCCGGGCGGCGGTCGCCTTGCGCGACGACGACGTCGCTCTCGTCGCTGTCCCCAGCCTCGTCGTCGTCACACAAGTCCCTGTCGAACGGATCGAGGGAGGGTGCCGACGGTGAGTGTGCACGCGCGTACGCTCGATTACATTTAATTTCTTCCCGTCATATAATTGCATACACGACGCACCGAATTAGTCTCCCCGTTCACGCCACACTTCGCCAATCGTGCCTGTCGAAGAGAAAGGGAGAAGTCCACATTGCGATGCGATTAACGTCACTCGGCCCCCACGCACAAGGATATCGCAGAGCTGCTTCTGACAACTCTGCCTGATGTCCAAGTAGGGCGAAGACCCTTCAGCACTCGCGTGATATGACGTGATGTGGTGCTGCTTTCTCTATTGGAGTTTCAAAACGTATGAAGTGGTCCGGCGATACCACGATTTGTCAGGATTCACGGTCGCCATCTCCTGAATCTTTTTTTTTACATTGCAGTTGATGGTAGCGCTTCGAGTGGATTTCCCGGTGAAGTGAACCCATTGCATACAACGTACACCGATTCTAAAAACAACAAACAAACATTGATTCTAAGCTATGGAATTCGATGCATGTTTTTGCTTGCTCAAAATCTATTTTAATCGACGAAACGGTGCAGCGATCCACCACTAATTCAAACAAAAGCCAAATATTCCCTCATATAGCCTTTAACAGAGAGTTGGGGCAAGTGTGTGCTAGCGAACACCTGTGAAGGCCGGCACAGCACACAATCGTGGCCAACACCTTGTCAAGCTGCCTTTGTCTCTCGTGCGAATGTTTACACACCGCACCAGCTTTGCATTTAAGGCTGAGTGGACCTCGTGGAGGCACAGAACAGGTTCAGATAATTCGTCACTGGCCATTAGCGATAATCCAACTGAGGTCGGCGGGTTCGTAGCGCAATGCGCGTACGAATAATCGACCGCTAAAACGAGCGCGCGCACTCCACCGCCCATTGATGATTTGTGTAATGGTGATGATTGGGACGTGTTTTTTTCGTGCAAAATACAGCACATGGCGAGTCCTGCACATACAGTGCGTCTCCCTCTAGCGAAATTTATAGTTTCGCGCCTACTTTTAAATAGCCACCGCCAGATTTATGGCCATTCGCACTCGTCGCAAATGCTTTCTCAAGTTTTTTTTTAGTTGGCCGGCGGTAATTACATGTGGAATTCATGAAGTATGGGTTCTTTTTATTGTGTAAGGCTCGGAAGAACAACATAATTAAAGTAAAATTTACATAGCTAGGGAGCTGATGCCACCAGCTCGTTAGGGAATAAATTACTTGGCAAACGACCCGCGTAATGTAATCAGTTTTTATCTCTGGGCGAGCGCTTGAAACAAATTTGCGTTGCTAAATATGCGTTTAATGCACAAATATTTTAGGCGTGTGATTGAGGTACATTTGTTGTTGTGTGTGTGTGCGCGCGGTGGGGAGCGTTAGTGTAGCAGTTAGCGGGCTGCGCTACGAACCCGGTGAACCTGAGTTTGATTCCCGGCCCGGCCAACATCGGTGACGATTATCTGAATTGGTCCTAGGCCTCCCCTAGGTCGACTCGCCCTCAAATGAGTATCTGGTGTGGTGTGTAAACATCGCCACTAGGATGACAAAGGCGGCTGGGCGTGGTGTTGGCCACCCACCCCCTCGTGTGCCGTTCTGACCTTCATAGGTGCTCGCTAACAGCACTTGCCCCAACAGTCTGTTACAGATTTCGATTTAAAGCTTTCGTGACTGCAGGGATTCATCTTCTTGGTTCTTTCGGTAAAGTCACGTAGAAGGGAAGTAATAAAATAATAAAAATAAAACATAATAAAACAATTATGTTTTATTTTTATTATTTTATTACTTCCCTTCTACGTGACTTTACCGAAAGAACCAAGAAGTCTGTTACAGGTTATATGGGGGATTTTTGTCCTTTTTTTGCCTATGACCAGCAGTCAAAATATAAATGTGGAAGTGCCGGAATGAAACGTATTCGCCCTGCAAGCACGTTAGCTGACACTCACACACGGCCTCTCACCCTCGCACCCTCACATGGACGGAGTGCGGGTCATGCTGCTCCTTTGACACTGGTCAGTGCCAGTTGATGAAGACGGGCAGCGAAAATGTTGGAACCTAGTAGAGTAGAACAACGGATTTTGATTAAATACCCCCTCCGCTCACAACATAGCCACTACAACAACACTTTGTTTTATTCACAGTGGTCACCCATCCGAGGTCTGACAACCGTCGGAGAATTCTGGGTGATTAGGTCATGGGCTTAGACGATTGTTCGTGATGATTTCGTACGGTCAGTGAAGAGCAATCTCAGATATTGTTCTGTATGATTTAGCCATTCAATTGCTTTGTTGCTGACAGTTGGTGAATTGCAGATACACTCATCACCCACTCACTCACCTCCCCCACTGCTTTCAAATTTCTTTTTGGGGGCAGTACGATGTCCTCTGTGTTGCACGGTTTGATGTTCGTGCCCGTAGTTTTTTTTTCACTCGTGTGGTTTGTCCGGATATTGCTCACGAACTGAAACGTGTTGTTGTTGAAACCGTGGGGCTGTTCTTCTGGGCAGACGGCATCACCTACACCACGGTTCTCACCGAATCCGCCGGGTCGCATGAGACCCCCACCGGCGCGGCAGACCCCCACGAGCCTGGGGCAGCCGTCACGGATCTGTTGGACGAGCGCCGGCACCGGGACTCCGAGTTCCTGCGGAGGCTGCGCGCAGAGGAGCGGCCCAGCGGGTGAGTGGATGACGGCTCTGAACGAAAAACCATTTTTGTTTAAATTGACACCGCGACAGCACCACAAGCGTGTTTGCATTTGTCGAGTCGTACGTTTAACTCGGCTCTCTTGTTGGCGTCTGCGCTTCAGCGTGGACGTGGGCGCCAGCAGCAGCCCTGCAGCACCGCCGCCTGGCACTCCACCCCGTGATGCCGCGCCAGGTGTCGCCGCCACCACCACCACCACGTATGCCGCTGCCCCTCGCAGCCCGACGCCTTCCGTGCCCATGACACTGGAGGAGTTCCGCAGCCCACAGAGGCACAGGGGCCGCGAGGCTCGCTGATGTCCCGGCGCCAGAGGCTGCCGCCGCTGCGCCAGCAAGCCCGTCCGCCGGTGGGAAGGGCTCCTGGCAAAAAGGGTTCGGAGCAGAGGGCGCGGACACCGGGCAGCGACAGTGACAGCAGCAGCCGCTGTAGCAGCAGCAGCATCCTGGACAAGCTGAAAAAGTTCCAGGGCCGACTCGACGAGAGGTGAGGCCCGTGGCCATTGGTGGGACGGTCGTCTTGTTGGACTGTGGGAGCGGCGGTGTTGACGCTGGTGCTGAATTGTCGGTCGTGTTATCGCTGTTTTCGTTGTTGCGATTGTCAGCATCATCGTCATCACTGTCACCATCGTCATCATCATCATTGTCACTCTCATCGTCACGGTCATTGTAATTATTATCTTCAGAATTCTCACATCACTATCATTATCCTCATCATTTTCACCATCGTAATTTTTATCACCGTCACTCTGATCTTCGTTATTTTCACCAGTATCCTACACAATCCCTTTGTGCGTTATCTTAGGCCGGCGTTTCTCTCTAGAATACTCGCAAAACATGAATTGTTTTTGCTGTATTCCGTTTTTCGAGTCGCTTTGCGCAGTAAGCTAAGTTTTTCCCCGTATTTGTTGTTTTCCCCCTCTTGCGTTTGTGTCCTTGTGTTCCTGATCCTTCTCTTCTTTTTCCTCCTCTTCCTCCTTCTCCCTCCTCCTTCCCGTCCTCTTCCGTAGCCTCTGCTCGCCTGTGCACTGTTTCTTTTCCGTCTTCACCGCTTACCACTGGGCAGCCCTTGCGCTCTGTTTCCCTAAACTACAGCCCAAACTGGGGCAGTACATCCACATGCAGCTGCAAAGGTACAGCGCCAGCAACTCCCCCATCACCAACCGCGAGCCCTACCGAATGTCTCGCCACACGCGGATGTAACGCTTTCTCTCTCTGCAACCTTCTCCTTTTACGCTCTGACAAAGGGCCATTTCTAGAAATGTCAGCCAGTCGCACATCTACGTGTTGATGGACGTTGATAATGACGAAGTGATGAGTTTTTTTTTCGCGTTGGCATGCATATTAAGTGAAAAACCACACTATTATGAAACGATGTTTTTTTGTGTGCAGTCATCGGTGACCGGGCTGAGACTTAAAATTTTAAAATCTTCACGATCCTCACCCGGTTTCAACAAAATAAATTTGAACCCTACTACCCTTCCGAGCACACTTAATCACAGGAGGTTCAAACCCAGATTCAAGCTCATGATCTCAGTAGTGCCGGCTCAGTCCCCTCTGACCTCTCTGAGCCACCCGGCCTCCGATGATTTTTATGCATATACGTGGCCATGTACAGTACCGCTTCCATAAGGAAGTGGACACCGAGTATTACCCTTCTCTGCAACTATTTATAAGTGGGGTATTTTAGACGCCAACAGCAGCAGTTCACAGCTTTCCCTGACCGTTGGGGAAGCCGGACGTATAGAGGAGGAGTATTGGCCACTAGCGAACCCGTTCGTGGAAACGTTCTTATTTTTACAAGAAGAATTGTCTGTCTTAAGGTGCGCTTACCGTCAGTTCTTTTGGCAGGTGGGTTAGCGTCAGCCCACATCGTGGCGGCTGAGTGGCGCAAGTGGGCTGGCAGTTGCGTTATCCGATCAGCTGGTCAGCCTTGGCCTGTAATGTGACCATCGGTAGCCTGAAAGCCAAGTTGCGTATTTTTAATGGCATCATCATCATCATCGCTGTTAGGCTTCTGCCAGAGTAATTTGCCACTTTGAAGGTTTGCCATGATTTTATTTTTTTATGATCGGAAGAGCATCTGTGAAAAGATGAAGGTAACGTTACTGTGCACACCGCAGCTTTGCTTTGGGATGACAGATGGTTTCAGAGGCTCGAGGTCCATTAGGAGCGATGCGAGAGTTGGTCGTCGATCAATAGATCTGCGGTCATTGTTTGGTGTTGCTGCTTCTGCATTTTCTTTTTATTCTGAAATCACCCGGCAACTTGTAACGACACGCGGGGCACGCTGGGGCGTGAGCATTCTTTGTCTGCCTGCCTGCCTGCGTGCGTACCAACGCGGTGTTTGGATCCAGCCCGATTGTGGTACGACTTTACTCGACTGGAGCGAGTTTTGTTTCCGAGTTAAAACCTGCGCACACATTTGCGATGTGTCTTAAATTCCACTTTTACCCTCTGCGTTGCCGCACGGTGTGACGGAGTTTGCCAGCGTTCGATTGTTTTTTTACTCTTAAGCCAGCTGCGTGCGTATTTTTGGAAGACGCGCGTAGTGGCGGACGAAGGTCCAATGACCGTTATTAATATATTTTTTGTACGCACGCACGCACGTACTTACTGCCACGCCGAGGTCGTTTGTGCTGATATTTCACTTTTTATTAGAACATCTCCGCTGAAACGTCAGGAAAGATATCACCGCGTGACGCATTTCAATACCCCCTGGCATTAAAATCAAATCTTTTAGCGGGCCCCGCCTCTGTGAGAGTAGCGAACGGCGCTCGCCGGGCTGCTGGCGCGTGCATACATGATCTTATTGTATAAAGCGCCGTCGCTCACTAAATTGAATTGCACTGACTATGAGTTTTTTTTTTTTTACAATTTGTGAATGAATTACCACTCTTGGCTGCCTGATACTTCAACACCGGATGTTATATATTTTTTTCACGTGGTCAGCGGTGGATCGCTCACGCCGCTCCGCAGTTATTAACCCGATTGATCGCGTCATTGTTTAACGGGCGGCCCCCTTAACGGCATTGCTTTTTTGCCGCGGGGGTCACTCTTTAACATTCGCGATTAACCCCTCAAAGGAACGCGTTGCCACTAACGCAGCGTGTGATTTAATGCGGGATTTGTTACCAGCCGTGAGTTATCGTGCGGCACGGCTAATGCTCATATAAATGTTTATAAAATATCATCAAAATCGAGGTGGCCTGGGTGGCTGAGAGAGTTCACAGACAGTGAGCAAGAATGGCTGAGATCATGGGTTCGAAGCCAGAATTCAGCCAGTGGTGATGAATCTGGGTATAAGCACATTCACCAACGATGGTGCACACAAAAAATATTCAATTTAATTTTTCACTTCGTTTTTTTTCTTCCATATTTGAGAATTAAACACTTTGGTTTGATTGCCATTGGACAGAACTGTGCAGGCTGTGTGAAATCTGTGTGTCTAGTGATCAAGATGATCACTAGAACCTGGTTGTTGATGTCGATTACTGAGATGAAGGGAACGTGAAACAATCAACATTTCCAATTGTTTTTGTAACGTATATCATTTTGAGCAAGTAGGTGTACCATCCTCGATCCGCTGTCGCTGCCACCCCAGGTACCTGACAAAGCGGGAGCAACGTCTGCGTGAGCGCCGGCGCCGTGCCAAGGAGCTGCTGCTGTGGAAGCAGCGGCTGGACACGGAGGAGGAGGAGGTGCGCAACATCGAGCGGCTGGCGGTGCGCTCGCGGCACGAAGACCGCGGGCGCCAGAACGGGCGGCTGAGGGCGCCGCTGGGCGCCACGCCGCCGAGTTCGCAGCGCGAAGGTGAGTGGCGGCGGGCAGCCACCGGGGGTTACGTCCGGCGCAGGCACCAGCTTCGGCGCCATGGTGTTAGAGACCTCGCCTGGTATGCAGGAGATCGTGGGTTCGATCCCGACCCTGACGGCTGTATATTTGGAGTTTGGATGTTTCTTTCCCCGTGGTCGTGTGGATTTTTCTCTGGGACCCACCGATATTCCCTCCACATTTAGAAACATGTGTTTAGAGTATTTGGCCGATGTAAATTTTCGGACGATAAGCCACTTTGTTACACGATCATTTGTAGCCAGGTCGCTTGTAAAAAAGAGCTATTTTGCTTTGTGGGCCTTACCTGGTAGAATAAAACGTAGTTTAGTTTTCATAGCATAGCTTCCTGCTAGCGGTGCTGTGGTGGGCTCTTAACCCCCTACACGTGCGTGCCCCATCGTCGCCATTTGTCGAGTGGAATTAGTTAGTGGACTTTGTTAACCGTGGTGGTTGAACAGCGTAGATGAGACGTTCGCCTTGTGGGGAAGTCAAGGGTGGAATAAACTCTCCCCCGCCTGAGCAATGTGGACGATCCACTCTCGGCTCAGGGATGTGATCAAATAGATGAGCCCAGTGGTGGTGCTTTTCAAGCCCGGCTTTAGTTGTCCAATGTTATTGAAACGGTGTTGGTCCGTTCTGTGCGTGCGCAGTCCTGCTTGCCGTCTCCAGCAGCCCCACGCTGACGCCCAGGGACAGCTCCGTGCGCTCCGTGTCCAACGCAGACACCGAGAGAGACAACCTCCGAGACAAGTCGTGGCGAGCGACCGACAACCTCTCCGAATGGTCTCTGTCCATCAGGACTGCGTCCGGTGAGCGCCGCTCTACTTCTTCCTCTTCTTCCCACCGGCTTCCCTCCACCCCCCACCACCCCAGTCGTCTGTCTTCCTGCTCCTCTTTCCTCACTCGTCTCTGTCCCAGGCCATCACCTCCGCGTCCGCTACCCGCAGTCGTTCACTTCCTCGTTTGCCGCTTTGAACAAACGCTTTTGCTCGGCCTGCCTCTTTGTCTCCATCCCGGTGTTTCTATTGGTCATCGCCTGTCTTGCTCAGATCCTCTTTACAGCCCTGAACCTGCGGTGGGAATTCCACATTTGTATGGCGGGGGGCACAAATCTCCACAACTGCTGTTGACTTCCCCAGCAAAGTGGTACTAGTCTTACAAATCCCCCCGCAGCGGTGTATCATCGCTCTCAACGTTCCTCTCCGACTGTCGCCCTCAACCCAAACCTCTGCTCGCTCTCTCCCCCCGTTGGCTTCGTCCGCAGAGTCGGAGTGCTCCAGCGAGGTGGAGGGGCGCATCGTGGCGTTGCGCGACGAGCTGGCTCGCCGCAAGATGATGGTGGAGCGGCTGCAGAAGGAGCAGCGTCGCCGCGCCAGGGAGCGGCTCAGAGCCCACGAGTCGAGCCTGCGCCTCCAGCTGCAGGTCAGACCAGGAGCCGTCGATACCTTGCCGGCACCGGGGGCGGCTCAATCATTAGAAGGAGCCCGGTCTCCGACATTGTCTGTAAAGTCCGCCCCGGGTTTTTTTTTTTGGCACGTTGAAGCGAGGAGAACTGGTCTGGCGGGTGGCCCAACGCTTGTGAGTTATACGTTGTTCATGCATCGTTACAATAACGCAATTGGAATTGAAAGAAAAGGTTATAGCACGGAGCTGGCACCATTGAAAGGCCGTGTTGGAATCGAGGCGAGCCGCCTGTGGTTAATCCGCATTCTCAAAGTGTAGCAAGTTGAGGGGCTCTGCCCAGCCACCAATGATTGTACAAAAAAACTCCATCATATTAAAATTTGTTTGTGACTTAATTTTAGTTAGATTCCAGCTCTGAAAATATCGATTTGATCATCACGTGACAAACGTTACTGCTGCCCCCCCCTACGTTCTCTAACACAGGGTGATACACTGCGTATTTTCACGACCAAACGCCGATGGCACAATCGGTATAACATTGGGGAAAGAGATAAACGTATACTAAAATTGGAACTTCATTTAGTATTTTTAGCATAGCTGTAATTGCTTTAATGCGCTTTCACAGCTCCTTGTGCAGCTCTGTGACTAAACGAAAGGGACGTTGGATGTGAGATACGTGGCATTCCTCAACTTGAACCGTTTGACAAAATAAATAAGAGCACAATGCAATCGCGCTTAGCATAAAAATAACAAAACCTGCGGGGCCCCTTCCAAGTGCTTTGTTGTTCAGCTCGGGCATAACACGTTTTGTAGACGCGTCTCCTTTTTTCATCCTTTTCACGTGAAAAGTGTCCTAGATGCCAGGATTTAAGGTGATTTCGTGAATTAATGAAATGCACTGCCATTCATCCGACGCGGGAGTAAATAGAATGTATGAGATCGGACGCCTGCCACCGACCTTCATTGTCGCCGTGTGACGTTTGCTCCGCAGCAGCAACTTTCGCGCGCGGCTCGCCCAAAGGCAAAACGGCGGGCCCCCCGCGATCGTGCGCGAAGAAACATTGCATGCAACTTCGACAGATTGGATGGATATAGGTTTAATTTATCGCAGCAGTAAGGGCTCCAAGAACTGTTCAGCTCCATATTCAATGGGCTTCCCGCGACGGTACATATGCTATAACAGTACAGTCGTGATACACGGGGGTTATTTGTCTTTGTATCTGTATTGACGTACGTATGTGTGTCGTCGCATTTGCATGCGACTAATTATGTGTCTCTTATGTGTGCACGTCCTTACCTTCGTGCGCGTACTTTTGCATGTGTGTATCTGTCCGCGTGTTTTCTGTGTGTGTGTGCTATCCCTACGTGTGTGCCGGATGCATGCGTCGCTATCCCCCTACGTGTGTGCCTGCGTGAACGTTCTTGTGCGTCCGCGTGTCTGCGTCCTGTCTGCGTTCTCCCCCCCCCAGGCCTACGACACCTTTATCTGCAAGGCACAGGGCGAGCTCGAGAACAGCAAGGAACCTCACCCATCCGTGCGGCCACACGGCAGGACCCACAGCTCGCTCGAGTAGGGCCCCGCTCTCTCCCGACACCGGCCACACACGCTGTCCCATTCCTTTTCATTCATGAGCCCACGCCAGAGATATGTCACTTTTGTCGGTACCATCTGCGGTGGCACAACTTCAGCAGTTGCAAGTTCGTTCTATCGCCAATGACGGTGAATAATGTGGCAACCACTTGAAATGAAAGGGGTTATCAAGTAATTCACTCGTACTGGCTGCACAACTCAAATGGTACGACTAAACAATTGCTACCTTAGACGGTACCAGTTTCTGTTCTGACCCATGGACTACGTAAACCCTGAAAGCATCGAGGAATTGTAACACTCGCACACACAACCACAACAAATATGAATCTGTCTTCCCTTTCAAAAGAGCGATGGTGCAGCAAGCACTCCAGGTAAGATTTTAGTAATTTACCCTCCAATTTTGACACTGAGAGCAGGAGCGGTGGGGCAGTGGTTAGCGCACTGTGTGTTTGTGAACTCGTTTGTGGAAGAAAGGCAGTCACTCTTTATAAAAAAATTATTGAGGCAAACATCCCAGACCTGCAATAGACCATTGACATACATTTTGACAAATATTGTAAATGTGTAAAAATATCGTATATTCCAGAACATTGAAATGGCATTGTGTTGTATTATTATGCCATGTGCAACATATAACGGGTGACAAAGAGTTAGTTGGCTTGGGCACAGCGTGTCGCTGGAAGCGACGATGGCCCTGTGGTCAGCAACAGTGACGGGGTGAGAGATAAAGATAACCCTTAGCCCAACGGTGCATCCACCACGCAGGTGGGACGACGAGGTGAGCTCACGTGCAGCTGTTAGGGCCATCGTTACGTCGCGAGACCATGGGAGAGGTGGCGACTGCTCGTGGGTTGATCTTGGCTGATGATGGTCATGATGATGTAATATATCACCGATTCTTTTTTCGACTCCATGCAGCCTGGACACGAAGCCAGCGAATGGGAGCTCTGCTCAAGCGGAGACTACGGCAACGCAGACCGCCTCGTTTGAGCAAGGTGAGGTCACCGATGCTCCCCCACGCACACACCTGCATTTCTGACTGATGTTTTTTGTTACCGAAAATGTTACGATTATTATTAAGCCTCTTGGAATGGGGGCCAGTTAGCAAAGGTTTTAACGTACACATGATAATGCAGAATTATGATTTTAAAAATGTAATACATTTTTTTTGTTTGTTTCCCTGATGTGTGCCCATCGATGTGTACCCTGATCGCTGCACTCTTATGATTCAGGGTCCTTCTCTTCCCTGGCGATATCAGCATCCAAAGACAGCTCCGTGCCGAGCGATGACCTCTCGGAACGGCCGAGCCTTCGAGAGGAGATGTCCGGCTCGCTTCCCGTGCCGAGCGCCGCTGCTCGGCACGATGACGTCCCCTCGCCTGACGCCGGCTCGCCGACCCCGCCTCTCAGCGTCTCCGTCCACGACAACTCGACTTTCGAACCTGCCGAGCCAAGCCTCACGAACTCGTCCGGCGGTCGAGTCGCCGATCCGGCAGCGGAAACGTCTTCCACCTCTTCGCTGCCGGACGACGACGACATCGTAGGCCCTCCCGATGCTCGCGCCGTGCCGACGGCGAAGGACTTGCACGACGAGCCTCCTTCAGGACACGTGGCCGGAAACTCGGAGGGCTTGGGTCAGGGATCGGAGGTGGCGTCGTCTGCGGACGAGTCGATCGCGCCAGAAGCCGTTGGCGGCGACGTTGGCCTCTCGTTGCAAACTCCAGACTGCTTCGGTGAGAGCGAACACGTGAGCCGGCCGACCGAACGTCGAGATGACGGTGATGTGAAAACGGCGGTGAAGAAGGCAGTGGACGCTCCACCCTGCTGGGAAGTGCACGATCTCGTACCGATCGGCTCTGGTGGCGCCGTGGAAACGCACAGAGACGATGCGACTTCGGCGAGCGATTCCCGCGGCGGCAATTCGGCGGTGCCTGCATCGGGAGTCGGTGGTTTTGGTGGCGTCGCCGTGGAGCTGCCTGCACAGTCGTCGGGTCTCGTCGCAGACGAGCTGCCCACGATGGTCGTCGACACGACGGCATCGCAGACGTGCGAGAGCGGCGACGAGGCGCAGGTGCCTAATGGTCCACACGTCGTTCTCCAATCGTGGTCGGCGGATCTTTGGCAAGAGCCTCGCGGGACCGTGATTCGTAACATTTTACCCGATGCCGGAACGACACCAGACTCTGCTCTGCCGAGCGTTACCAACGATGCAAAGATGATCCCGAAGTCATTGTTGGACGGGGATCTCTCCGACTCGGAGGAGTTTGAATTCTCCTCCAATTTTTCCTCCGCCGACGCCTCGGACATCAGCAGCTTGCTCATGAAGTCCACTTCCACGTTTGAGAGCGTCTCTTCTCCCAAGAGCCACGACATGAACCTGCCCTTCGACGAAGCGGAAAGTGTCGAGACCGGACAGACGGCACGGGACGAGGCTGAGACCGCCAGCCGGGAGGGCGACAATGACGCGGAGACGTGGCGATTCCTCAGCCCAAGGTCGCCGAGCCAGGAGCCCGGTAAGGATGAGAACGAGCAACGAGACTCCGAGCCGGTGCCGTTATCGCCACTGCCATCGCCCGCTCGGTCCGAGCTCACGGGCCCCACGAGCAGCGATCAGGACGACCCATTGGCTGGCATCCAGCTCGGCGAGCAGCTGTTCGCTGAGGTCGCTAAATTTGTCGATGGCGTGATTGCCGAAGCGCTCAAGCAGGTGTCTGAAGCAGCCGTCGCAGATGTAGCGACAGCAGCGGCAGCAGCAGTGGCAGCGGCGTCTGTTGTCGCGGACAGTCGTGCGGGCACAGCTATTGTCAGCAGCGATGGTGACGAGGAGGTCACCAAGATTTCAGGAGCGGTCGTTGATCGTCAAAAAGTCGACGAGTCTACAAGAACGGAGGCCGCGGCGCCGCAACACGCAGGAACGGTCGGCGTTCCCGTGGACCTGTCTGTAGCTGCGAAGCCTGCCGGAGACGACCACCCCGACAACGACGATGACGAAGACGACGATGACGACAGATCGATGTACAGCCGCGTATCCGCCCCCGACGGTGAGGATTCGAAAGGAACCCCGTCGGGAAGCGTCAGTCGCCGCTCAAGCGTCGGAAGCGTCGTCTCGGTTTCGGACGCCGACGAAAATGCTCAGCCGTCCTGGCTGGCGCCGTACGCGCCCGACGATCAGTCCCTCTACACGCCCCTGCTGGACATGCTCGCGAGGGAGAAGGGCCGCCTGCAGGCACAGAGGGCCGACGCCATGCCCTTGAGAGAGGGGACTTGCGAGCAGCTGCGGCGGCAACACCCGGAGCTGGAGAAGCAACGAGAGGAGCTGCGGCAGCAGGAGGAGCTGCAGAAGCGGGAGGAGCAAGAGCAGCAGCAGAAGCAGGAGGAGCAGCAGAAGCAACAGGAGCTGCTGAAGCAGAAACGGCAGCAGGAGGAGAAAGAGAAGCAGAAGCAACAGGAACTGCAGCAGGAAGAGCAGCAGCAACAGCCGGAAAACGAACGCAAAACAAACAACGCGGACACAGTCGCCAACGGACTCGTCGGCAAGTTTGTGTCGGAAGTCTTCGACCAGTACCTGCAGCTGCGGCAGGCGCGGAATGATAAGATCGCCCGGGCAAACACGCTCTTGGAGCCGGCGACGCCACCGCAGTCGTCTCAGCCGCCACGGCTCGACAACGGTTTCGCCGGACACGACGACTCAAGGGCGCAGAGCAGCGGGCCAGGAACGCAGGGGGGGATCGACTTCGAGACTGAGAGGGCCTTCCCGCCGGAGCCGACCGCGAGGCCGGTAAGCGACGCTGGGGACAGCAGCGACGCGCTGCCGGTGCCGCGAGACACTAAGCCCAGTTAACGTTTAAATGCAAATTCCATACGTAGTTTCGATTCGAAGGAATCCAGATCTGAGCGACGCTCTTTGAATAAATGTGTCGCATTGTGTGGCCCCTTGGCTCGAGATTCCGAGCACCGTTGAGACCCTGGGATTCGATTCTCCGGCTTCGGCCACCGATGATTAAACGGGGTCTCATTAATATCAATTCGTAAGCTTATTAGGCGTCGAATTGCACGTATGAGAAGAATCGGAGGTGTTTCGATATTGCGTGAGCTGTATAGCAATGGGTTATTGTCACTCTCGCAGCCACTGGAGGTGCTGCCACCCATCGCGGTGGTAAACAAATGAATCGATCCTTGGATTGAATGGTGAACTTGAATCGCGGCAATTAAATTCGCCGGTGGCGGTGGGTGATTCATTCCTTCCACCCCTGAAGGACGCCAGATGATTTATTTTATTTCATTGTTAACAAATTAAATACTTCATCCGAGGCTTTCTTCTGGGAAGTTCATCTCGAGTCGCTTACGATTTATAAAAATGTACTTTATAGCCCTAATCCATTAAAAATATTACCTCTTGCGCTCCGGCCACTCTTCATGTCCACCCGTATTCTAAAAACAGGCAGCGGGGGCGTTCACACACAGGACGGATGAAGAAGTGCCTCTGCATTTGTCGTGACGCTTTGCGTCAGCGGGCCAGCGAGCTTGCACAATGATGAGTGGGCAGCTTTAAGAGCGACGTGGGAGAGGGAAGTTAAAGACTATGGGGGTCATAAATAGACTTTTGATGGAGTGACATCATCTTCTGAAGCACGTCACACCACAGCAGCGACGCCAGAATGTCGATATGTATTGTTAGTTCCTCAATAACAAGCCTTTAAACTAGTGTGGGACACCATTGGAGAACCTCCTTTGCCAGTAGCAAAATATGATAATTGGTTTCTTACCCTTTTATCTGGCAACAAAACTGACACCTTTTTTTATGTGGGACAGCTCAGAAGATGCTGTCCAGGGTGGGCATCTACAAAATAAGAGCTCTTGTTGTTTGCTTTTACATCTCACGCTGGTGAAATTTCATGATTTCTAAAAATTCATGACACTTGTCAATTAAACAGCAGAGCACGCGAGTGACGTGTAATCCTCCGCTGCCCCGGTCACTCTCCGCATTGGGCGTGATGCCGCATTTTCCCCACCAGGTAGCGCTAACTCTTATTTCGATTTTGCACGGAGAAATTTTACAATGAGTTTTTTTTTTACCTTTGGTCAGAGGTGGAGAAACTCGTGCCCATGGGGGGCAGATATGGCCTGCAACCTCATTAGCTGTTGTCCACGGGTGTGTGAGGCTTACCACTTCGAAATGGCCTGCAAGTGATAGTAGTCCGTACCTCTGATTGGCATGGTTGGCTACGTACGGTGCGAAAGAAGTTCTACATGCATGCATACATACATACGTTCATCATTGCAAGAAACTGAGCTGCACTAATCGAGTACTCGAGGGCAATAGTGTCCATCTTCCCAACCCTGTGTGTTTCATATTTGCCTCCTCAGTCACTTCTGTCAAAGGGCCTTTTGCATTTAAATCTTATTCGGCCTTCAGAAAGTTAAAGCTTTCCCCACCCTGACCTAATTGAGAGGTTAAATGAACATCTTTGTTTTTTTATTTTACCAGGTAAGCCCCCCTGAGATATACAGCTCTTTTTCACAAGCGACCTGGCCACAAATGGTAGCGCAACAAAGTGGCTTATCACGTGGGAATTTATAGCGGCCAAATGCTCCCAAACGCATGTTTCTAAATGTGGAGAGAAAAATCGGAGGGCCACGAGAAAAATCCACGTGATGACGGGGAGAGAGACATGCAAACTCCAAATTTACAGGCGTCAGAGTCGGGATCCAATCCACGACCTTCTGCATGCCAGGCGAGGGAGTTACCATCTCGCCATCGCGGCTCCTAACAGCTCTTACTCGGCTAACCTTCCTGTGCCCAGGTGAGCCCCGAGTGCGACCTGGACTCGAGCGAAGACCTCAGCACGCCGCTGGCCCAGATGCGGCTGAGCAGCGCGCTGCTGGAGGCCGGCCTTCTGCAGGACGACCAGGACTGGTTCGACGAGGACTTTGGCTTGAGCAGCAATCGCCGAGCCTTGCGGCAGCAGCAACAGCAGCAGCAGGTGGGAGGCAATGAAGTCGTCTTGTTGCACCAGTGCTGTTCGAGTGTTTTAGCTCAGAGTGTTGTTGACAAAGGACTCGTTGACACATTACATTGAGAGCGTCATGTCAAAGCAAACTTGTAGTGGCAGTTACTCGCGATTATCTGTGAGCAGGTTGTTCGGGTTTTTTGGGTAAACCGTGCCCACAAAAAATACATTAAATTAAATGTTTTGACATCATTATCTGCACTTCACTTGTGTCTTGGTACCCATTTACTGCAGGCCCCATTGAGCTAAGCAGCTCTGCTATAGAAGGACAGCCACAGCCCAAGGCTGTCGGCAGTGGCATCAGTTACAGGACATGGCAGGGTGGAGGGAATGTGCAAACCGACTTGGGGGAAGGCCTTCTGCCAGCAGTGGATTGATAATGGCTGATGATGACGATGATGATAAAATGTTTCGTACTGTCCGTGTTTTGTTTTATCGAGCGTTGTGACCGTAATGTGTCGACTCGATACGTTTGAGATTCCGGATTAATCGCTGGCGGCCGCCACGCCCGTGGTTTTTTTGCTCAGACTCAAGTCCGTTTGTGTGCCGTGTGTTCTTCTTTTGGCCTTTTTATATTTTGGTATTGGCAAGTGAGACGCAGATCTTGGATGTAAGTGGCCGTGAGTAGGCAGCAGCCATATCTCTGCAAAATGAACGCCAAGTTCCCGATCGATTCCTCTTGGCTCCAGTAATGGCTTCTTCCTGTGAAGACAAAAAACGCGGCACAATAAAACAAAAGAGATTCGTATAACTTGGCGGAAATGAGCGTCCGATCAATAAGCGCCCGCTGTGAATGTGTCTCCGGTGAACAAAATCGCCCGAAACGGGCCCGACGTTGCCAGACCCCACAAGCTAAGCCGGGTCGAGCCTGCATGGTGCTTGAATGGGCGCCTACTGTACACAAGCAGGTGGTCAGAGGCAGCTGTGGGCCTCTGTGGTGGGCAGCGGTGGGCGGTGGAGCACAATCCATTGTTGTTCTGTAATTTCGGCGCTTCCACGTCGGTGCTAACCTGCCTTCTCCAACCGGCCGCGCTGACCACGGTCCGGGCCATGTGACGTGGCCCTCGTCCAGGTGCTGAGCGTAGTAGAGAACATGGGTGTTACTGCGTTAGCGCTGCCGCCACGATGTGCTTCGTAGAGAGCCCCTCGTGTGGGTATTCTGGCCTTCATTTTCGCCCCGCTCAGACATCGTGTAATAGGTGGGAGTACCCACACTTTACCCCGCCAAGTGATGTAAATATCATCTGACTGCGGTGTACCCATTTAATACTGCTGGGGAGGCGGAGGCGGTGGAGGGGAGGGTTATTTAATAAACTTTCCAACTGCCGCGCCGGGAAATGGAATCGAACCTGCAACCTCCGGATTTCCAATCCGGCATGCTCACCATTGCACCGGCATCATTGCAGTCGGGATTCTCAGAACGATCGTGATCATGATTTTTAATCTCAACATCCGGACGTGCGATTCGCTCCCCCTCGCAGAGCCTTCGGGGCGTGCGGTTCGGCGAAGGGGGTCGCCCGGGTTCTCCGGAATTGGTCGGCGCCACGGCCGGGCGCATCGTCGACGTGAAGGCCAAGGAGGAGGAGGAGGAAGAGAGGGCGCAGGAGGAAGAGGAGGAGGAGGCGCTGTTCGCCGTGCCGCACTCGCACGCCGAGGTGGCGGCGCTGGTGGGCGCCGCCCTCTCCGAGCTGGACAAGCTGACGGAGCTGGGAGAGAACGCGCGCCACGTCACGGCGCCGCGCTCCTACCTGGGCGCCGACTGCCGGGGCCAGGACATCGAGAGTGTGAGCCGCCGTGTCTACAAGCAGGTGCGTGGGCGGGGGGGGGGTGCCCGGGGTGCGATGGGTGCATCGCACGTGGCATGCGGTCCAGCACTGTGTTGGGGCAGCGAGGGTTGCCCTTGCAGCCCAGCTAAGACCAGGCCGACCTATCACTACCCCAACTCCTGTTCTGCTGTCCCCATAACTACACCGCCACTTGTAATAATGACAACCCCACTCTTTATTCCAACCACTGTCATCTTACGGTACAATTGTATCATTTCTGCCACAGTCCGTATTCGACCTGACCAAGGAGGTGTTCATGGAACTGCACGCCGACGACCCCAACACCGACCGCCCGCCCTGGATGAAACCTCGCCGCGGATCCTCGCTCTACCTCTGGCGCATCGGGGGCGTGCACAGCGACAACGAGATCGCGGTGAGAAGCCCTACGATCTACGCAGCCCGGATCCTTGCTCCGTCTCCGCGGAGGACGTAACTCTAGCTCCCCGCTACAGTGGCGGGCGGTCGGAACTAACGACGGAGCGACGGCCAAACGGGGTGGAGGTGGGGGAGGGGGAACGCGCTCCGCGGAAGAACGTCTTGTCACGGAGATGGAGCCGACGAGATGGACTCATGGTGCACGAGCTTCGTGAATTGTTCCGTCGCGTGTCTGGCACTCGTCCAGTGGTGGAGCGGATGGATCGGGGCCGATGACGATGATCGTTAACGTTTGTCTGCCATCACGTTAATCCTGTCTGTCTTTTGCCGCTCGCTCCCTCCCACCCATCCCAGGCGTTGATCCAGACGGAGGTGCTGCGCTCGCTAGGGCTGTTTGAGGGCAGCGCGGCTGGAGACTCCAACGCCACCAACGTCGCCACCGCCGGGCCGGGAATCGGAGGGCGCAAGCCCGACCTCCCACGCGCCGTCAAGTGGGGAAAGAAATCGCGCGACCGTGTCGATATCATCCTGGTGAGACGCGCCGTCGCAGCAGACGTGACGGGTTCGGGCAGTTAACTCGTACTGTCCTTAGCCGGGAGGCTCGCGTTCTTGGTGCTGCGCTGCCGTCAGGCACCAGATTGATGCTCGGCTCCGTCGATTTAAATTGGACTCTCACGGTGACAATTTGTGACAATGGAGTTGTTTGATTAAAATGTTGAACTGGTGTTTAGTTGCCTCGTGGGGTTAGGGGTTAGAACTGGTCTTTACTTGGTTCGTGGGTTAGAGCTTGCATCTAACTGGCTAGTGTGGTGTTCAGGGTTAGAGGTAGTGCTGGTGTTTGGCTGGCCAAGTGCAATTGGGTCAGGGCTGGTGCTCACATCCACGTGGTTTGTGTGGGAAGGGCTGATGCCAGGCAGGGCCCCCCTCCCCTACCGCGACCTTCTCATTCTCTCTTCTGACGCGGTTCACCCTCTCCCGTTCTCATATCCACCCTCGCCCCTGTCATGTCCACCCTCTCGCCTCTTCACCGTCCCCCTCTCACGTCCACACTCTCCCATTGAACCCCCGCCTCCTGTTCGGTCCACCCTCCCTTCCATCGTGTCCACCCTCCCTTCCATCGTGTCCACCCTTTCATCGTGTCCACCCTCATTGATGTCGCGTCCACCCTCCCCCGCAGGCGCGAGACCTGCACGAGGAGGAGCCGCAGTGGGTGAGCTACGAGGACGACGAGCTGGAGGTGAAGATGCAGGCCGTGGACTCCATCTTCGAGGCGCTGCTCGCCGACACGGCACACACACTCTCACAGATCTACGACAACCGCGCCTTCCGCGCCGCCACTTCCAACACCGCCGCCCGGTGACACCCCGCTCGTTTGTTGGACCCTGTCATGGGGTCGGTCGAACTTGTCGTCCCGAAGGACCAGAGCTGGAACACTGAGCTGCGTTTGCATCCGGAAATGTGTTTCCACGGGCCGCCGCCGCCACCACGACCTCGTGACACCCACTCATCCGTCGTACCCTGTCCGCGGGTTGAACTTGTTGAGTCTTGAGAGACCAGCGTTGGAACACTGGGGTTCGGGAGGGGGCGCCGGGCTGCGTTTTCTTCCGGAAATGTGTTTCCCACCGCTGCTGCATGGTGCCGATTACGTTCGAATTATTTTTTTTCCCATCCAGCGGTTTGCGATCGTCTCCTTCTTTAAGTTGGGCTGCGTTCGTCACGATTCGGCAGTTGAAGTTACTGTCTTCTGTTTACCTTTGTGGTGAAGCAGCGCCCCTCGTGGCTGCAGAGTCTACGCGAACAAATTGTGCGAATCTAAAGTAATTGAAGGTCCTGGATTGTGATGTAATATTTGTATCGTGAGGTTAGGCCCTATGCATCATTACATAATAATAATACGCAATAATGTACTGCCGCTTGGCCAATCCACTGCTATATGAAGGACTCACGACGTTGTACTGATCATGGGGGTTGTTCGACCGTACTTCACGCTGGTTGGTGCGGGCTGCTGAACGGAGGTAGACTGACCCAGGACCGGTTCAGATTCAGATATTTCCGAGCGCTGATGTTGGCCGTGACCGGGAATCGAACTCGGGACTCGCCGACTTCACAGCTCGTTCCGCTAACCCGCGCAGTGCCGCCGCCGCTGCACTCGCTCGGCATCTTGACATTCACATTCACAATTGGATTTCGCGTATATTCCCCAACAGGACACATTTACTGATTGAGTTTGCATTAAGTCCTTTCCCTGATGACTGCCGCTGCTGCTGCTGCCGCTTGCTGAGCTTGCCGCGGATTATCCGGTCTCCTGCGAGCGCTCATTTGCATCTCATTCTTTGCTCCGCTGCTGCGTGACAGGGAAACGCACTTCCGGACTCGTTTGTGGCCCAGTGCTCGGAGGTCGTAATTCTCATCGACTCTCTCTCTGTCCCCCCCCCCCCCCCCCCAAAGCTTCCGCTCTCAATTCCCTGACGTCCCCACTGTTCTTACCCTCTTCAGACTGGTCCTTTCGTTCTTCCCAATGTCCCCGTCTTCCTTGCCCATGCCCTTGCTGTACGTGGACACACGGAAAGGGATAAAACCACAACCACTAAAGCGTAATGCAAAATCGGACTTAAGTTAGTTTGGACTGCCTGTACATAGTACTGCAGGAGGCCGTGTCCGTGCGTGTGTTTGTTAAAGGGGTGGACTGTGCAATAGAGTTCGACTCGCGATGACGTGCTGGGCTTCATTTCTCGCTTGAATCATGTTCCCGGCTCGTTGGTCATAGACTGGAGGAGGTGGCACGTGACCCGTAGCCAGCACAGCCGGAGCGAGAGGATGTCTACAGGATGTGGTGTAACAGACCCGGGTAAAAGCTAAGCCCTCACGACGCTTTGGAGCGATGTCCAGACGGCACCGCCGCGCTTGGACGAAAGCACATCGCAGCACCGAGACGCGCCGCTCCGTCGGACGCGGAAGCAACGTGTGTTGCGGGCAGATGCTGTTAACAAACAAGAACAACAACAACTACTACAACAACAACAGAATTGAACGAACATTGCTCGTCTGGTAATGAATTGATGTTGCACTTTCGAGGTGGTTGATTTGTCGTGGGTGAGTAAGGAGATTATGCCTTAATTAAGTTCTGCTGCTAGAATTTACCCGAACACTTTACCTCTCGTGCGTGGGTGGGTGGGTGAGTGGGAATTGGGCTGCGCGGCAGTGGTGCGACCCCGTCGACGCCATGGGTTGTGACCTGCACCTCGCCCGAGCCTCCTCGTAGGTTTACTCAGCCAGAAATCGTGGAGGCGACTGTGAGGTCTGGGGAGACGATGATGGGCCTTGTGCTGTGGGCCACTCCTCTACCTTTTACCCGCGTGCCGTGCCGGCCTTAATAGGTGCTCGCTAACGGCACTTTCCTCTATAGGCCAAGTGGGCTTAAAGAGAGTTGGGGAGGGGATGAGAGGCGGGGGGGGGGGGTGGCCGTGTGTGTGAGAATCTCCCATTCGCTACAGCGATATCGCCGAGTAAATGCTGAGCGATTGCTTTCAGCGGCTCTGTGATAGAATTCGCGGCGCGTCATAAATTCTGGCACGGCGCGCCGACCGCTCGGCCCGTCGCCGCAGGCTGTGGTCTGTCGCGAGTGCCGGGGCGGGGGGGCGGCCTCCGTTGTCGGCCAATGGAATCGCGATCCTGTGTATAGCCCTACTCCTAACCTTAAACACCCAGCGTGGAATTTTTATTATTGCCGTGCCGTTGTTTTGCACCGCCTGCGCGCGGCTGAGCGCGTGCGATTCACGATTATTTTTACTTTTGTTATGCCGCGTACCTAATGTGCTCCGTGCGCATTCCGTCAAAGGGAGCGCGCTCATGAAACGAGTTCCCGATTTTATATATTTACCTGCCTTAATGACGCACGCAGAGCAAACGTCGCCGTCGGTGTGCGAAGTTTGAATAATTATCATGAGAGTTTTTCTCACGACCGCTTGGCTGACTTCGGTTGCCCCCCCTCCCTCTCGCCGCGACCTCCTCCTATTCCAGTGCGCGATGAACGTCGGCGAGATTCCCTCTCGCCGCCCGGGAACTGAAGAGGACGCGCCAACCATTCGAACTCTGTACGACTAAAATGATCGACCCTGGGGGACTGCGTTGTCGGACACGCGTTAGCGCAGATATCACAGCCGCGCTCGGTATGAGAGTCTTGTTTTGGGAAGTATGTTGGGTTCTATTTTATTTATTCAGGACTAGTGTGAAATTATGACTTTTGTGTAAGGCGGGGGGGGGGGGGGGGGATGGTGTTTGTGGTAGGGTTGAAGTTAAAGGGTAATCTTGAACGATTCAACTTGAGGCTTTGTTTGTATTCAGGAGAGCTGCACCGTCTCGGGACTCTAACAGGAGGGTCCTGCGTCATTGATTTTGGCCGCATTGCTTCGGGTGGTCGATGGCGTTTATAATATGTTGTACAAGCGGGGAGCATACCGGAGGAAACCTACGCACAAAAACGAGCAGGTTTGAAATGTCATTTAAACCCAACTCTTAATTCCAGTCGTAACTGTTGACCCTAACGCAAGCCCTAACTCATTGAAATCCATGTTTTTTTCCCCGTCAGATTATTAAGCAGTCTCTTCTGATACACACACCCTCACTTGACCACGTAGGGTAGACCTCTCTTGAATTACAGACACCTCCTCACTGTGAACCTTGCTGCCTGCGATGCTGCGAGCGTTAGGGACATAAATATGGTTCGGGCTCAATATTTGTGTGTTTGTGGGGTTTGGTTTAGGTGGTGGGCTCTTTGGGTTAGACACATGAATAGGGTTTGTGTTGAATGCGGAGTCGGGGTTAGGATCTCGCACCAGAATGTAGCCGGTGTCATGGTCGGTATTGGAATTAGCCGCAGTATAAATGTCAAGCTTAGGACCATCAGTGCCGCCCTTGTCCGGTTCTGGTTGAATCTCGTTCAGCTCCCGTCCAAACACGAAGTGTTGTGCAGAGTTCGACTCGCGTCCACGCGTCCCCTGTGCTCGAGCCGAGTCCCCGTGGTGTTCCCTTCCTGACCGCTTCCCCTCTCGCGTTGCAATAATACACCCCCCCCAGTACACACGTGTGTGTGTACGTGTGTGTGTGTACACGTGTGTGTGTGTACGCGTGCGTGTGCACGCGCGTGTGTACGAGATTCACTACAGCTGGGCTTCGGACTGCAGTTATTTTACTCGTTCGCTGCGGTCGCGTCTGCTTCCCGCGTTTACCCCTCTTCCCAGTTGCAATCGCACGATTTGTCGTGACGCACCGCACGCGCCTGATGTTTGCTAAACGCCTCCCCACGTGACGCTGCGTGATGCGCGTGCCTCCCCGCGATGTTGCGAGGGTTCTTTGAGAGTTGGAATCGGAGCGCTGTGCATCACGTGTGGGAGGCGGGGGGGTGTTTCAGCAGCATCCGGCGCGTGCGGTGTGTCCACGACGTGATTCACGCGCCTGTGATTGGTGAGCAGGGAAGGGGGGGGGGCTGAGTGGTGGGCCGCAAGGCCTGGATTCCGCTTTGTATTGAGGCCAGCTCGGTGTGTGTGTATGTATATATCCGTGAGTTGTAATCTCGTCAATTGTTGTACATAGTGTATTTTATCAAGGGATAATAAGCACAATTATAACTGTTATTATTAATAATGTAATCATTGGACATAATTACGCTGAGCCCGTTTAATCGTGTGTGTCATTTAAGCCTTATCCTAACTATAAAATATGTATAACTACGTAAGTTATTGCCGATCTTAATTATTAGTAATTAACTTTAACTGAAGGAGGATGCAATGCAAAAAAAAATAAACGGCTGTTTTGTTTGTGTCGCCACGCAGCGAGTTTTGAAGCTCCGTTATTGACGCGACCGACTTTCACGGGGGGCTTTCTTTGCGCTCCTGTGACGTCACCGCCTTGTCACCTGTATTAAAGCGCAGCTGATACAAATTAACATAGAGACCGTGTGTGTGTACGTGTGTGTACGTGTGTGTGTACGTGTGGGGAGCGGTGGTGTAGCGGTTTGTGCGCCGCGCTACGAATCCGGCGAACCGGGTTCGGTTACCGCTCGCGTAAACACCGGTGACGATTATCTGAACCGGTCCTGGGCCTCCCCTAGGTCGACTCGGCCTCAAATGCGTACCCGGTTCGGTGTGTAGTAAACATCGCCACTGGGGAGACAAAGGCGACCCAGCGTGGTTTTGGCCACCCACCCCTCGTGTGCCGTGCCGGCCTTCATAGGTGCTACTCACTAACAGCACTTGCCCCGACACTCTGCTCCAGGCTATGCGGGGGAGCTTTGTCTTGTGTGCGCGCACCGTTGACTCCGCACTTTCATCAATTGACTTTCAAGAGCACGCTACCCAGTAAACATATCCGCAGTTGGAGTGTGGTTGGACCAACGTTTGTCCAACGTTCAATCTTCACCGGTCACCAGCATTGGCAATCAGCTTGCGGTGGCATTAATCCGAGCCAGCTTGTAAAGTCACCTGAAACTTCAAATGTTTTTTTTATCGGTTGTCATGAACTCGTGTCAGATTGTCTGCAACACGCGGGCCCGATGTCGAAGAGAAAGCGCTGATTCGTGTGGGGTTCGTGTGCGGTGTTTGGGGGGTTCGTGTGGGGTTCGTGTGCGGTGCTTGGGGGTGGTAGCCAATTCCACTAACGGCAGTCATTTAACTTCTTGCACAATGCCGATTAATGGGGTATTCTGCCTTATCCCCCGCGGTGTGAAGAGTGTGGACGTGCACCCTGTGAACACGTGCAATGCGCACGCTGTCATCGAACTACTGCTTGCGGTGCGCGTCATCGCCGCTGTCTGGAGTTGCTCGTCAATGGCAATCTTCCCTCCCAGCCCACCGTGGATTGATCAGCGGCGGCGTCGTTGCTGCTCCGAAGTTCATTGTGCGACGTCTCGTGGCACACCACACGCCACTTTATTTGTTTTTCGTAAGAATCAAACCCCACCGCGGGATGAGAGGAACGCCCTGCTTGTCCCAACGCCGTTGGGAGCTCGTGGGCTGTTATCTGACCGTGCTCGAATCGCCCTGCACCGTGCTGGTGAGTGGGGGGGGGGCATTGAAGGCCCGGTTCAAGTTCAAGTTCATTTATTTGGTATAGCCCTGTGAGCCATTCGGCTCTTGAATCGGGTGCAACCGCAACAAACAGAAAACAAAAACATGAACAAGAAAACATCTTAAAGTGACTATGTGCAAACAGAAAATCCAAGAAAAGACAGCAAAATATTGCAGAAAAAAGCACCGTACACCAACCCTGTGCAAATATCCCAGTGGGATGCAAGTCAAACAACAACAACCACAAGACAACTTAGATTAATGCCATCAGTCTAACTCTGTACTACAACAAACAAACGTGGCCAAACCGAAAAACTTTTCGCAAATCACCAAAATAAAGCCATAAAAGCAATGAAACAGTGATCATCGGAACTGTGACCGAATTTTCACAATAAACGACGTAAACAACATGTACTACCAAACTCTGCAGCCATAGCTGGCTGCATGAGTCCATTCACGGTGAGCGGCACGGAGAATGGAAGTTGGGCACAACGCGTTCTCGCTGCGCTGCCCACGGCACGAGCGCCAGGGTGGTCGCGACGTCTGCACGCTTTGCTGTGCTAGGTTGGGGAAGTCGTCTAAGAGGACTTTCTTGAAAACTGAAATCCGAGCGGCCCCCCTCCCCCTAAAGTCTCTCCTTGCACAGTCACCGATCCTCTCTGTTCGCGTGCAGATTAATACCCGTGCACGCTGCACGCACCTGATGATTGGTGAACACGTCCAACGTGGCACACGTACCACGTGAGCTCCGTCTGAATATGATTCGGAGCGCCCTGTGTCACGTGGGTAGTGCAAAGACCCCCGTATAGCCTTCACGGACTGTTGGGGCAAGTGCTGTTCGCGAGCGCCTATTAAGGCCGACACGGCACACGAGGGGGGGTGGTGTGGCTGGCGCGGAGCGTGCCCGCACGCACACACGCGGTGTCTCCGTGTTGACTTGACACGGCAAAGTGGCCAATCGACTTTGGTCCACCTCATTGTTCTTGCGAGAAGGATTTGAATGAATTTAACACGGGGCGTTTAATGACTGTGTGTGTCTGTGACTGCACAGTGGGACTTGGGGGTGGGGGGTGGGGGGGTCCGTGTCTGCTGCCAGTCCCACGCGATCGTCTAATCCGCGTTTATTTTTGTTTGGCTAAATTTAAATAGACGTGACGTCACGCGTTCATAATTAAAAATGTTGAAAAAAATAGTGAACGCGTTTTTTTGACTGCTCAGCAGCAACCTCGGGACACAACGAGCGGACCGGTTCTCTAGCGGCGCTCGTGCCAGGCTGGGTGCACTTCGAGGCCAAGCTGAAGCGTCGACGTGCTCGCCCTGGCAGCGGGATGCCCGGGAGTGATGGGGCGGTCGCCGTCTCGACTCGCCGTGCTTTATCCGCCCCACGCTCTTTTGCTCGTTGTTGTGAGCGTCGTAGCTTCCTCCCCCACCACTTACGTTGTTGTGTGTTGTTGATTTTGTTGCGTGTGACCACCACAAACATATTCTGTACGTCATACGTGCAAACATGCACACAGGGAACACCCCACGCGTGTCCAAATCGCAAGGCGCCGCTGTTACGAGAGGCGGGGCGATCGTACGCGAAACAATGAAATGACAAAAGACGACAACACAAAACCAACGTTCAAATGTAATGATGATTGTGATGTTGATGTCGCGTACAAAGAGTGTGTGTAGCCGTGTGTACAACGTGGGGTGAAAGGGGGGGGGTGCGTGTGACGTGTGTCCATTGCAACACTTGTGGTCTCGTGAAAATAAACAGCAGCGGTGCGAATAAAACTTCACGTTGTTCGCGCTACTACTGCGTGTCTCCTCGTGGGTCATGATCACTCCACCGCTGGATGAGCCGTGCGTTTAAGAGTATGTGGCTGCTGCCATCAATTCCCACGTGATGGGCTCGCATTTGTGATGTCCAGGCCGCTCCTGAAAATGACCTGACTGCATCGCTCGCTTGGCCTCACCCGGTCAAATAAAAACAAACTCTTCTAGGATGAAGGATCCCCTCCCCCCGCTGCCAAGCCGCCGTGCGTTGCAATGATCCATCCAGGGGCTAGAAGGCACCTCAGGTGCAGTTCTCTCTCCTTGGGCCGCCACGCCGTCGTGCAGGATCGAGCGCGGCGTTTTAGATTTCCAGATCCCAGGCGATCGTCGCACGGCGGCTCACCACCTTCGGTCGCGCGAGATGTGCATCTCTCTCACGCACGCGTGCACAGCAACTTTGCTGGAGGAGTTTCCACGATTCCAGGGTAATGTTCTAGACACGCCGATGGATTTTTGTTGCAATCACGGTTCAACAAACTCCACGTGGGCGGGGGAGCGGTGGCGCAGTGCTTAGCACGCCGACTGCGCCGTGAGTCCTCAGTGCAGTCGCCTGGGATATCTGGACCGGTCTTGGGCCTCCTCCTCCTCGGTCGACTGCCACCAACCCGCTGCTACCAACAACCCACGCTCACCGGCGTGGTGAAGTATGGTCACACGAGATCAGATTTACTTGAGGACGGTTTGGTGATAGACTCGGTAAAGAAGCGCCCATTGACTCACACCCTCGAACCGTCCACCCCCTCCCTCCTTCCCTCCCCCATCTACTCCTCCCCCCTCCTCCACCCGTCCCACGATCACCGCCACGACCCCCTCCCTGCCTCCCCGGGCACCATCGCCGCCCCTGGCTGCCGTGGTTGCGTGTTGGGTGACGAAGGAACGCAATTTCACGGCACTCGATCTGAGATCGGTTCAACTCAAGTGCCCTCTCTCTCTCTCTCTGTGCCTGCGTCCACGGCTGTGTGGTTCTGTGCCTCTCTGTGTGGTTCTCTGTCTGTCTCTGTGCGGTTCTCTGTCTCTGTGTCTGTCTCTGTGTGGTTCTCTGTCTGTCTGTGTCTGTCTCTGTGTGGTTCTGTGTCTCTCTCTGTGGTTCTCTGTATGTCTGTGTCTGTCTCTGTGTGGTTCTCTCTGTTCCTGTCTGTATCTCTGCCTGTCTTTGTGTATCTCGCTGTCTGTGTCTGTCTACGTGTCTGTGTCTGTCCGTCTCTGTGTGTCTATCTGTGTGCATATCACTGCCTCGGTATCTTTATCTTAGTTTCTGTGTCTGTGTTTTTATCTGTGTCTCAGTGTCTTTCTGTTTGTCTCCGTGTCTCTCTACCGTTGCGATATCTCTCTGCGTGTCTGTGTGTCTGTATGTGTGTCTTTCTGTGTGTCTCCTTCATCCGTCTATACCCTCCCTCTCCTTCACTCTGCCATCTAATTATTTTATCCTCCTTCATCTCATTCCTTCACTTTCCTCCCCATCTCATTCCTTCATTATCTTCTCCCATCATTCATTCACGACCCCCTTCTGATCTTTCACGCTCCCTTCCCTCCAAACATCTCTCCACTCTCCCTCGCCCTCACTCCCCTCCAGTTTCTCATTCATTTTCCCTCCCACAATATCCTCCCTCACTTCCTCACCCTCACCTCTCGGAATTTCACTCTCCTCCTGCACTCTCTCGCTTCTGCACTTTACTCTCTCCCCCACCCCTGGATCTCCCTCCTGCAGCCTCGCCTCTCCTGCACCCTCCAAACTCCCCTCATCCCTCTACCTTTCTCTTCTCTCCACTCACTCTCCAGCCCCCCACCCCCCACCGTCCTCTCTCCTCTACTCTCTCCCCACTCTCCTCTCTATCAGCCCCCCCCCCCCACCGTCCTCTTCCTCTCTCCTCTACTCTCTCCCCACTCTCCTCTCTCTCCACTCCCCCCCACCGTCCTCTCTCCTCTACTCTCTCCCCACTCTCCTCTCGCTCAGCCCCCCTCTCTCTCTCGCTCTCTCTCTTCTTCCCCTCTCTCCTCTGTCCGTGTAAAACACTCGGAAGAGTTCTGGCACTCATCGATCGCTCCGCGCCTCTCTCCCCATGCCGCCGCCTCCTCCTCCTCCTCCTTTGTCGCTACCGCTCCCCTCTCTGCCGTTACTGCCGCCGCTGTTGCTGCTGCTGTTTGCACTTGTTCTGGGGGGCTCCCGAGCCGGGCTGTACGAGACTGGGGGGCCCGTGGTGGAACTCGGCGCCGAGGGGATTCGTCTCGCCATCGTCAACTCCACGAGCGCCTGGGCGGTCCACTTCTACACGGAGTGGTGCGGCCACTGCGCGGACTTCGCTCCCGTTTGGACGGCGCTGGCCAAAGACATCACAGGTCCGTCTGTCCGTCTGTTTGTCTGGCTGTCCGTCTGGCTGTCTGTCTGGCTGTCTGTCTGGCTGTCTGTCCGTCTGTCTCTCTGTCTGTCTGCGTGTGTGTGTAACGTGCGGGTCACGGTAGATAGTGGCGCCGTGGATGGCAAGGACGATGTTATCTCCCTCGCCCTGCACTCAGGAGGGCGTGGGTTCAATCCCGGGCGATGACTATGGCTGCTGTGTTTCCTCGTGTGTGACTGCGCTTCAGCCTCCCACGCTCGGTCGATCGAGATCGATCCACGTGATGAGGCTGACGAGGGGGGGGGCATGGGGGGGGTCACAATAACGCACGTGTAGCTCTGTATTGTGGCTCGCTGCGTGTGGCTCTGTATGGGTGTCTCTGCGTGTGGCTCTGTGTGTGGCTCTGTGGGTGGCTCTGTGTGTGGCTCTGTGTGTGGCTCTGTGTTGTGGCTCTCTGTGTGTGGCTCTGTGTTGTGGCTCTCTGTGTTGTGGCTCTGCGTGTGGCTCTGTGTTATGGCTCTGTTGTAATTAAAATCATTCCTCGACTTTTCAAAAAGCGAACTCAGCAGATGCCGCCGTTTTAAGTTTCACCCAAGGATGGAATTCTTTATTCTGGGGGGGGGATTGGAACTCGGCCAAGAACCGCCTCGACAGAGGAGCCTTGTGCCCGAGCGAGTTGACGGCCACTTTCCAAGAACGGAGCGAGTTGGTGCTCCCCTGTCAAGCCACAGGCGCGGGAGTGGACGCCAAAGCGCGTCTCGTGGTGAAGTGGGAAGACGAGACTAGTGGGGCCGGGCAGCACACGGCGAGAAGGGGCGACGGTGACGACGATGATGACCATGGTGATGATGATGATGACGACGGTGACGACGATGATGACCAGGGTGATGATGATGATGATGACCACGATGACGATGACGACGGTGATGATGATGATGATGACGACGACGATGATAGTTTGTGGTCGAGAGTAGCCACGGAGTGGCAGCATAAGGAGGGGAAAACTGAGAGGACGTGGGCCGCAGTTTTGGGGGCAACGACGTATGTATGTTGTTTGTATGTTTGTATGTTGTTTGTATGAATGTTTGGATTTTTTATGTATGTTGTTTGTATGTATGCTGTATGTATAATGTATGCATGTCGTATGTACTGGGTACGTATGTTGTATATATGGTGTCTATTGTATGTATTGTGTATGTACTATGTTGAACTTCTTTCGCACCGTACGTAACCAACCGCGAAGTTCCGTCAACAAACTTGCCAAATTAGCTGCTACTTCAGCACACAACTAATTGCCACCTTTTGATTTTAAGCTTTCGTGACTGCAGGAATCCATACTCTTTGGTTCTTTCGGTAATGTCACGTAGGTATAAAAATAAAATACTGTATCAATAAATCACGACGCTTCACCTGATGACGGACGCTTGTGTTGCGCCCGAAACGTCGTGATTTATTTAAATTTTCTACCTACGTGTCTTTACCGAAAGAACCAAAGAGTATGTCACCTTTTCTTTCCGTGACAAACCCTCGGCTGGACTATGTCGGGTGGTGGCGGGCCGAACGACACGTTCACAATGCACGCGATCTCTGTGGGGGGGGGGGGGCACGCAGCTGGAGGAGAGAGCGGAGAGGCTGAGACGCCGTGGGGTCGTCGGTGTTTGGTCGTCCCGGGGAGGAGGGGGAGGAGGGGGAGAGGAGGAAGAGGAGGGAGGGGATGGAGGAAGGAGGGGAGGGAGGGGGGAGGACATCTCAGGGGCTCGGCCGCTCCCCTCCCGCGTCTCGTTTTGAGTTTCCCCGCGCCGCGGGCTCCGGCCCCCCCCCACCGCCTCCCCCGCGCCGCCTTCCGCCACTGGGGGAGCCGCGACCACCACGTCGCCCCCCCCCCCAACCCCCCCCCCCCGCCCGAGGGTGAAGGCCTCCGACGTGGAGCCCTGGTGTGCGCGCATGGGGGTGCGTGTGTCTGTGTGTCAGTCGGTGTGTGTGTGTGTAAGTCGGAGTGTGTGTGTCAGTCGTTGTGTGTGTGTCAATCGGAGTGTGTGTGTCAGTCGTTGTGTGTGTGTGTCAGTCGGAGTGTGTGTGTCAGTCGGTGTGTGTGTGTGTCAGTCGGTGTGTGTGTCAGTCGGTGTGTGTGTGTGTCAGTCTGTGTGTGTGTCAGTCGTTGTGTGTGTGTGTGTCAGTCGGAGTGTGTGTCTGTGTGTCAGTCGGGGTGTGTGTGTCAGTCGGTGTGTGTGTGTGTCAGTCGGTGTGTGTGTCAGTCGGGGTGTGTGTGTCAGTCGTTGTGTGTGTGTGTCAGTCGGTGTGTGTGTGTCAGTCGGTGTGTGTGTGTGTCAGTCGGTGTGTGTGTCAGTCGGGGTGTGTGTGTCAGTCGTTGTGTGTGTGTGTCAGTCGGTGTGTGTGTGTCAGTCGGTGTGTGTGTGTGTCAGTCGGTGTGTGTGTCAGTCGGTGTGTGTGTGTGTCAGTCGGGGTGTGTGTGTGTCAGTCGTTGTGTGTGTGTGTGTCAGTCGGTGTGTGTGTGTGTGTCAGTCGGGGTGTGTGTGTCAGTCGTTGTGTGTGTGTGTCAGTCCGGGGGTTGTGTGTCAGTCGTGTGTGTGTGGTCAGTCGGTGTGTGGTGTCGTCGGGTGTTGTGTGTCAGTCGTTGTGTGTGTGTGTCAGTCGGTGTGTGTGTGTCAGTCGGTGTGTGTGTGTGTCAGTCGGTGTGTGTGTCAGTCGGGTGTGTGTGTCAGTCGTGTGTGTGTGTGTGTCAGTCGGTGTGTGTGTGTCAGTCGGGGTGTGTGTGTGTCAGTCGGGTGTGTGTGGCAGTCGGGGTTGTGTGGTGTCAGTCGTTGTGTGTGTGTGTCAGTCGGTGTGGGTGTGTCAGTCGGTGTGGTGTGTGTCAGTCGGTGTGTGTGTCAGTCGGTGTGTGTGTGTGCAGTCGGGGTGTGTGTGTGTCGTCGGGGTGTGTGTGTCAGTCGGTGTGGTGTGTGTCAGTCGGGGTGGTTGTGTGTGGTCAGTCGTTGTGTGGTGTGTGTCAGTCGGTGTGTGTGTGTGTGTCAGTCGGGGTGTGTGTGTCAGTCGTTGTGTGTGTGTGTCAGTCGGGGTGTGTGTGTCAGTCGTTGTGTGTGTGTGTCAGTCGGTGTGTGTGTGTGTCAGTCGGGGTGTGTGTGTCAGTCGTTGTGTGTGTGTGTCAGTCGGAGTGTGTGTCTGTGTGTCAGTCGGGGTGTGTGTGTGTCAGTCGGAGTGTGTGTGTCAGTCGGGGTGTGTGTGTCAGTCGGAGTGTGTGTGTGTCAATCGGTGTGTGTGTGTCAGTCGTTGTGTGTGTGTGTCAGTCGGTGTGTGTGTGTGTGTCAGTCGGGGTGTGTGTGTGTCAGTCGGAGTATGTGTGTCAGTCGGGGTGTGTGTGTCAGTCGGAGTGTGTGTGTGTCAGTCGTTGTGTGTGTGTGTCAGTCGGTGTGTGTGTGTCAGTCGGGGTGTGTGTGTGTCAGTCGGAGTATGTGTGTCAGTCGGATTGTGGGTGTGTGTCAGTCGCAGTGTTTGTCAGTAAGGTGCTCGCTAACAGCACTTGCCCCAACAGTCTGTTCAGCCTATACGGGGGGCATCTTTGTATTTCGTGTGTGTCAAGGAATGTGCGTGCGTGTGTCAGGTATGTGTGTGTGTGTATGTCAATGTGTGTGTGTCGATGTCTGCGTGTGTCGATATCTGTGTGTGTGTTTCAAGGTCCTGAGTATTTCCTTTGTCCTTAACCACCACCATGTGTGTCAAGATGCGTGTGTGTCTGTGTGTATGTGTCACTGTGTGCGTGTGTGTGTCTGTGTGTATGTGTCACTGTGTGTGTGTGTCTGTGTGTGTATGTGTCACTGTGTGCGTGTGTGTGTGCCTGTGGAGCGGTAGTGTAGCGGTTAGCGCACTGCGCTACGAACCCGGTGACCTGAGTTCGATTACTGCTCACGGGCAACACCAGCGAAGAATATCTGAACCGGTCATGGGCCTCCCCTAGATCGACTCAGCCTCAAATGAGTACCCGGTGCGGTGTGTAAAAACATCGCCACTGGGGAGACAAAGGCGGTCGGACGTGGTGCTGACCACCCACTCGTGTGCCGTGCCGGCCTTCGTAGGTGCTCGCTAACGGCACTTGCGCGAACAGCCTATGAAGGCTACACGGGGGATCTTTGTCTATATGTGTGCGTGTCAATAATAGCCCGTGTCAATATCACGAGGGCGTGAAAGGGTTCACAAGTGGTCGAGTGCTGGGGTGCCTGGTCAGGGGGAGGATGCGATTTGTCGTCATCATGATCATAATCATCACGATCATCATCAACAGTCGTTGTCATCATCATCATCAGTAGCATCATCGTCAGCAGCAGCAGCCAAAGCACCATCAATCATCATCATAGATCGTCATTATCATCATCGGAAATATCATCATCAGCAGCAGCAGCATCTATCAGTCGGAGCTACGCTCGTGCCTGACAGCACAAAGGGCCGACGTTCCAATCCCGAGTCGGGAGCCTCTCCGTGTGCCGCCTGTCAACTCTCCCTCGGTTCTGCGTGGGGGTCCCTCCGGGTTCTCGGGAATCCCACTCCCAAAACAACCCCAGCGGGAACCTCCATGAACAAAGCTTCGTATCAGAGTGGCTTCCCTGGGTCAATAATGAACTTATATTATACATACGAATAGGGGTTTCCCCTTTTTTCTGGCAACAACAAAACTGAAACCTTATTACAAGAAATCATGTCCGCATTAACCACAATACTTGTGGTCAGAATGCAAACAAAAAACACACCGATAATATATGCATTGTCCTTAAAACTGATTGGTCTACACCAGAGACAGCTTTCTTTTGAGCCTCGTCTCAAACGGTGTTCGACCACAGGACGCCAAAAGGCGTACAGCTTAATTATACATCTCACCATCAGTGGTGTTGGGTGAGTGGTGGGTGAGTGGTGGGTGAGTGGTGGGTGAGTGGTTGGTGAGTGGTGGGTGAGTGGTTGGTGAGTGGTTGGTGAGTGGTGGGTGAGTGGTTGGTGAGTGGTGAGTGAGTCGTGGGTGAGTGGTTGGTGAGTGGTGGGTGAGTGATTGGTGAGTATTGGGTGAGTGGTGGTAAGTGGTGGGTGAGTGGTGGGTGAGTGGTGGGTGAGTGGTTGGTGAGTGGTGGGTGAGTGGTTGGTGAGTGGTGGGTGAGTGGTTGGTGAGTGGTGGGTGAGTGGTTGGTGAGTGGTGGGTGAGTGGTGGGTGAGTGGTGGGTGAGTGGTGGGTGAGTGGTTGGTGAGTGGTTGGTGAGTGGTGAGTGGTTGGTGAGCGAAATAATCTCCCTCTATCGGCTGTACCGGAGTCTGAGTGACGTGGTGATTGAGATGGTGAGTAAGGTGGTGAGCGAGCGTGGTGAGTGATGGAGGTGAGTAGTGGAGATGAGTGATCCAGGCTGCAGTCGCAGGCTCGGACAGACGCGCGCTTGAGTCGCTCATTGCGAGCCGTCACTGGTGCCAAGCGCCACATTCCACACTCACACCCCCAGGCAGGCGGGCGGCACGGGATCGATGGCGCGCGTCTCTATGTTGAACTTCTTTCGCCCCGTACGTAGCCAACCGTGCTGATCAGAGGTGCGAGGGAATGAGAACAAACTCAACACTAAGAAGCAGTTATAAAGAAACGTGTTTGTCCATCTCGATGATGATGATTTAAAAGTGCACAGCTCCAAGTGGCTTCCTAATATCGGACGGAAGAGCATTCCAGACGGCCGCAGAGACGCATCTGAAAGTGCGCGATGCGGAAACCGTACGAGGTAAAGGCGCAGCCCTGTAATTGCTTGCCAACGCGACTGCTGGCGGAATGGGATATCTATCCATCTATCTGTGTGGCGAGCGGTGGTATAGCGGTTAGCGCGCTGCACTACGAACTCGGCGACCCGAGTTTGATTCCCGCTCACGGCCAACACCGGTGACGATTATCTGATTTGCTCCTGGGCCTCCCCTAGGTCGAGTCAGCCTCAAATGAGTACCTGGTGCGGTGTGTAAACATCGCCACTGGGGAGACAAAGGCGGCCGGGCGTGGTGCTGCCTACCCACCCCCTCGTGTGCCGTTCCGGCCTTCATAGGTGCTCGCTAACAGCACTTGCCCCAACAGTCTGTTAAGGCTAAACGGGGGACCTTTGCCTTTGTGTATATGTGAATACGTGGCCAGCAAAACGTTCGTAGCGCAGTGCGGTAACCACTGCGCCACCGCTCCCTACATACACACACACACGTACACACACACACGTACACACACATACACACACACATACACACACACGCACACACACACATACACACATACACACACACATACACACACACATACACACACAAGCACACACATACATACACACACACATATCGGCACACAAGAACGCCGCATCGCTACTGAACCACCTCCGCAGTCGCGGCGCGGGTGGTGGTGAGGATTGTGGGCTCGGGGTCAGTGGGCCAGGAAGAGATGGAGGGGGGAGGGAGGGGGGAGGGAGGGGGAGGGAGGGGGAGGGATGGGGGAGGGATGGGGAGGGAGGGGAGGGAGGGATGGAGGGAGGGGGAGGGAAGAGTCTTTATGAATGAATGAAAAACGAGTTGCATATTCTGAGTCTCTTTAACCCACGCGATGGATGTCGCCACGCGTCGGATTCGAGATCAGAGGGAGTCGAGTCACGGATTACTGCAACCAACGGGAACTTGGCAACCGGTTACCGGAAACGGGTAACGGTTCGGGTTACGTTCGGCGAGTGTTGATGAGGTTGAGCGCGCCGTCGTCACGGCCACTTGATGAGACTTCTCCACGCTGCTCGGCGCGGGATATTGCTCGCGCCACTGATGTTAGCCGTGCCCGGGATATCGAGCACGGGTCGTGAAAGGGTTCATGGGGCGGCAGGAATGCGCTAACCGCTGCGCCACCGCTCCACCTCCCCCGCCCCCACTCCAATCCATCATCTGATTTAGACGTCGTCAATTGATTTGGAAATGTTTATTGTTTCAAATTCACGAGTTCGACAAGCCCGCATCATCACAACAAAGCCGCCACCACGCGACACATCCCATTGGCAGAGGGTTGTCACGTGGACAGAACGCGCCAATTCTCTACTGGAGCAGCACACCGCTGTGATGGAGAGTGACGTCACATCACGTGACTGGAGCAGCACACCGCTGTGATGGAGAGTGACGTCACAGCACGTGACTGGTGCAGCACACCGCTGTGATGGAGAGTGACGTCACAGCACGTGACTGGAGCAGCACACCGCTGTGATGGAGAGTGACGTCACAACACGTGACTGGAGCAGCACACCGCTGTGATGGAGAGTGACGTCACATCACGTGACTGGAGCAGCACACCGCTGTGATGGAGAGTGACGTCACATCACGTGACTGGTGCAGCACACCGCTGTGATGGGGAGTGACGTCGCATCACGTGACTGGAGCAGCACACCGCTGTGATGGAGAGTGACGTCACATCACGTGACTGGTGCAGCACACCGCTGTGATGGGGAGTGACGTCGCATCACGTGACTGGAGCAGCACACCGCTGTGATGGGGAGTGACGTCACATCACGTGACTGGTGCTGCCCTGCAGTCCACGTGGTGAAGTATCGTCACCCCCCCCCCCACCACCCATTATGGCGACGACATGGGAAGCCCTTCTTTCACTGTCAGTCTGTCACCGGTAGTGCTCGTCCTCTGGATGGACTGGTCCCGCCCATGGGAATGTGGAATGCCAAACGATTGGCTCAGGGCCGGCAACGGGAGAGCCGCACCGACGCCCGATTTGACCACTGGCTCGCCGACTTCGCTACGTCGTCTCTGTTTATTTCACTGGCTGAGAGCCCAATGAGATTCATTGAACTCAAAGGCGCACACAGGCGCACACAGGCGCGTCTCTGTATCTCCTCCGCATGCGATCCCCCAGTGACTCTGAGCTCCACCGAGTAACGGAGCGACGAAATGAGTTCAAGTGCGAGTTGCGGGAGTCGCGGGCAACTCGCGTGGTGAGCGTGGGGAAGGACCTTCACCCAGCAGCGGATAGAGCAGGCCTCGCGATGACGGTGGGCGCGGTGGCGATGTTAACTCCCTCGCCTGGTGTGCAGGAGGCCGTGGGTTCGATCCCGATCCCGAGCCTGACGCCTGCTGCTGCTGTGTATTTGGAGTTTGCGTCTCTCTCTCTCTCCTCGTGGTCGCGTGGATTTTTCTCGGGGTCCTCCGGTTTTTTAACCCCTCCACATTTAGAATCAACGTCACGCGTTTAGAGTATTTGGCTGCTATACATTGCCACGTGATAAGCCACTTGCTTGAGCTATCACACGTGGCCAGATCGCTTGTGGCAAAGATCTATGTAGCTCAGTTGGGCCTTACCTTGGTAAAATAAAACAACAATTTAGTTTCGTTAGTCTGATGCTGCTGCTGATGATCCAGGATGTGTGAGATGTGAGCGGCTGGTGCACTGCGGTCTCGTCGCAGGGAACGTTGTGGGACAGAGGCGGCGTGGGCAAGGGCCTTCATCCAGCAGTGGGTAGAGCATGCTGCTGCTGTAGACTGCCTCGCTCGCTCGCTGTCTCTCTGTCTCTCTGGTGGCTCCATGGAGTTGGGAATCTCAAGCGCGTGCACGCATTCCTGCAGGAGTCGCGACTGCAGTTGTTTTGGCAGCTGTGGATACAGACGAGGGGGGGAAAGAGCAGTGGAGGGAGGGGGTAGAGGGGTGTGAGGGATGAATCAATTGAATCCTGGGATGAATGGAGATGCGAGCAGGATGGAGGAAGGGAGACGAGGATGCGAGGGAGGGAGGGAGGCATGGAGGGAGTGATGTGTGTAAGGATGGCGCGATTGTAGATAAGGAGGGAGACAGGGAGTAAGAGAGAGAGAGAGAGTTGAACGATTGACTGAATTGACTCGGGATTGAATTAAGGACGAGAGGGAGTGATGGATGTAAGGATGGGGGTGGGGGAGTGAGAGAGAGGGAGGGAAAAGGAAATGAATGAACGGCCTCACGGGACGGAGGCAGTGTTGGAAATAAGCGAGGAGGGAGGGAGGGAGGCAGGGAGTGAGTGATGGATGTGTGACTGGACTCAAGGGAGTTATGGAGTAGGCGGTTGACAGGGGAGGGATGGAGGAAGGGAGGGAATGATGTAAGGAGGGAGGGATGAGGGAGGTAAGGAGGAAAGGAGGGTGAGAAGGTTTTCATTAATTAACCCCCCTCCCCACCACGCTCCCCCCCCCCACCATGTCCCATCTTACACCTCGCAGATTGGGGGGCCGCTGTGCGGATCGCCGCTTTCAACTGCGCAGGGACCCGAGGTCGCGCCTACAGAACGTGTCGTGACCTCGGGGTCAGGTCATGGCCACAGTACACGGTAAGGGGTCATGTGGGGACATGTCCAGAGACACGTGGTGACACGTCCTGGGACACGTGGTGACGCGTCCTGAGACACGTGGTGGGTGACGCGTCCTCCGCCCACCCCTACCCCTACTGACGAAACCCCCCTCCCCTTCCACAACACCCATCACGTCCCACACAAACCCAACTATTGTGTGTCCCTTCACAGAAATTGTGCGGTTCCTCAATAGAGAGGGGGTGGGACCGAAACAGACATGGGCGGGGCCTAAGCAGGAAGGGGCGGGGCTTACACCGAGAAGGGGTGTGGCCTAAACAGGAAGGAGTGGGGCCTAAACAGGAAGGAGTGGGGCCTAAAGAGGAAACCACAAATAAATGAGAGTGGATGAAGCTCAATGAGAGGCATTTTTACAAAATCCAATTCTTCACAGAGAGGGGTTCAACTGTGAACTTTCCTGCGGTGGGTTCAATAATTGATATAAGTGCACCAGGCAGAAACAGTTTCATACCGTAGATGCGACCACAGGCCACCTAGTTTCTGTATATTTTGTTATGAAAGCCTCACCAGTCGTCAGCGTACCTGACCCTCACCACTCAGAAGTCTATTCGCCACATCGCTGTCACAATGGTGACCGAGGTCACTCTTGCAAAAAGCCCCTCTCTCCTGGTCTCTTGAGTTCTCATTCGACTCCTTAAACTGTGCCTGAGACGAGAGCTCACTCCATCACCAAATCCATCCAACCACTCGCGGAACCTCTCCCTGACGCAATCACTCACTCCGGCAAATGAGACTCTATCCTCGAATCCCGAGGTCTCACCTGGTTAAACAAATTAAACTTCAAACTCGAGCTCACTCGGTCAGTTAATCATCCGTACAGCCATTCAACCACTCGCTCATTTAACCCCTTATTAATTTACTCATTCATCCATTCACTCATTCACTCACTCATTCACGAAGACTCTAATCCTCACCTCTTGAGGTCTCACCTGGTTCATCGAAATCAACTTGAAACGATACAAGAGGCTGGGGTTGACTTGGTTCAGCCTCCACCGAGTCACCTTGTTCATGTTTTTGTTTGTTGCGGTTGCCCCCGAGTCAAGAGCCGCATGGCTCACAGGGTTATACATACTAAATATATAACAGCCAAAGTTGTGAATATGTGTGTCTGTTCAAAATGTTTAGCGTACTTCCCGACATGCAACAAACTGAAAATTTGCCATGTGGGTACTTTCCAGACTGTACACCATGCAACAATTATAAAAATACACTTAGGTTTTTTTTTGGAGCTCAATAATGCGTATATTTTTGCACGGCAAGTGAGCTGTGACGTCACATCTGTCATGTGACCCGCGCATGTGGAAGCGTAACGCATTGTAGTGTAGTGATTAGCGCTACGCTGCGCTACGAACCCGGCGACCCGAGTTCGATTCCCGCTCATGGCCACAACCGGTGACGATTATTTGAACCGGTCCTGGGCCTCTCCTAGGTCGACTCAGCCTCAAACGAGTAAGTGGTGTGGTGTCAACATCGCCACTGGGGAGACTAATGCGGCCGGGCGTGGTGCATCCAAGTCCCGGACGAAGCCGGGTAGTTAAAGCTTAGTACCTAAACAATGAAATTGAAACCTGCCCCCCCCCCCCCCCCGCGTCTCTCGCTCACAGTTCTACAAAGCGTTCAGCAACTCATCGCTGCACGGGGACTCCTACCCTGGTGAGCGAACACCGCTCACCACACACCAGCACCACCGCATTCACGTGAACACCGCTCACCTGACCCCCACCACTCACCCATCCACAATCATAATGTTGCATGTGATGATGATGGTAATGATGATGATGATGGTTTTGATGATGATGACGACGATGTTTGCGACGACGATAATAACACTGATGACAGTTATGATAACGTGTGACGATGACAATAATGATGATGATGACAATAATGATGATGATGACAATAATGATGACGATGATGACAATTCTCGTGACGATGATGGAAATGACGATGCTCGCGTTACTGCTGCAGCTGCTGTTGATGATACTGATGCTGATGGTACTGATGCTGCTGCTGCTGGTGCTGGTGCTGCTGCTTGAGTAGAGTTGGAGGGCACGATGCAGGCCCTGAGGCGCTGGGTCATCTCTCGCCTGCTGAGCCACGCGGCCGAAGAATGGCCTCCTGCCTGCCCTCCCCTCGAGCCAGCCAGGTAACAACCTCACCCTCACTCATCCTCACTCACTCACACACACTCACACACACTCACACACACACACTCACTCACACACACTCACACACACTCACCCACACTCACCCACACTCACACACACCCTCACTCACCCACACTCACACACACACTCACCCACACTCACCCACACTCACACACACTCACTCACACACACTCACACACACTCACTCACACACACTAACACACACTCACCCACACTCACTCACTCACACCCACTCACACTCACTCACTCACACTCACTCACACACACTCGCACACACACACTCACTCACACTCACACACACTCACACACACTCACCCACACTCACACACACTCACACACCCACACTCACACACACTCACCCTCACTCACCCACACTCACCCTCACATACACACACTCACTCACACTCACACACACACACACTCACCCTCACTCACTCACACTCACAGAAACTCACTCACCCTCACTCACCCACACTCACACACACACTCACACACTCACTCACTCACCCACACTCACCCACACTCACACACACTCACTCACACTCACACACACTCACCCACACTCACTCACACACACTCACTCACACACACTCACCCACACCCACCCACACTCACACACACACACTCACTCACACACACTCACACACACTCACCCACACTCACACACACCCTCACTCACCCACACTCACCCACACTCACTCACACACACTCACACACACTCACACACACACACTCACTCACACACACTCACACACACTCACCCACACTCACACACACTCACACTCACTCACACACACTCACCCACCCACACTCACTCACCCTCACTCACCCTCACCCACACCCACCCACCCACACACACTCACACTCACTCACATACACTCACCCACACTCACTCACCCACACTCACACACACTCACTCACACTCACACACACTCACCCTCACTCACCCACACTCACCCTCACTCACCCACACTCACACATACTCGCCCACTGTGTGTGAACAACTCACTGTGTACACTATGGGGACCTCATTTGCCAGTAAAAATATGATAATTGGTTCTTTACCCTTCTATCTGGCAACAAAACTGACACCTTTTTACAAGGAGTCATATTTGCATAGACCGCAATACCTGCAGTCATAAATACAAACAAAAGACATAACTCTGCGCCTTTTGGCGTCTTCTGGTCCAACCCATGTGAGACTAGGCTCTAAGGAAAGCTGTCTCGGGTGTGGACCAATCAACTTCAAGGACAGTGCACATTATCAGAGTTTTGTCTTTTGTTTTTATTTATGACTGCAGGTATTGCGGTCTATGCAAACATGACTCCTTGTAAAAAGGTGTCAGTTTTGTTGCCAGATAGAAACTCACTGTGTGTGAACAACTTTGTGTGAGTGAACAACTTCATCAGTATTGGTTTCATACGAACAAAAACGAGCTCTGAGCCGGTTTCAGCACGCAGTGCCTCATCAGCAGTGTCAGGCGTGGGGTCACCCTTAGAGAATGGGTTGTGGCAGCTTCGCCGTTTGACCCAAATCTGACTTCACCACGAGCGTGAATGTCACCGCCAATTTAAACTGCGCCTGTTGCTGCTGTTGCTGCTGCTGCTACTGCTGCTGTTGCTACTGCTGCTGCAGCTGTTGTTACTGTTGCTGCTACTGTTGCTACTACTGCTGGTACTGCTGCTGTTACTGCTGCTATTGCTGCTGTTGATGCTGCTGATACTGCTGCTACTACTCTTGCTGCTGTTACTGATACTACTGCTGCTGTTGATGCTGCTGCTACTGCTGCTACTACTGTTGCTGTTGTTGCTGCAGCTGTTGCTGCTACTGTTGCTATTGATGCTCCTGCTGCTGTGGCTGCTGCTACTACTGCTGTTGTTATTGCTACGACTTCAGTATGCATGTTGAACTTCTTTCGCACCGTACGTAGCCAACCGTTCTAATCGAATGTGCACTGACTACTGCTGCTGCTTTTGCTGTTGTTGCTGGAATGACTCCTGACGGACCTGATCCACCCTAACTCATGCAGATACCATAATAGCCCCCCCTCCCTCCGTCTCCCTCAGCCCCCCCACGGGAGCAATTGGGTGGGGAGAAGGGAAGTAAGAGGAGGGGGGGGGCAGGGGGTGGTAAGCCGCGTGGCACTTAATGACGAATGCCCAGTGACCCCCCGTGACCCCTCAACCCTCGCCGGACACCCCAGCCCCAGCAGCCCCCACGAAGTCGTTACCTCCCCCACCAACACCCCCACTCTCTCGCCCCCCCCCCACCACCACCACCAGCCTCCACTTTGCCCATCGCTACCAAGTCTCCACTGCCCCCCACCTTCCCTTCCCCCCAATTACGACCCCCTCCCACCACGGCCCCCACGGCCCCCCCCCCCACCACGACCCCCCCCACCACGGCCCCCCCTCCCACCACGGCCCCCACGCCCCCCCCACCACGGCCCCCACGCCCCCCCCACCACGGCCCCCCCCCACCACCACGGCTTAGCGTCACTGCGCCGTCTGTCCCTCCCTGATTAAGCGTCTCGTGGGCGGAATTAATGATGAGGTCAGAAGGAGGAGGGGGGGCCGTGGGGGAGGAGGAGGGGGGTGTGTGTGTATGTGTCTGTGTGTGTGTCTGTGTATGTGTCTGTGTGTGTATCAGCCTTGCATGAGTACCTGGTGCAAGGTACGTAAACATCGCCACTAAGAGAGACAAAGGCGGCCGGGCGCGGTGCTTGCTACCCACCTCCTCGTGTGCCGTGCCGGCCTTCATAGGTGCTGCTCGCTAACAGCACTTGCCCAGCAGTCCGTTAAGGCTACACGGGGGATCTTTGTATTTGTATCGACTCACAGGGAGCGGTAGCGTAGTGGTTCGCGCACTGCTCGACGAACCGAGTTCGATTCCCGCTCACGACCAATTCGCTACTCAGTGTCGTGAACTGTATCGGAACCAGTCCAGGACCTCCTCTCCAAGGTCAGTGTGGGTGGGTGAGGGTAGGTGAGTGTGTGATGGTGAGTGTGTGATGGTGAGTGATGGTGAGTGTGTGATGGTGAGTGAGTGATGGTGAGTGAGTGATGGTGAGTGTGTGATTGGTGAGTGTGTGATGGTGAGTGAGTGATGGTGAGTGTGTGTGTGTCAATTATATATACAAAACAAAGACCCCCCGTATAGCCTTAACAGACTGTTGGGGCAAGTGCTTTTAGCGAGTACCTATGAAGGCCGGCACGGCGCACGAGGGGGTGGGTGGCCAACACCACGCCCGGCCGCCTTTGTCTTCCTAGTGGCAATGTTTACAAATCGCACCAGGTACTAATTTTGAGGCTGAGTCGACCTAGGCGAGGCCCAGGACCGGCTCAGATAATTGTCACTGGTGTTGGTGGCCGTGAGCGGGAATCGAACTCGTGTCGCCAGGTTCGTCGTGTAGCGCGCTAACCGCTACACCACCGCTCCCCACACACACACACGTATGTGTGTGTGTATGCGTAAGGTCTGGCTGTGCGTTAGTGGGAGGGTTAACCCCACATCGCATCTGTCACAAGCGTGGGTGGGGTGGTGGTGGTGGGTGAGGTGGGTGGGTGAGGGAGGCACGTGTGTGTGCGTGGGGGGGGGGTAAGAGGTTGAGTAGACAGGAGGGGGTGGGGGGTCCGGAGGGAGCATCGCGAAGGGGGGGGGGGGTGTAGCGGGGGGTCCCTGAGGCTTTTACCCCCCCACCCCTCAACCTCCCAAAGCCCCCCGAGGGGGATGGCAGTCGGCGGGGAGGTTTGGCTATGATGGTGCGAGGGCCTGGTGGTGGTGGGCGTGCGTGTGTGTGCGCGTGTGCGTGTGTGTGCGCGTGTGTGCGTGTGTGTGCGCGTGTGTGTGCGTGTGTGTGCGCGTGTGTGCTTGTGTGTGTGCGTGTGCGCGTGTGCGTGTGTGCGTGTATTTGTGCGTGTGTGTGCGTGGATGTGTTTGCGTGTGTGTTTGCGTGTGCGCGTGTATGTGTTTGCGTGTGTGTGCGTGTGCGCGTGTGTGTGTGTGCGTGCGTGTGTGCGTGTTTGTGTGTGTGCGTGTGTGTGTTTGTGTGTGTGCGTGTGTGTGTTTGTGTGTGTGCTTGTGTCTGACACCATCGGTCCCAAGAGCCCCACTGAGTCGCACGCGGCTCGTGACACGGCCCCCGCAGCGTTCTCGTCTCGCCGGGCGCATTGTTCACTCGCGCGCGCACGCGCACCCCTCGAGAGCGAGACACAGAGAAAGCGACACAGAGAGAGAGACACACACAGAGAGACATACACAGAGACTTTTGACTTTTAAACAACTTTTATTGCCGCCAGCAGTAACAGCACTGGAGGCGATTCGGATACGAAATACACAACGTCACCAGCAACATAAATAAACAAACGCTATAAACCCACGCGCTGTGGCGCTAAATGCACCGCACACAACACAAAGAAAAGTCACGTGGTGGTGGTCATCGCGCCCGCCACGGTGACGAGCGAGCGCTTCAGAAGGTGAACACCACGAGGGTGCCGTCCACACTGGTACAGAGAAGGGCTTGTCCAGCGTTCGAGGAAGACGTGCACATCACCGACATGTGTGTGGTATGCGTGCTCCAGCCGGAGCCGCGCCTTGAGCAGGCCCCTGAACCCTGGAAGCTCCACAGAGCAGCCGTCAGTGTCACCTTGCAGCATCTTCTTCCTCGTTCTGTACACCGCCATCTTCGCCTGAGCACAGGCAAATTTGGCGAAGTCATGGCGCTTGTTAGCCAGGTAAGGCAACCCCATATACGAAGCTGCTGTTGTAGAAGGGTACCCCCAGTTTCCTGAAGATGTGCCCCAAAAGGCGGAACATTGGTTTGAGCCGCTGGCAGCGTAAGTACTGGTGTAGCAGATCCTCCCTGGCACCGCAGGAAATGCACAAGCCTGTTACCCCCGGCGAGATTCGGCTGAGCCACAAGGCCGATGGCAACGTGTAGTGTGCCAACCTCCACTGGAGGTCACCGCAGCGTTTGGCTACGGGAGACACAGAGAGACACACACACAGAGACACAGAGACAGAGAGAGAGACGGAGCTGCCGAGGTCTGGGGTGAGATTGCTGAGTGGCGGCGTAAGACGTCTGGGGCATCTAAGACGAGACGCAGCGACGTCGCGGTCTGGTCTTGCGCATGGTGGCAGCAGCAGCAGCAGCAGCAGGCGTGTTGCTGAACTTGTTTCGCGCCGTGCCGATCGGAAGGACACCAACCAAAGCACCAAAATCAGTCTTTAAAGAAGTGAGTTTGCTATCTAGATTTAAAAGTGCATCGCATAGCAGCGGGATGTGGTTCGGGAGGTCGATGCCGTTGTCGAGGCTCTGCTGGTGCCGATGGCCAGGACGAGAGGGCATCGCCAGGGAGAGAGTTCGTGTCGTGTCGCTGTCCCTTCTCCCCCGTTGAATGAGTGCAGACCACCACAATGGGATTTCTATCCATGGGGCATGGTTTGAATTGCATGGCCACAATCACACTGCCGTGGGTCTCTATGCATCTCTAATATTCTCTCTATATATAGATCTGTGTCTATGGGTTTACAACGTAGTCCATAGTTTGTATTGCATGGCCATTATTCGCACAACTGTGAATTGTTTTTTATATATCTCTATGTGTCTCTATGTATCTCTACGAGTCTCTGTGGGTATATATATATCTGTGTGTCTCTATGCATCTCTGTGAGTGTGTGTAGCTACGTGTTTATATGGGTTTACTATGAAGTCCTCAGTAGTCCACAGTAGTAGTAGAACTAGTTTTGGTCATCCTTAAAAATATTCACGCGCCAACGCAGTAACAGGAGCGTCACCAGGTTAACACCATGGGTAAACTATAACACCCTTGACAAAGATCCCCCGTATAGCCTGAACAGACAGTTGGGCCAAGTGCTGTTAGCGAGCACCTATTAAGGCCAGCACGGCACACGAGGGGATGATTGGCCAGACCACGCCCGGTCGCCTTTGTCTCCCCAGTGGCGATGTTTACACACCGCACCAGGTACTCATTTGAGGCTGAGTCGACCTAGGGGAGGCTCGGGACCAGTTCAGATAATCGTCACTGGTGTTGGGCGTGAGTGGAAATCGAACCCGGGTCGCCAGGTTCATAGTGCAGCGTAGCGCTAACTGCGACACTACCGCTCCCCACACACACACAGACACACACAGACACACACAGACAGACACACACACAGACACACACAGACATACACACAGACAGACACAGACAGATACACACACAGACACACACAGACAGACAGACACACTCACAGACACACTCACAGACACACACACAAACACACAGACACACACACACAGACACACACACACAGACACACACAAACACACAGACACACACGCGCACGCGTTCTCTCCTGCGTGTTCTCCAGCCGTGTCCCCCCCACAGGCCGAACTCGGCCGCGCCAGGGAACGCGTTGCGCGCGACCTCGCGTGGCGGCGAGCGGCGCGCGTGCCGCTGCCCAGAGCCGCGCGTTGCCGGCAACGGCACCGGCGAGCATCGCCTCCGCTGGACGCGTGCGTCATGTCTCCGGGATAAATACAAGATTCTGGAACGGAGAGGGGTGGATGGACCGGCACCCTCGGGGTGACACCGAGAGACGGGAGGAGGAACGCGGGGATTGGGGAACGCGCGCCCCTTAGAGGCGTCATCGTCGTCATCATTACCGTCATCGTCGTCATCATAATCGTCGTCGTCATCGTCGTCATCATTATCGTCGTCATCGTCGTCGTCGTCATCATCATCGTCGTCACCGTCATCGTCGCCGTCGTCGCATTGTCGAGAACAGTGAGCAGGGGGCTTGGGCAGGGCGCGCCGCTACAGAAGGGAGGGCGATGGCCGGCGGCCGAGACTCACGCCGGAGCTGCGGCTAACGGAGGGAACGCGCCCAAGAGGATGAACCACCACGGACACGGAGCCAACTCACCCGCTCGTGTGCAGGGGGTGCCAGGGGTGGAGACGGCCTTCATTGAGCAGTGGATAGATCGTTGCTCTGATGTTCGTGCACCTTCCCCACCCCGCAGTCCGCAGGAGGTGATGTCATTCCCCCGTGAGGAGGAGCAGGGAGACACCCTGGCCCTCATCTTCGAGGAGGAGGAATCTTTCGTGGGTCGTGAGGTGAGTGAGGAGGTGGAGGATGGTCAGGGGGTGTTGGTTGAGGATTTACAAACAGACAGTCCTTTCTCGATCCACTCCTGGATGGAATTATCTTCGTGCGCTGTCATTCATGCTCTGTTGTTTGACCATACTTCACCACGCTGGTCATTGTGGTTTGGGGGGGTGGGAGGTGTTGGGGGGAAAGGGGGCGCCCTGGACCAGCTCAGATATCACCAACGATCTAAGCCGTGGCCGGGAATCAAACTCAGGATGAGGAGGAGGTGGGAGAGGAGGTGATGAAGCGAAATTATCGATTTGAATTGAGAGAATCGTTGCGTCGACGTGAACGCGTGCAGATGAGCGAATCTGTCACTTGGATTGATCCAGCTGCCCGTGCCCCCCCCCCGCCGTGCCCCCACGTGCCCCCCCCGCCGTGCCTCCCCCGTGCCCCCCACCCCGTGCCCCCACGTACCCCCCCCGTGCCCCCCCCCCGTCCTCCAGTCCCACTTGACCTCCCAGTCGCTGCTGCAGAGACGCCGCCAGGCAACCGGTTCCCCCCGCCCGTCGACTTTTGCGCTGCGCGCTTGATGATGGACATCATTTTACTGCTCGACATTTCCACGCGGTTGATGATGAGCCGCACTTTGTTTGGGCTATGATTTGTGGAGAACCAAAGAAGCTAATAGCTCAGTGAGATTTAGCTGGTAAGAAAAAAATAGTTTATTTTTATTTTTTATATATTTGTTCGAAGCGATAGTTGCTACCGGGACGTGAGTGTGACGTCACCTCTGACCCCCCCCCCCGCACGCCACCACGGCCCCACCCCCCCGTGCCCCCCTCCAGGTGATTCTGGATCTGCTGGCGTACGAGCGACTGTCCGTGCGCCGAGTGCTGAGCTCCGAGTCGTCCCTCGTGAGCGCGTTCGCCGTCGATTCCTTCCCCACGTGCCTCCTCCTCCACCCCAACGGCACGCGCGCGCGTGTGCACGTGTACGTCACCCCCCTACCCCTACACCCCCCACACCTACACCCCCCACCCCTACACCCCCACCCCTACACCCCCACCCCTACACCCCCACACCTACACCCCCACCCCTACACCCCCACCCCTACACCCCCACCCCGACATCCCCACCCCTACACCCCCACCCCTACACCCCCACCCCTACACCCCCACCCCGACACCCCCACCCCCTACACCCCCACCCCTACACCCCCACCCCTACACCCCCACCCCTACACCCCCACCCCGACACCCCCACCCCTACACCCCCACCCCTACACCCCCACCCCGACACCCCCACCCCTACACCCCCACACACAACCCACACCCCCCACCTACTTGGTCGCTCGACCTGGACGTGACCTCATAGCCCCGGGCGATACGGCTTACCTGGGTTGTTTTGTCACGCTTAGAGTTTATATATAGAGTGTGTGTATATATAGTGTGTGTGTATATAAAATGTGTATATAGTGTGTGTGTATATAGTGTGTGTATATATATATAGAGTGTATATATAGAGTGTGTGTAAAGTGTGTATATATAAAGTGTGTATATATATATAGAGTGTAAATATAGTGTACTTATAGAGTGTATATATAGTATATATATTCTTTGGTTCTTTCGGTAAAGTCACGTAGATAGAAAAATAATAATAAAAAAGTGAAAACAAATAAAATGTATAAAATAGAAAATAAAAAAACTCATTGAGTGTACTGGTAGTCTATAATGTAGACTGTAGCAATGGTCATTAAGCTGGGTGAGTGTACTGCCAGTGTAATATAGTGTATATATATAGTGTATATATAGATTTATCAATAACAAAGCTAAATAGAATACAAACACCGCGACCTCGCAACAAAAGTGCATCCCACGTCGCCGTGGCCCTGGCGTGGAGTTCTCGGTGCCTCCTCCTGCGCCGCGACCGACGGACGCAGCCGCAGACCGGAGTTCGATTCCCCACCAGGGCTACCATCGGTGGCGAGCGACAATCGGACAGAGACCATCGGCACACGCAGACCTCAACCGGAGAGCGTGAGGCTAAGAACACGGAAACTGTAACAACATGATGTATTTACACCAGGTGCGCCTTTTGGCGTCATCTGGGTCCAATACCATGTGAGACGAAGCTCTAAGAAAAGCTGTCTCGGGTGTGGACCAATCAACTTCAAGGACAGTGCATACATTGCCAGAGTTGTAGTTTTTGTTTGCATTCGGACCGCAGGTATTGTGGTCTATACAAACATGACTCCTTGTAAAAAAGGTGTCAGTTTTGTTGCCAGATAAAAGGGTAAAAACCAATGAACATGATGGATCTTTACTTGACCGGATGAGGTCCACTGGAGCTGCTACGTAGCTTTTTATCAGAAGCGGCCTGGATATCACAAATGACAGCTCAACGAAGTGGCTCATCATCATCATCACCTTTGGAACTGATAGCAGCAGCCAACTACTCTCAACGCGTCTTGTCGATTCTAAATGCAGAGGGAAAACTCCGGAGGGCCGGGTAGAAAACTCCACGCGACCACGGGGAGAGAGAGACACCGCTGACTCCAAATATACAGCCCACGACCTCCTGCACACCAGGCGAGGTAGTTAACATCTCAACACTAAACCTCCCCCCCCCTTTCTCCCGTTGTGCACTCCGCCGCTGGTCGCAGGCGCATGGCGGTGCGATCGTTCTTCGCCTACGAACTGCGGCGCCTGCCGGGGGTGACGCGTGGAGAGTCGTCCACAGTCGCCCACGCGCCGGGCGACGCTGCCGAGACGCGGGCGCCCTGGAGGGAGTTCGACGGGTGCCCCCCCCCCCACACATGGAGCCGAGCCACCCACCCACACCACCCACCACCCTCACCACCCCCCCACCACCACCCACCACCACCTCACCCCATCACTACCACCACTACCACCCACCACCCTTACCACCACCCACCACCACCCACCACCACCCCACCACCACCACCCTCACCACCACCCCCAACCACACCCCCACCACCACCACTTACCACACCACCACCCCCACCACCCCCCACCACCCCATCCCACCACCACCACCCACCACTACCCTCACCACCACTCCCCCCCCTCTACCACCACCACCCACCACCACCCCAACACACTCCCCCAGAACTACCAACTCCCACCCACCCCCCACCACCACCCACCACCTCCAAAGAGTGTTTGCCCAATGGAGGGGGGGGGGTGCCCAAAGCTGTATGTTGCATGTGTATGTATGTATGTATGATGTGTGTTGCATGTATGTTATATGTATGTTGGATGTGTATGTATGACTTTGTCAGCTATCTTTGTCTCTGTACGTATGTTGTATGTGTATGCGTGTTATATGTGTATGTATGTTGTTTGTGTATGTGTTGAACTTTTTTCGCACCGTACGTAGCCAACCGTGCAAATCGGAGGTGCGGGGGAAGGACAACGACACTAAACACAACAACAGCAAGAAGCAGTTCCCAAGAAGTTAGTTTTCAATCGAGATGATTTAAACGCGCGCACAGCTCCATCGGCCTCCTCGTGTGTCGAGGCTTCCCACGCACCCCCCCCCCTCTCCCCCCCCCTCTCCCCCCCCTCTCCCCCCTCTTCGATGTGTAAAGTGGCAGTGTCACGATTCGCCGATTCAATCCATCGCCCCCCACCCACCGCCCGACTTTGAGACGAGAATCATCGCTCGCTCTTCAGGCCCGGCGTGCACCGTCTGCCACGCTGGCGTCGTCTCGAATGTGGTTTTTAGTTTTGCCGCCTCGCTCCTCTGCGTCGCCCATTTGACGTGGCACCGCGCACCACCCCACCAGCGGCGGCACCACCTCCGGTTAGCACGGTCGGCTACGTACGGCGCGAAAGAAGTTCCCCGCGCGGCAACAGCAGCGGGGGCTGAAGGGCCGTGCCACCCGCGGTCCGCTTTGAGCGCCTTGTCGTGGGCGAGCAGGTCCAGGGTGTACATGGCCGACCTGGAGGGAGGCCTGCACTTCGCGCTGCGCGTCGAGGTGGGCACGCGGCCCACGCTCTCCGGGGCCTCGCTCGCCGCACTCAAGAACTTCGTTCGGGTCCTCGTGAAGGTGACCCCCCCCCACGCCATCCCCCCTTGCCCCCCACTACCCCCCCTCCCCCAACCATGCCCCTCACTTCCACCCCCCATGCCCTCGCCATGCCACACACCCCCCACCATACCCCCTCGCCCCCACCCTCATGCCCCCCGATCCCCCAATGCCCCCCCATGCCCCCACCCCCCAATGTCCCCCCATGCCCCCCACCACCCCCCCCCCCATGCCACCGCCCTCCCAAGCATTGGTGATACCCCCACACCCTCCCACGTGTCCCGTTCACTTCACTCCCAGCACGTGGCGGTGGCTGCCTTGTTTTGCTGTTCTTGTTGTTGGTGTGGTTGTTGTTGTTGGTGTGATTGTTGTTGTTGTTATTGCTGATGTTATAGTTATGGTTGGCGTGGTTGTTGTTGGTGTGGCTGTTGTTGTTGGTGTGGTTGTTGTTGGTGTGGTTGTTGTTGGCGTGGTTGTTGTTGTTGGTGTGGTTGTTGTTGTTGTTCCATTTAGTTTGGCACTCCATGCACTCGGCCCGAGCCCCCGGGGTCACAATGTGAGCGTCTCTGGTGGGTGGGGGGGGGGGTAAGGCCCCCCCCCATCCCCCTGAGGGGCTGGACAGCGACTCGATTAGAGCCTTGGCCAGTGGGGAGCGGCGAGAGTGGAAGAGAGAGAGAGAGAAGGGGGGGGGGGGAGAAGCACAGAGGGCTGGGGAGAAGCAGCAGAGAGAAAGGGAGCGAGTGACTGAGTGAGAGCAACACAACAACAACAGAACAGAACTCTAGAGAGGTAAGCGGGTAAGAGAGAGAGATGCGGAGAGAGAGAGAGGTGCGATAGCGACATGTAGACTGATCACGTGAGAGAGAGAATCACACAGAAGCAGCAGAGAGAGGAGAGACGGGTGTGGCTGGAGTTCCGCCATGCGCAGCTGACCCACGCCGTGCCGGCCTTCAAGGAGCAGTGGGCGATGGAGGAGGCCGTGTGCTCGGTGGCAGATGACGGGGAGCTCTGCATGCAGATATGAGCTACCCGTCGGAGGCCGTTGGACTGCGAGAAGGGCTGCGTGCAGAACGAGAGAGAGTGAGAGGGTGAGCGAGAGAGTGACCGAGAGAGTGAGCGAGAGGTGGGGGTTTACATAAAGCAAAGTTATTTTAAAAAAAATACGAAATGATGAACGAAGCAAAGTGCCGACTACACCGAGCATCTTCTTGTTTCCACTGATCGTAAAAAAAAGGAGAGACGGGAGAGCGAGTGAAAGAATGAGAGAGAGGGAATGAGAGAGAGAGAGCGAGAGATAGCGTACAACGGAGAGGAGGAATCTGGCTGTTGGGAGTGGGCAGAGTGGCAGCAGACGCGAAACGGCAGGGAGAGAGAGAGGGGGAGAGAGAGAGGGAGGGAGGTGCATTAACCAAGGCCTAAGATGACAAGGTTTAGTGATGGCTTTTAGGAAGCGTCACATGGGAGATGCAGAAAAGCTCGCTCGCACTCTCGCTGGCTCACTGCGAGTCGCCTCTCCACCGCCGCCGCCGCCGCCGCCGCCGCCGCCACCATCCCCTCCTTCCCCTCCTGCTTCCATTAGGCTTTTAATGTCCCTTAATTTAATCAGAGAGAGGGTTTCGGTGTAGCGAGGTGAAAGAGAGTTATCACAAGCCCCAGTAGGCCGAGGAGAGATGCATTCTAATAAGCCAAAGCTGTTTTCTTTGCTGTATAAAAAAAGGGAATTTTTTTTTTGCTCCGACGGATTTATGCGACGCTGCGGGCAAATGGAATTCTGCGCGGCGCTCAAAACACTAATTCGGAATTAATATCGCGAGAGGGCCCGGGACTGGCATTAGCCGGAGCACTGCAGAGCTTAGCCATTTCCACGTCTCCCCACCCTGCCCCCCCCCTCTCTCTCCATACTGAGTTTGTGAATTAGTAATACAAAACACAAACCGCCACGATTGTTGATAATATGATTCTTAGAGTCGTCGTTTCAAAGGTTGTAGTCTTTTCGCGGTCAGGGGCACGGTGAAAGAGTCTGCGTGGTGTCTTTTTTATTATTATGATTACATTATCATGCGAATTCACGCTTCGTGTTTAAACGGCTCGGAGCGATGAGGATTCGTTGCGGCGTCGTCGCGAGATCGTGAGGATTTGGTGACAGCTTGGGGGGTGGGGGGGCGGGATAGGTTTCCATCCAGCAGTGAATTGATCATGGCCGTTCCCTCCATCCATCCGGTCCATCCATATTCTCCGTCCGCCTGTCCATTCATCAATTTGTCAAGTCACGTGTGCTTCCACTCTATCTGTCCGTCCATTAGTCAGTGAGTCTGATTATTCGTTCGCCTGTCTGCCTGTCTGCCCGTCCATCCATCCAGTGTCCATCTGTTTGTCCATCAATCCCCCTGCCCGTAGGTATCCAGGTGTCTTGGACTCGTCTCTCACACCTGTGGCTGAATGCCCCGCTCTCTCTCCCGAACGCAGATCTTCTCCACAATACAGGTTTCTTTTGGGGGGTTAGATCGCGTGAAGATAAATGTGTCAGTAAACCCGCCACCACGCGACACTGCCAAAGAGTAAGGATTGTCACGTAAACAGAACGTGCCAATTGGCTGTGTCGGGTGGTGGCGGGCTTAACGGCACATTTTTATTTACGCGATCTAACCCCCCCCAAAAAACTTGTATTATGGATAAATAATATTTGGTCGCGAAAGCCTGCACATTAAACACATCTTGATTTAGGTCGTTTTTTTTTCTCCAAAACTATCGCAACATCGGAGATATTTGTTTTGAATGTTTTGGTTCTTGTTGTTGTCGTTGTTGTCTGTTCCACAATGCACGGATGGATGGACGTAGAAGTCGCTGACACGAACAGACGGACAGACGTACGGGTGGACGGATGAACGTACGGACATACGGATAAACGGACGCATCGATGGACGGTCGGACATACGAACACACTCGTGAACGGACAGACGGATGGATGTGTTCAGACGGACAGAGGCGAGCGGATGGAAAGATGCAACGATGGGCAGACGGGAAGTTTTCGTTCGCCGTGCGTTCCCCCCCACCCCAATTGCTTCCTCCGTCCCCGGCCACCTTTGTCTCCCCCGGCCCCCCCTCCCCCCCGGCGCGTGCCAGTTCTTCCCGGGGCGCGTGTGCGTGCTGCGCCTGCTCGAGTCGGTGCTCCGCTGGCTCGAGGCGCTGCCCCCGCGGCGTCGCGTCACCGCGCTCGAACTCGAGCGACTCCTCGACGGCAGCCACGCCGTGAGCACACGCACAGACACGGGGGGGGGGCAGACACGGGGGGGGGCAGACAGGCAGAGACACGGGGAGACAATATGGGATGCAGGGAGACACGAGGAGACACCAATAAAAAGAGACACGCAGAGACATAGGGATACACGGGGGGATACAGGGAGACACGGGGAGAGACCACTGGGCATAGACACGGACAGAGATACCAGGATAGACACGGGGAGAGATACGGGAAGAGACACGGGCGGAGACACGGGAAGACACCGGGAGACACGGGGAGAGATACCAGGAGAGATACGGGAAGAGCCACGGGGAGAGAGCCACGGGCAGAGAGACTCGGAAAGAGGGACCATCACGTGGCCACACAGCTGCAGACACGCGCACGCCAGACAAATGCACGCCGGGCTAGACGCGTCGCCGTTTGGTCGTGGGCAGCAGGAAGGCGGCGACCTCCTGCCGGACGTGGCCACGTGGGTGGGGTGCCAGGGCTCGGGCCCGCGGCACGGAGGGCTCCCGTGCGCGCTCTGGGGCCTCTTCCACGTGCTCGCCGCCTCCGCAGCCATCGCCAACGACTCCCTCGTCGCCACGGGGGACGGTGAGCGGCAGGCCGCGGCGTCACCGCCGACGTCGTCCTCGTCGTCGTTATGATCATGATATCATCGTCGTTATGATCATGACATCATCGGCATCGTCGTTATGATATCATAGTCGTTATGATCATGACATCATCGGCGTCTTCGTTATGATCATGACATCATCGGCATCGTCGTTATGATATGATCGTCGTTATGATCATGATATCATCGTCGGCGTCGTCGTTATGATCATGATATCGTCGGCGTCGTCGTTATGATCATATAATCGTAATGCTCATATCATCATCTTCTTTGGGTCTTTCGGTAAAGTCACGTAGATAGGTTCAAAGACGACGACGATGATGATATGATCATAAAGATGATGACAACGATGATACGATCAAAGCAAATGTTGTTGTTTTCTTTGAACCTATGTACGTGCCTTTACCGAAAGACCCAAATAATCCTGGCAGTCATGAAAGCGTTAAGTCATATTATCATCTTAATGATCATATCGTCATCATCATCATCATGATGTCATCGTCGTCGTCGTCATCATCATCATTGTTATGATCGTATCATCATCGCCGTCGGGCAGCAATATTTCATGACAATCGGAAAACCCGACCCTCCCATAATCCTACTGGACATCTATGAAAAAGAGCTTTATTGCTCATCGGATTCCTCCAGTATATATATGTGTGTGTGTGTAAACATTCTGATTCCGAATCTCTTGCCGAGAATTTAGGTTGTGTTCATCGTCATCGCTGTCGTCATAGTCACTGACATCATCATCGTCGTCGTCTTCGTCGCGATGTCAGTATCGTCAGCAGTTCGGTTCGTCGTTTACATCATCGTTATAACCAAGATTCGAATCATCACGATGATCATAATCATGATGATCATAATCATCATCATCTGCGATCACCAGCATTGTCACCATCAGCATGTGTGCCCCCAATTCATTTGGTGCATCGGCAAAACCGGAGTGATGGATGGATGTTAAAAATAGCAAGCAGAATTTTGGACAATTTTTTTCCAACAATTTTGTTCAACATAAAAAAAAAATGGACAATTTTTTTCGACATTTTTTTTCTATTAATTTTTTCAACATTTTTTTTCACTCGGCGCTTTTTTCTGCCCACGTGTCCACTTCATTCGATTGTCGCTGTCCGCTGGGTGGTGGAGGGCCATTGCTCAATATCGACATTGCACCTGCACGACGATCTCACCCATTTCGTGGTTCGTTGTCACTTCTCAAATGAAATTAGTCGACGGTCAGAGACTCTTCTGGGCTCATGGCATACTCTTCTGTGTTGTGTGTCTGTGTGTGTGCGTGTGTTCGTGTGCGTGTGTGTGCGTGCGTTCATGTGCGTGTGTGCGTGCAGTCTTTCCGAGGCCCTTGTCTGCAGAAATAGGTTAATGTGAGATCACATTAAGGACGTGAGCAGCAAAGTGCATTGCTTATCTCCGCGAGATTTCATGACAATCGGAAAACCCGACTCTCCCATAATCCCTTGCCAAGACGACATCACCACCACCACCACCAATACCACCACCGTCACCGCCACCACATCTGCCATCACCACCACCAATACCACCACTGTCACCACCACCACCACCAATACCACAACTGTCACCACCACCAATACCACCACAACCAATACCACTACCGCCACCACCACCTCTGCCATCACCACCACCACAAATACCACCGCCACCACCTCTGCCATCACCAACACCAATACCACCACCATCACCGCCACCACATCTGCCATCACCACCACCAATACCACCACTGTCACCGCCACAACCACCACCACCTCTGCCATCACCACCACCACAAATACCATCGCCACCACATCTGCCATCACCACCACCAATACCACCACTGTCACCGCCACCACCACCACCACCACCTCTGCCATCACCACCACCACAAATACCATCGCCACCATCTCTGCCATCACCACCACCAATACCACCACCACCAATACCACTACCGTCGCCGCCACCACCACCACCACATCCGTGCGCGTCTCCCAATGTGTCCTTGTTGCCTCTACGCGATGCCCCCCCTCACCCGTGACCTCCTGCATGACCCCCTCCCCGGCGCCCCGGCGTGCAGCCCCTGCGTGGGACCCGTTGGAGGTGCTGCGCGCCGTGCGGGGCTACGTGGCGCACTTCTTCTCGTGCCGGACGTGCGCCCTCCACTTCGACGCCGCGGTGCGCCAGGGCGCAGCGGCGGTGCGCGACGCCGACGCCGCCGCGCTGTGGCTGTGGCGGCAGCACAACCACGTCAATGCGCGCCTCGCCGGTACAACCGCACTCGCCACACTCGCCGCACTCGCCGATACAACTGCACTCGCCACACTCTCTACACTCACCACACCCACCACACTCACCACACTCACCACACTCGCCACACTCGCCACACTCTCTACACTCACCACACTCGCCACACTCACCGGTACCACCACACTCACCACAACCACCACACTCACCACGCTCACTGCACGCACTGCACTCAACAGTACAACCACACTCGCCGCACTCACCACACCCACCACACTCACCACACCCACCACACTCACTGGTACAACCACACTCGCCACCGGCACAAACTCTCACACTCTCTCACACTCTCACACACTCACACACTCTCTCACTCTCACACTCTCACACTCTCACACACTCTCCACAGACTTTCACACTCTCACACTCTCACACTCTCCACCCACTTACACACTCTCTCACTCTCACACTCTCACACACTCTCCACACACTCTCCACACACTCTCACACTCTCCACAGACTCTCTCACTCTCACACTCTCACACTCTCTCATACTCTCTCACACTCTCACACTCTCACACACTCACACACTCTCTCACTCTCACACTCTCACACTCTCACACTCTCACACTCTCACACACTCTCACACTCTCTCACTCTCACACTCTCACACTCTCACACTCTCACACTCTCACACACTCACACACTCTCACACTCTCTCACTCTCACACTCTCACACACTCTCACACTCTCTCACTCTCACACTCTCACACACTCTCACACTCTCTCACACTCTCTCACACTCTCCGCACGCACGCGCGTGCCCACTCTCGTCCACCGCCCATCAATTAAACGGCGGCCACGTGGCTCTGCCTGCCGCCGCAGGTCTAAATCTAAATTCGAATCAAATTAAGCGCCAATTTTACTGCGCCGAGATCGGGCGGGCAATCCGCGGATTGCCGGAGGTTCGAGCCGCGCCTTCGCGCATTTGAACACGGCCGCCTCGTGGAGCCGTGCGTTAGGACGCGGGGTCCTCCTCATAAGTGGAATTTTATAGGCAATTAATTTGCGCCGTTAGGATCGCCGCGATGAGTTATCGCTCGCGGCAGCGACTAACGAGGGGAAGGAGGGGGGAGTTGGTGAGCGGTTGGTCGGGCGGTTTTTGGGAGATGGTGAGGATGGAGAGAGAGAGATTGGGGGGTGAGGAAGGGGTGGGGAGAGCGAGGGAGGAGGGGGCTGGCATGAGAGGAAAGGGCTGTGGGGGTGGTGATGGGGAGCCAGACTGCGGGAGTCATCATCACCAGAACTTGTTAATCAGTTCACCGTAATCATGAGTTCATCAATTATTATTATAATTCATCATGACTCTCACTTGACTGCTAATTTATCATCACCATCCTTGCACTATTAATCAGGTAATCATTATCACCATCATACTCATCATTTCTTAATTGCCTCTCACTTCTCTGCTCGTTAATTTATCATCATAATCATCGAGCATCACCGCCAGCATCATGGGCCCTCGCTATCCCATTAATCAAACCACCGATATCACCACCACCACCAACATCACCACCAACACCACCACCCCCAACACCACCACCAACACCACCAACACCACCACCTTCAACACCAACACCACCACCATCAACACCAACACCACCAACACCACCACCAACACCACCACCAACACCACCAACACCACCAACACCACCACCAACACCACTACCATCAACACCAACACCACCAACATCACCACCACCAACACCACCAACACCACCACCAACACCACCACCATCAACACCACCAACAACAACACTACTATCACCACCACCAACACCACCACCACTAACACCACCACCACCAACACAAACACCACCATCAACACCACCAACAACAACACTACTATCACCACCACCAACACCACCACCACTAACACCACCACCACCAACACCACCACCAACACAAACACCACCATCAACCACAACACCACCACCACCGACATCACCAGCACCACCACCACCAACATCACCCACAACACCACCACCAACACCACTACCACCACCACCAACACCACCACCAACACCACCACCACCAACACCACCACCAACACCACCACCAACACCACCACCAACACCACCACCACCAACACCACCACCAACACCACTACCACCACCACCAACACCACCACCACCACCCGGCCACCAACCAAGCAAAAGAGTGAACGTCAACGCAGGAATCGAGCTCGGGCTGCTTGGGCAGCGGTGGCTCCGCTAAGTGGAGGCCGGGCGCAGTCACCCCACGGATTGACCGGCGCTGTCACCCGAGGCTCCGTTCGCCTCCTGTGAAGCCCGCCATGTCGTTATTCATCTCCCCAAAGACAAAGATCCCCCGTGTAACATCAACAGAGTGTTGGGACAAGTGCCGTTAGCGAGGGGCACCTGCGGCACACGAGGGGGCACCGCGCCCGACCGCATTTGTCCTCAGTGGGGGATGTTTACGCACCGCGCCAGGTACTCGTTTTGAGGCTGAGTCGACCTAGGGGAGGCCCAGGACCGGTTCAGAGAATCATCACCGGTGTTGGCCGTGAGCGTGATTCGAACTCGGGCGGCTGGATTCGATGGCGCAGCGTAGCCGCTAACCGCCGCACCCACCGCTCCCCCGCACAAACCGGCGTTCGTTCGTCACGCGACGATTTCGTTCATTGGCCGCGTCGGGTGGCGGAGGGGCTTGACGACGCGCCCGTTGCGCGCCGCTCCCGCCGCAGGCTCGCGCGCGGACGACCCGGCCTTCCCCAAGGCCCCGTGGCCCCCGGCGGCCCTCTGCCCCGAGTGCCGCGTGTCGCTGGGCGCGCGCTGGGCCTGGGACGAGGCGTCCGTGCTGCGCTTCCTCAAGCGCCACTTCTCGGCCGACAACGTCGCCCTCGACTTCCTCTCCCCGCCGTGCGCCTCCGAGTTCGCCGGCGACACGGAGCGGCCCCCGGCGCCGCTGGGCCACCGCGGCCGCGGGGCCGTCGACGACGACGCCGCCGGGGACGTCGCGGCGCCTCCTCCGGCGCGTCGGGAAGACCCCATTGTCGACCTGGACGCCTTCGAAGAGCTGCAGCTGCAGCGGTGGAGGACGCAAGGGGCGGCGGCGGCGGCGGTGGAGGGCGACGCGGGACGGCGGGCGGCCCGGACGATGCCGACCGCGACGACGGCGGCGGCGGTGGTGGAGGAGGCGGAGCGGTGGCGACGCGTGGGCGGGAGTCGCCCCGCCGTGCGAGCCGGCGACTTCTCGGCGGTGGACGCGGGGCTGTGCGCGCTGCTCTACGCCTGCTCCTCGCTCTGCCTGCTCGCCGTCTACTCGTGCCTGCGACGCAGGGTCAGGGGCACGGAGGGCGCCAGGGGCAGGAGGACGGCGGCTGGCGGGGCCTTGGGTCACTGACGCCGCAAGTGGGGGGCGGGGGGGGGGTGCGTGGCGCGAGTCCGCGTGTGTGTGTGCAGGTGTGTGTGTGTATGCGTGTGTGCGTGTGTGTTTGAATCGTTCAGGCCGATCTACTGCTTGGGGTTTAGCCCGGCTGGGTCACAGTGTGAGGGACCTTGCAGAGCCTTGAAAAATATCGACGCAGTCCCCATCATCGGCGAGCTCCTCCGGCAGGCGAGAAGGCTGCGTTGCCTGGGTCACGTAGCCCGCGTGCCACCTCTGTGGAGGAGGCTCGTGATGGACGCTGCTACTACATAGTTGTAGGCAGTCGCCCTCCAGCAACAGCGGAGGGCAGAGGAGCGACGCTCACAACAACGGGCGGAGCGCCTAAAATGCATCAAGTTGGCACAGCGAGAAGCACGTGGGGTGCATCTTCCAGTCATCTCGGTCAGCCTCCAGCTGTAGACTCCGTAGACGTTACACCCACAACTGGTGTTCACTGGTTAGTTGACTTCCTTTACTTAAATCAACCGAGTGCCCATTGAGATCCGTTAATCTGGCTTCAAGTAAGAGAATTAAACGCTGTGCAGGTTTGACAATGGAACTGCAGGCAGTTTTTATTGTTTACTAAATGTAGGGTTCGGGCCACGGGTACTTAGAGATCGACACTGAAGCTACTGCCCTTGAGCGCCATCACCATCGTGAGCCTTGGTCTATCCACGGCTGGATGGCCTCACCGCTCCCTCTGCAAGTCTCGCCCACGTTGGTGGGGGGGGGGGGGTGTAATTGACCATACTTCATCACGCTGGGTCATACTTCATCACGCTGGGTCAAAACTAGGATGCTCGCTTCTGGCCACGTGGTTTAGGGCCTAAATAAATAATGAACCGGTTAATCCCGAGACGTGACCGAGCAAAACCGGTTTTTCCAGGAAGTCGTGCTCAAGGTAACGCCTGCACCTGGAGACGAGGTGAACCTATGCGGCCATAGTCCTCGGCTCAGTGTAAAGTGGTTTTAGTATTTACCCCCCCCACCCCACCTCCTCAATCCACGTGCAGACATTATCACTGTTGATGCTGTGCATTGGACGTTTGTCGCTAATTCATTGATTGCTATTAAACAGCAACGAGTTGAATTACAAAAATGTGAAATGTTATCGCGCGGTGGTGGGACGTGCGTGTTCTGGTGTGTGCGTGTGTGTGTGTTGTTGTGACTTGGAGAGACAAAGGCGGCCGGGCGTGGTGCTGGCCACTCACCGCGCTTGTCCCAACAGTCCATTAAATCTTGATTTGAAGCTTTCGTGACTGCAGAAACCCAAACTCTTTGGTTCTTTCGGTAAAGTCACGTAGGTAGAAAATAAAATAATTGACGACGTTTTGGGCGCAACACAAACGTCCGTCATCAGGTGGGAAAACTTTTTGATGGACGCTTGGGTTGCGCCCGAAACGTCGTTATCTATTTTAGTCCATTAAAGGCTACGCGGAGGAATCTTTGTCTCTTTGTCATGCGTTGTACAGGACAAAGTATGTGTCTCTGTGCGCATTGTGGGGAGACAAAGGCGGCCGGTTGTAATTTGGCCACACCCATGTGTAATTGTAGATGCAACCCATACGCCGACAACACCCACACACACACAGGACATATCCACACACTGCACACACACAAACACTCGGCACAGCAGACTCTGGGGGGAGTTTGCTGTTAGCGTCCACCTATGAACGGGCTTATCACGGCACACTCGGGATCGGGTGTGGCAAGCACCACGCCCGGCCGCCTTTGTCTCCCCAGTGGCGATGTTTACACGATCGCACCAGGTACTCATTTGAGGCCGAGTCGACCTAGGGGAGGCCCAGGACGAGTTCATATTTTCGTCACTGGTGTTGGCCGGGTTTGTAGCGCAGCGCGCTAATCCGCTTCACCAGGGGGGGTCCCCAACCCCCGGGCCGCGGGCCGCTGCCGGTCCGTGGCCAGTTAGGGACCGGGCCACAGCAGCAGCAGGAGGTGAGAGCGGTGGGTCCGCGCGTGTTGCCCGCCCCCATAGTTTTATTATTCACCACTTCCATCCGCGCCTCTTCCCGCACTGCGCACTTGTCTCATCAGTCACAGTGTTGGTAAGCCCACAAGCTGCTCTAACCCCAAGTAGCCACAATGAGTAAAAGACAAACGTCGCTGGAGAGCTGCTTTGAAAAGGGGGGAAGACCCAATGATGACCCCCCCGCCTCCGGTCCGTTAAAAAATTGTCTTCCACGGAAACCGGTCCCTGGTGCCAACAAGGTTGGGGACCGCTGCGCTCCACGACCGCTCCCCCGCGTCCACACGGACTCGTGAACTCCACAACAAGAGAATCGACGCCGGCTGAAGCCGCGCAAAGGGAGCGGTTGCGTCAGCCCCGTCAGGCGGTGACTCGAAGTGGCGCCTACCCCGGTGGGTGGTGTCTCAACACGCCGCCTGAGCCCCCCTCCCCCTGCCCCCCCGAGGCGAGGCCGTGTGTGGAGGGTCGAGTATCTGGTTCCGAAGCTTGGGATTTAGGGCCCCGTACGAAATTGCCTTGCACATGACCACGTGGTTCTCTCTAGAGAGAGAGGGGAGAGGGGAGAGGGGTGGGCGGGGGGGAGAGAGGTGAGAGGGGTGGGCGGGGGGAGATGAGAGGGCCCCACGTGTGGAGTCGAGTCCATGGGCCAGGACATCTTGGACGAGTCGCCACCTCGGCTAGCAGCGGAGCCATCCTCGTTCCCGAGTGGTCTCTGTGCGGCTCAATGAGAGGGAACGATTTCGTCACCCCACTCCATGTCACGCAATTCGTTTTGATATCTACGGGACCCTTTTTGCCAGTCGCAAATCGATTATATTGTACCTTTGCCAATAACATTGTGTGGCCTTACAAAGAGTACGTATGCAGTACACAACGTTTCGGGCAATGACCCTTTCATGGCACATTCGAGCTATTCGCCACTGATATTGGTCGTGGGCGGGAATCGAACGCGGGTGGTTCTGTTCGCAGCACAGTGCGCTAACCGCTGCGCCACCGCTCGCTCCCCTCCCCAACGTCATAACAGACGTCACCTCCTCCACTCATCATCATCATCATCACTGTGATGACTCACCTCATCACACGGGCACTCATGATGATCTCACTCTGTGCGCCTCGCAGCCTCATCCCTTACGAGCACAGACAACGCAGACTCCGCTGTCGCCAGTAACGCTGCCTGCCTGCCAAGGGAACCGTGCAATAATCGACGTTACATGCAATGGACCTTACCACGTAGCGCGTGTGTTGAGGAAGCGCCATTGCCCGAAACGTCGTCTTGAATATGTATATTGTTTTCCTGTTAGGCCACGGTGTTATTGACGAATTTGCCGAGTGGATGTTTTTGTTGTGGTTGTTGTTGTTGTCGTTGTTGTTGGTTGTGCACCACTGCTCACGTAGCAGCGGCAGCAGCATTACGCACAACATTTGTTTTCAATTCGCAGAGGAGTGAGTGCAGGGAGAGAGACGGGGGAGAGACGGGGGAGAGACGGCTTACAATCTGGGGTCAATCCGGGTGGCGTTATCCATCAAGATCCGACCACTACCTCTCTCGTCTGCCATTTGAAGAGCAACGGGCAAAACGTGAAATGATTACCGCGCGTTGTGTATTACTCAATGCAGTTGGCGTCCAACTGGGACCCGCGTCTCGTTGACAGGACCCTGATGAGCCACCGAATGTCGAAACCGGTCCCGAGTTTTTGCTTCTAACTGAATCAAGGCTGCTGATAAGATGCCGCGTGCCTGATGGGTCGTGCAGAAAAGCAAAACAGACACACACGCACACACGCACACACGCCACTCTGTTCATATGGAGAAGCTGATATGCAAAGGAGTTTTGTTATTTGGCCAACAATATTTTCACTGCGTAAGCCTAATCATCCAATGCGGTGGCATCGGGGCTTGCCTGATGGACAGCGACCGTCCCTGTTGGGCAGCGGTGAGTTATGTGCTGAGCATGAGATGAGGCTAAGCAGGTCTGAGCCTGGCGCAGGCTGCACAGCACACAGCTGGTGACGGCAGAGGGGGGCGTGAGGAAGCGAAGTCTGTCTGGGTGACTGCTCCGGCCCGCGCCTTCACCAACCCGCGGTGAAGTACTGACGGCAGTGTCACATTACCCCCTCGCACCAACACACACCAGCACACACAGATCCCCCGTATAGCCTTAACGGACTGTTGGGGCAAGTGCTGTTAGCGAGCACCTATGAAGGCCAGAACGGTACACGAGGGGGTGGGTGGGTAGCACCACGCCCGACCGCCTTTGTCTCCCCAGTGGCGATGTTTACGCACTGCACCAGGTATTCATTTCAGGCTGAGTCGACCTAGGGGACGCCCAAGACTGGTTCAGATAATCGTCACAGTTGTTGGCCGTGAGCGGGAATCGAACCCGGGTCGCCAGGTTCATAGTGCAGCGCTAACTGCTACACTACAGCTCCCCACACCAGCACACACACAGACACACAAACACACACAAACACACACACACACACCAACACGCACCAACACACACCAACACACACACAAACACACACACACACCAGCACACACCAACACACACACAAACACACACAAACACGCAGACACCAGCACACACACACACAAACACACACAAACACACACACACCAGCACACACCAACACACACCAACACACACACAAACACACACACAAACACACAGACACCAGCACACACACAAACACACACAATCACACACACACCAGCACACACACCAACACACACCAACACACACCAACACATACCAACACACAAACACACACCAACACACACCAACACACACACACCAGCACACACACACCAACACACAAACACCAGCACACACACACCAACACACACACACCAACACACACACACACACCAACACACACCAGCACACACACACCAACACACACCAGCACACACACACCATCACACACCAACACACCCAAACACACACCAACACACACCAACCCACACCAACACACACTAACACACACACCAACACACACACGATCCGAACGGCGTGATAGTGGGGGGGGAGGCTATCAACAATAATTAATTATTTGGCAATAATTGTTTTCATTTATCCAGGAGAGCCACGCTTCTGAGTTGTAGGACTTTCCAGGAGGCTCCTGCTGCTGCTGCTGCTACGTTGGGTTTTTATTTGTAAGATGACTTCAGCCAATTCATGATTTAGTCGCGTTTATTTTTAACGTGGTAGGAGAGAACCGAAGCACCCGGATTAAACCCCACGGCTTCCGCGAGGGGGAAACACTCTATCCTCGTGCCGATGGAACAAACAGATGGCGATCAGCCCGCACTCTCCGTACCGCCCTCTACCTGGCGAGCCAGGGGGCTACGGCACCTCCTCCACGCCCACGGGATGGGAGTTGCGGCCCCCATCTGTGCGACGATCCACCGACCCTTGCTGCTGCCTCCACGCAGCACCGGATTACGGCCGCCCACGTGACATAGCCACCGCCATCCAGCAGTGGATTGAGCAGCGGCGATCTGTACACATCCCTTCCCCCCCTCCTCTGACGTGACGATCAAGATCGCGTGGCGAAGCCCTCGCATTTACCCTCCGGGCACCCGACCCTGGCGAGTGATGGATGCTTCGTGGCGGCTGGTGCCGGATTACTCCAATCTCCCACCAGCCACCAGGGTCTTACATTTGTCCCCCCCCCTCTCTCTCTTCTCCGTCTCTCTTACCTCTCACATCATCATCATCTCTCTTCCTCGATGTTTTCTTGTCCCATCGTCTCTCTTGTCTTTCCCCGCCTCTGCTACACCTCCCATCTCTTCCCCCCCCTCTCTCGCTCTTCATCCACCTCCTCTGTTCTCCCCTCCACACTCCTCTCTTCTCTTCGACTTTCTCTCCTCGTCTCACCACACTCCCCCACCCCCTCCCACTCCCCCCTCTGTCCTCCTTTCGTCTACTCTCTCCCCTCTGTTCTCGTCCTCTCATCTCTTCCTCCCATCCTCTCGTCTCTCAGCATCCGCTCCTGTCGACTTCGCTCTCTCACTCCTCCACTCTCTCGTCTCATCCCCCCTCTCCCCCCTCTCCTC